AATTTAGATCTACATCTAACTATACGGACTATGAGAGTGACACAATGTGAACAATCAACTAATTCAACCTTGATAACTTATCAATTCGTAAGAATATCAAAGTACGGCCTTTCTTGAGTTAATCGCCTTTCCAAATAAACTTTTCTTGAGGGAACACAGGTTTGACAACAGAACAATAGACTATAAAGCCATTAACAACAGAGCAATCGTGACACCAAAGATAAACAATTTGAAATAGTAATCACCAAGAACACCAAAGATAGAATACATAAATAAACAAACGAATAAAATAAAATAAAGTAAAAGAAGGAAAGAAAATAAATAAAACAAGCAAAAAAAATAAAGAAAGAATCAAATGAAGGGATAATAAAAACAATTAAAGTAATCAAAGAATACTTGTCAAGAGCGAAAATACAATCTGTCAATCAAATTTCATACCCAGAGCAACTTTTCTTGAATTTCCCCAGAACGTCTCGCGAAACTTACAATACTTGTGATTGGTCGAATCACTAAAGCACTTCGATTGGCTCAAACTTGTAACCGCCATAACTCTACCAGTTCTGACCCGATTCTTACCAAAGTTATACCAAACGACAGCTACTTCATTCCTTGATAGACCAACACCTTCAAAAAGACAAGTTACATATACAGATCAAGAGCTATTCAACAAAATAGAGTACCCAAAAGCAACAACAAATAAATCAGACACACGTCAAAAGATGTCGCAGATATTAGTACTTCCGACCGCCAACAGCCAATCGAGGTTGAATATAACCTTCCCTATATGTATAGATCAAACAAGAAAAGAAAGAAGGTTAGACTGAATCTATTACGCTTAAGGAAGTTGCCTTTAGGAGACGCCAAGCTCGCGTGGCATTCGTCGAAAAAGAAGTAATCAATCAAGTTGAAGAATATAATTACTTCCTGCTTTATTAGTGATAGAATAGATACTTTAGCATGGAATAGAAAAGTATAAATACCGTGTTGTTGATGATTATAAGTTATTTATCAAAGACTTATAATATCAAAACACAGGTAACATATAACAAAGAAATAAAAAGAAAGATCAAAGACTTATAATATCAAAACACAGACGTCACTGCCTTCTAGAATATTTTCCCAGTAATACCATTGGCTAGAAAATATTCTATCGTCACCTGACCTGTATTATTGGATACAAACCTTAAAGAAATATTAAATTGATAAAGAAAGGTCCCGGCCTTAGCTCAGGTTAAAGATTATATTTTTATTAATAAACAATTATATGGGCTACTCTATGGAGCATAATGCCAAATTGTATGAACAGTTTTCAAAAAAAGGAGAAAAAGGAGAGAGCGAAAAAACCTGACAGAAAACAGACAACAGGAAAAAAAAAAGTAAAAGAGAAAAGAAGCAGAGACAGAAAGAGTATTGTATTGATGCATGATTCCAAAGGCATGACCAACGGTTGGGAACTTTGATAATCACTTACCACCGTGGCAGCGCAGAGGAAAGACATGGCAAAAATAGTTCGTCTACGACGAGACCAGAGGAGGGAGCCAACGATCACCAGGATCTTGATCAGGGCGAATTGTTGCAAGAGGATGCACAAGTACATCAATTGCATAAAGCAGTTGTAGCAGCGCCGACCAAAAGGGGGAGGACCAGAGGAAGCCTTAGTTGGCAGTTGATTTAGAGCATAATCAAGACGATGAACACCAGCAGGAGCAATAGGTAGTGCATCCCACAATGCTGGGTCAAGCGCCTGACATGACAAAAAGTGTTCACGGGAGACAAAAGCACCAGAGAGACAAGGACATTCTTCACGCATATTCGCAAAGCGACCAAGACGCCAACGCACCAAGCGACTACGAGAAGTACGAAGCATGGGCAGGTATAAGATTGGATCCGGCTTAGACGTACAAGGACGACAAGCACGGAGAAGGACGGAACGACCACGAGCCGCATGTCGCACCATTTGGCGGTCAAATTGGCTCTGCCATTGTCGTCTAAAGTGAGTGCGAAGTTCAGCATTAGAGACAGGCTGTGGGTCCGGTAGTGAACGGTACAAGACATTCTGTTGAAGAAGCTTGACCAGGCGAGGGTACCGTAGTTGATCACGCAAAAGCACTATCAAGCAGTCATTAGGGAGGTATTGTACACGCAAAGCAAATTTGGTGAGAAGGATGTTGTACCTATGGTTTATGGCAGGAACCGGCCTTAGCTCAGTTGGTAGAGCGGAAGACTGTAGTGTAGACTGTCATCTTTAGGTCACTAGTTCGAATCTGGTAGGCCGGATTTTTTTTTCTAGCCGCCGTTCTACTGTACAATTCTTTACTCATGTATTTTTGCGACAGTGAGGAATAACGTCTGATTTTGATAAATGCTTGGTACACGGGCTTTTTACGCGGAGTCACTGGGCAACGGTAGAGATCGTGGTGGTAATCTGAGCACTTTTTAGTACAAAATATAATAAATAGTCTTTCATCATATAAATGAATAATCACTTATAGCACTATACAGCATAAATATAAAGTAAGCATTGTATAATGACAGTAAATAACGGTAGCTGGGATAATATGGATATTTACAAATAAGGAAACCATAATTGTACCTTTTAGGTAACAAGGAGAATTAAAGGAGAATTTATATAATCAATTCCCAGGCACACGCTGTCAAGGTGTTAAGTAATCAATAATCAGTAATCATAATCAGTCAATAAGTCAGGTAGTATAAAAGACAACCTGGAAAAGATATATTTTAGAAAACAATCAATTTATTTTGTAATAAAGAAGTAATGAACAGTCTCACTGTATTTCTTTGTTTTCTTTCTATCTTCTATTCTATTTTCATTTCACAACCCAAACATCACAAAAACATTACACTGCCCAGAAAATTGGGACTGGATTAAAACTGAAGTCAAACTGTTTACCAAATCATTTCAATTGGAGACAGTCAATTGGAGAAACAAACAGACTAAACGGTTACAACGTAAACGTAACAAAATCCTTCGGCATCAGAAACATCGTGGTATAGTGGATTAGAGACTACCCATAGTAGAGAAACAATTGGGAGCTTTGCAAGAGAAAGCTGCTGAAATAGACGCTCTGAGAGCGGGAAAGCGTTGGCGTGAAAAAGGCGAGAAGTCTCCAGGTGTTGTGAGATGAAGAGAGAGTAGGTATTCAATAAGAGAAAAGGTAAGAACACAGAGAAAGTCCGTTAGAACTTGTATAGGTTTTTATTTCTCCAAGAAATGTTATCTTTCAATTGCTATAAAATGTCGAGGTATTTATACTTTTTCTTCTCGGTCAAAATATTGTTTTGGGGTTAGCTTCTTGAGTACAGATTGATTTGTTAGATCAGGAGCAATTAAGAGAAATGCCTTTAGATGAAGTTGTCAGCTCAGCCAATAGTGCATGATCTGACCTGAACTTGAATAAACTATTACATATTTGTCAAATGCCAATGCTAATGTATTTGTCAGCTCTAACTGTCACTTTATGAGGGCCATTAATAATAGCAGAGCCACTAGGTTCATAATCTCTGACTATGAGGATGATGTAGTACTTCTAGTAGAATGAGTGAATGTCAGTGACTATAGATCCATTGCAATTGCCATAGATGTGATCTGGTCTTTTGCCATGATCATCATTTATTGATCTATGCATATGAACTCATATATGTTCACAACAATCAATCTATGGTTCTTTCTGTACTTTTCTTTTTTTTTGAATTGATGGTTAGACATTCACCCCATGGGGCCCAGTCTTCAAAACCTTTCAAATAAATATAAACTTTTACCGGATATCATAAGGGCAAAACAATGGCTTTTTGACTTTTTCAAAACTTGTTATTTTCTTGCATGAAAATGTTTTTTGATCTATGCTCAAACATAAGAAACTCAAAAGAAGGGAATTAGAAGGCAGAAATCATGGTTCGTTATGCGAAACACTCGCACCTGCAGCGGACTACCAATCTGCCGCTAGGGTTATTATTATGCTTAGAAAGGTAGTTTATGTTAGAGGCTAATATGAGAAAATAAAAGCTGTCGTTTAGGATTATACAATAAGTTTGATGCTCGAAAAGACACAAATTGAGGATCAGAAGCATATCAGGTGTATAATGTGCCAAATGGAATCAAAAAATTATTTAGTAGTAACAAAGTATGCTTGATTTAAACATATTGATATCTTATATGTTCAAGTTACAGAAACTAAGAGCTTCACAATCTCTTTCTCCTCCCTAAGCACTGTAAACTATTGTCTTCCTTTCTTTGGACGTCCAATCGTAACAGATGCTACATACAAGGTAAATTCAATGATGATAAATATCTTTGTTCGTCTGCTATCTACGTGTCTGGAATACAAAAAAGTGTTACATTTTTCTAGCAGTAATAGGTGGGTTGGAACCATAAGATTTTGCTATATACTTTATACAAATGCTAGATAGTTTCAGAACCAACAAGAATGGGTTTGTTGGTGTAGTTGTGGGCTATTTGTCTGCTCAACGACTTGGCTTCTTACACGCATTTTATATATTCTAGGAGCCACTAGGCCACAAGCTTCATAGATATTTTTGGGTAAAAGCACTCAAAACAGGCTTAAACAAGCCATTTTTAACGAGCCTTTGCTTGAAAATCAGTCTTTTAAGACGGCTGCCTTGAAGGTTAAACATGCTGTTTTAGTTCCAAGAACTGAATGATATCATTAGTTTGACAACGCTAAAAAGTCATTTTTTTTTAGCCATGGATAGGATTAATAGAAACATAAAGTTAAGAGTTTTAATGAAATGTCTTCAAAGTATTACAATAAACCATATAGACAAGGGCCGAATTATTGAGAAGTGTATCTTTTGAGAAAGACTAAGTGATTCCAATAAGTGTAAGATATGATTTACTTGCAGAATAAAGAGGGAGAGAGTCAACATGCATTAAAACCTACTAGAACACTTACTACTACTGTGTGTTTAAATACTCTATGTCTATGCATGAATGTATACTTTTTTTTCTTGAAGTGTTCCCATACAAATTAATCTTATTCACTGTAAACTAAAAGAAGCATCACTTCCAACTTATGCTGCTTTACTGGTTACTCTCTTGTTAATCATAGACTGTAAGTATACTCTTCCTACTGAGAAAGACACTTGCTTAATCCTCAATGCATAATCAATTGAGAGTGCTTTTTATTTTATGCTTTTTTTTCATGCTTAGAAAAAGTTCAATTAAATCAATTGTATCAAGATCTTTCAGTAACAAATTACCCGAACATCTGTCAACTTGGTCAATGCGTCTTTATCCTTCAATGATAATTCTTGATCTGTACTACTTTGACACTGTCAACTCCCTACATAAAAAAAACGTCATGGCATGACACAAATAATAAAGCCTACTTTCATGCCTCCGCTTTAATTTCACACATTTTTCGTTTCTCTTTCTTCCTCTTCTCAAGTTACTATGCCTACACATAAGCAAGCAAAGCATGAGCCCACACAGGGACAAACAGAGGCAATAGCAAATGGTAAACATGAATTATGAAGTAATGTGACCAACTCAACATGAAATAGAAACCGTGCATCCTTTTCAGATACCCATGCAAAAAGACAAGAAGCGACATTTATTTCGGTTTGGGCGCAAAAAAAGTAAGGAAATCATAGAGCAATGGCGTTATTCATCATCTTAGGTCGTTCTGACATCACCAATCCAGCCTTTAATTCGTCAACAGTCAATGTCATACCCAATGATTCTTCTTCCATCTTGACAGCACGTAAGAAATCAAAAGATTATGAGAACAGTATATACGATACATTGGGTGACGAATCATTGAGAGTGGGTTTGAATGAAAGAAAAAAATCCGGCAGCTCAAGTAGTAATTCTAAAGGCAAAGATAGAGAGATATCCGAAGGAAGTGTTTATTTTCCCCATGAAAAGGTAATGCGTTCGTCATATTTTGAATGTTATGACTAAGCAGTTGTAATAGAGCATTGAGTGTAAGCAAATAGTATACATATAGGAATTCTTATTGCATACATAGTAGATCAGGATTTCAATTCAATGGAAGGCATTATTAATCCAGAATACAGAAGGAGCGAACAAACAAGAGTCTCTCTTTCACAGGTAAAAAAAAGTCACTATTCTTGTCAAAATATTAAAGAAAGCGACATACTATTAGCAAGGTGCAGATTCAGAGCATTGGGCCCCTCCAGACAGTTGGGCAGTACAACCAGCAGATGAATACGCAGAGGATTTCCATACACCTTCAATTTCTTCAAAGGCAGAGCCTTCTGACTATTTCCCAGTTGTAGAAAATGAAGGTTGGAATGTACCTAGTAAGAATGTAAACAGACGATCAGTTATAAGTGTGCTTTGGTCTGATACTGTGTAGTTTTGTATCCGAATATTTCGTCCTGATGGTACATTTGGTACATTGATTGCCCCCTTGAATGCAACGACTCATGATTTGATCCAAAAACTGGCGGGCAAGTTCTTTTTGCACAACCTTGCTAAATATAAGCTTAGTTTGGTGATGCACAATCTTGGTAAGCATAGATATAAAATAGACTGTTGGTTTTTGATACAATTGATAGAACGTAAACTTGAAAACCACGAACGCCCTATTCAGATACAAAAGACACTGTTGGAACAAATAGGTTATACAGAAGAAGACAAGATTGAAGATGTAGGCAGAGAAGATAATTCCTATCTATTTCGATTTGTATTTGGTCCTGATGTAACTCAAACAATGCAAGAAGAAGAAGATTTTATTGCTTATCGTCGTGTGGACCTTCAAGGCAAAAACCTGTCTAGAATACCCCCTTTTTTGTACAAAAATCCTACTCGTATAGGAACACTGGATCTATCCAAGAATCTTATGATAGAAATCCCTGCTGATTTCTTACAAACATGCAAAAATCTAAAACAATTATGGCTTACCAACAATGACTATTATACATTGCCTACATCGATTCGGTCTATTCCCAACCTTGAACATCTGAATATCTCTGGAAATCATATCCAAGATTTAACATCGGCTGGTCTAGACGAACTCAAGACATTACGTGCACTCAGAGCATATAACAACCGACTCGAAAGACTGCCTGATTCATTTGCTACATTCAAAAACTTGACCATTTTGTTTATATCCAACAACCAGTTTACCAAATTCCCTCTTGTGATTTGTGATATTGTTACTCTCGCTTACCTTGATATCAGTTTTAACAAGATCACTAGTTTCCCCGACGAAATCTGTCAACTAAAGCAACTTGTAGGCTTATTTGCCACTGCTAATCGATTGACAGGACGATTGCCATCCAGTTTCTCAAAACTAGAAAAACTACAAGAATTAGATTTAAGGCAGAATCAGATAACAGATCTTGATGAACTATCTATGCTGCCTAAACTAGAAGTCATTTCCATTGACTACAATGCTATCAGTGTTGTCAGCTATGACTTTACCAACTTGAGGCAGCTCAAAATGTCCAAGAACCATTTGACCCAATTTACCGTTGCTCATTCTCACTTGTATCATCCGGATGGTACACTCAAGAACAACCGTTGCTTACTGACTGATCTTAATTTGGCCAATTGTAAACTATCCTCTCTGCCAGATGATCTGTTTGCCAGTGCTGTCTCACTTGAACATTTGATTCTGGATAATAATACGCTTAGTGTGTTGCCGAGCAGTATTGGTTCCCTCATCAGGTTACTAAGGCTATCAGTACAAGGCAATAACCTAGAACTCTTACCCCCTGAAATCTCCAAATTAACAGAACTTAAGGTATTGGATGCGCAAAAGAATAACTTGAAGTCATTGCCTAAAGAAATATGGCTCTGCATGTCATTGCAAACCCTGAATTGTTCCTCAAACCTATTGGAAGCTTTCCCTGAACCTTATACACATGTACATGACACAACCACAGCTGTAAATGGTTCTGCTAATCCAGCACCAACACAACCGCCAGCAACAGAGACAGAAGATACCAATATCCCTCCTAGTTTATTATCCAGTGGATTCAACCCTCCACCTAATTTCAATCCCCCTAGTTTCTTTGCTAGCCCACGCAACCATCCACCTCCACTCTCGCTCTCTTTGCGTAACCTATTCTTGGGCGACAATCGATTTACAGATGATGTCTGGTCGCCTTTATCTCTGTTTCTTGAATTACGTACACTTAACTTGTGTTTCAATGACCTGTATGAAATCCCACCTGAAGGTTTATGCCATCAGCATTTATATGAACTTTATCTCTCTGGTAATCATTTGGCTTCTTTGCCTGCTGATGATATTGAAAAACTCAGTTATTTGCGTGTCTTGGCTGTGAATGGAAACAAACTTCAAACATTGCCTGCTGAAATTGGTAAATTACGTAAATTGTTGGTGTTGGACGTAGGCAACAATGTCCTGAAATACAATATTTCGAATTGGCCCTATGATTGGAACTGGTAATATATATATACATATACATATACATATATACATGACACATATGCACACATACTCACAAACGATCAGGAACTGGAATTTAGGGTTGAAATATCTAAACTTGTCAGGCAATAAGCGACTCGAAATCAAGACCACACATCCCGAAGTTCAAAATCCCAAAGAGAAAAACCTGTCTGATTTCAGTGCCCTAGTTCGATTACGCATGCTTGGCTTGATGGATGTGACCATTTTAGGTGTCTCTACACCAGAAGAATTTCATGATCGTCGTGTCCGAACTTCTCCCTCTGAGGTAAACGATATGGCCTATGGTGTTGCTGACTGGTTAGGTCCCAGTGATCATTTAGCCACTTGGGATTTAGTCATGCCTCGCTTCAGAAACCGTGATAACGAATGTGTGTTTGGTTTGTTTGATGGTCGAAAGCATGCCAAAACAGGTTGTCGTCTTACGCGTTTCTTGAATGACAACCTGACTTATCATCTATCCAACGAATTGGAAAAGACCAAGAATGATGATACTATTGTGTCTGCTTTACGACGTACATTCTTAGCCTTGGAAAAAGAGTTTGGATCGATGGACACAGAAGATGATAAGGAGATGGGTGCTTCTGCTTTATTGTGTTATATTTCAGGTACACGATTGCATGTGGCCAATGTAGGTGATGCATTAGCTGTCTTGTGCCGCAATCATGGACAAGCATTTGAAATCACGCAGAAACATATTCCCTTAAATCCTAGCGAGGCATCGCGTATTCGTGCTGCTGGTGGCTATGTATCTAACGCAGGTTTGTTGAATGACGAACTAGCTGTGTCGCGTAGCTTTGGTTATTATCATTTGATTCCTGTGGTCAATGCAAACCCCTTTATTTCGACCATCAACCTATCTGAAAATGACGAGTTTGTAATCATGGCTTCTCGAGGTCTTTGGGACTGTGTCTCCTATCAAACAGCTGTAGATATTGCACGCACAGAAAAAGACGATTTGATGATTGCAGCACAAAAACTGCGTGATTTTGCCTTGACTTATGGCGCTGATGATAATATTATGGTCATGGTCATTGGTGTTGGAGACTTGTTTGATAAACGAGACCGTCGTTTCCGTAATATACGTGGGATGAATATTGGCACCAGTCGCGCAGTAACGGATCCATTGATGGATGAGCCGATTGGCACACCAGGTATCATGGCTAAGAATAAGCGACGCATCAAGGATGAATCTCCCAGTGATTCCACACTGGCTCGATTGGATCGTGAAGTACCTCCACCTACCAATCAAGTTGCACTTGTGTTCACAGATATTAAGAGTTCAACACTTTTATGGGACACTCAGCCCGAAGATATGCGTTCGGCCATCAAGATCCATGATGCTGTCATGCGTCGTACACTTCGCAGTATTGGTGGCTATGAAGTGAAGACAGAAGGTGATGCTTTTATGGTTTGCTTTCAAGATACAATTGCTGCTTTATTATGGTGCTTTACTGTACAACTTCAGTTGCTTGAAGCTGATTGGCCTGCAGGCATTCTCGAGACAGAAGAAGGACGCGAGATTCAAAAAGATAAGCAAGTTATCTATCGTGGTCTGTCTGTTCGTATGGGTATCCATTTAGGTAGACCTGTCTATGAACGTAATCCGATCACGAAACGTATGGATTATTTTGGCCCTGTGGTCAATAAGGCGAGTCGTATCTGTAATGCAGCTGATGGTGGACAGATCTGTGTATCTTCAGACGTGATTACAGCTCTCAGAGAAATGCCTGGTATGTTTAGTGACGACGATCCAAGTGCAACTGCTGTGATAGGTGCAGATGGGATGAAGAATTTCACATTGAGTCGAGATATTCAACAGATCAAACGACTTGGATTTCATGTGGTCGAGATGGGCGAAAGGCGTTTAAAGGGTCTAGAAACACCTGAGATGCTCAGCCTTGTGTATCCTAAGCAATTAGCAGGCCGTATGGAATTCGACAAAGAAGATGTGTTGACAATGCCTTCTTCTATGGTTGAACATAGTCCTAACCAACAACAACAACAACAACAGCAGTATGATAGTTATGCACGCACCACACGCAATGATAGTTATTGTAGTACGTTGACGGAAGAAGAAGTACCAAAAATGCCCATATCTCGTATCAATCGACAAATTGATCCAGCGTTTGTGCTTGCGTTGAATAATATAGCTGTTCGTCTTGAGTCGATTACGACAGGTGCTGTCGCTAAAAAGAGTGCTGGAGAACGCGAATTGTATGCTCGAATGAGCATGCCTTCTGGCTTGGTCGGTTTGACTTCAAATAATGGCAGTAGTGGTATTATCAACAATACCAATTATTCAGAAGCATTTAACAGACGAATGAGAGAAGTCGCTTCTGACGAAGAAATTCTGATGTTGATTGAGAATTTTATTACTCGAATTGAGGTAAGTTGCTATTTACAAAGCCTACCGTACTTATGTGTAATAGAATGCGGCATCTACATTGTATTTACAAAAAATGGGCAATTTTGCAGGTGTATTAGAAAAGTTGGGTGAAGCCATCGAATTAGATCCAATGCATATCTTGAGAGCGCTTCAAATCTATTCAGAAGCGACTAGTTTAACAAAAACTAATTGATAAATAGACTCTTTTTCCTTTTGAATACTTTCTTGTACAAACATGCTTTTTTTTAGAATAAATAATACCATACAAAAAAAAAACAGTGTATTTATACTTTATTGAAAAAGATCATTACATATCACCCCCCCCCCTTCTGTATCATTTTTAAAATATCTGTGGTAAAAAAACCGATTTTCTTGGCCCATCACCCTTTCCAGGTTAAGCCTGCCTTTTTTTTTTAACTCTTGACAAAGAAAAAATTTTTTATAGCCAAAGACGAGGATTTTCAGATACCAATTAGCATGCCTTCGAGGAATACAATCAGCGCCACATATGTCTTGAAATAATCTGATAAGAGCACCGCATCATTAAATAGTTAGGTGCGCTTATCCATTACAAAGAATATGAAGATTAGAGATATTGAATCAGTTACCAATATTCTTATTCCTGGGCTAAACAAAATATGATCTTAATTTGGCCAAAATTTGAAGAGCATATTCGACTATTCCTAACTTGCAAATATAGTAATTGTCCCAACAAGGGAACCCCCAACTTGGAAGTCAAGAGACAAAAAAGCACCTTTAAAAGCGCCTGTCACAATTACTTACAGAAGCAAAGAGAAAGATTGGTTCATCAACACACTTGTTTCTGCTGATAAACATACGCATAGTCGTCTGTGTATTAAGACTTATAGCCGTATTACTCCAGAAGGCAAAGGAAGATTCGCAGCTGCTTCCGATATCGCCACAATTGCAAAAATGGCCAACAATGGTACAAATATTTTTGAATAAAAGCGAGTTGGATGGCGTTTCTATCTTGAAATATTAAGACTTTGGCAGATATGCTATTGAAATAAAAGGCAGTACTGTTTCTAACGGCAAGATTGAAAAAGCTAAGGTTTTAATCGATAGAATGACTGATGCTGAATATCTTGTTAAGTATCAACTATTCAATACTAATGACGGCTCTCCCATCAACTTCAAGATTTTTTTTTGCCCATCAAAAAATGATTCAAAATACTAAAAAGCTGGGTCAAGTTCTTGTAATTGACGCCACCTGAAAGACGAATAATCCTGCTATGTCTTTTGTATGCGTTTATGGTGTACACAACTTGGGCGCTGAATAGCTAAAGACTTTTCCTGTGACATTTGCAATGAAAAGAAGACAACCTATGAATGGTTTCTCGAACAGTTAAAGAATGCGATGTTACCTTTGACTGATTTAAAACCATTATTTATTACTGATAAGTGCTTTGTATTGATAGAAGCAATCAATATTGTCTTTCCTGAATCAGTAAGCTTATTTATATGGCACATGATGAACAATTTCAGAAAAGAGCTCACCAAGAAGGAGTACTTCAAAAACAAAAAGATCAGACATAAATGTTTGAGTCTTGTAGAAAAGATGGTACATAAGAATGCTAAAGATCAGTCTGAAGAGCACATTTTGATATACTATCAACTGGCTTATAACCCGGAAATCGTGTCTGATTTTCACGAAATCCAATCTGAAGACGATGAACTTGTTTCTGATGTCAAAAAAGCATACAATTATATGCAAGAAAATTAGACGCCTATTGCAGAAAAGTGGGCAGCACATAGAACGAAAAGGTTTGCTGAATTCAATTGCTTAAGCACCCAAAGAGCCGAAGGTGGCCATAGCGGGTTGAAGAAAGGGATGAGTAGTCGCTTAGACTTAATACCGGCATTTGAGCACATATTAGAATATCTCGTTGCATTGGAGCAAGAGTTTGTGACGCTTGAACAAATGGAAAGACAAAAACAAGAAACTTGTACCTATCAGAAACAAAGTGACCAGGGCTGCTCCTATTTTTGCTCATTCTGTTTGTTTGAGTGCGGAAGGAATTGAAAAATTGGAATTGTTCTTTAACTGACGATATAGTAAAATAATTTTAGGTTGTTTTGATAGCTGGTAATTACCGAACGAAAAAGAAGATTAATATTATACAATTCAACTTCGGTTATTTTCATATCTCTGAGTTCACCCAAAATAGAGTTAAAGAATAGCATTCTCTATTTTGCTCTGATAGTCTCAAGGAGTCCTTACGAATATCCTTTAGACCTAGAATGCATGAATTCTTAATCCGGCTTTTTCCATCTATTTTTTTTTTTTTTTTTTTTTTTTTTTGCTCAAGACCATTTTCCAAGTCCGTAAGGTTCGATTTTTTTTATTGCTTTCCCAGCATACTCTATTTCTTTTTTTTTCCCATTTTTATATTATATATCATGACAAAAGACAAAAATAACCAAGATCCCGTGTCATCAGGTACACTAAAGCAAGATTTGGATCAGACCGCTACTTTGACCGTCGAGCAAGAAGAAGAATTCTCGGATGCGGTCGATACTACTTCAAACGACTTGGCCAAAGTGTTACATGCCTTACAAGACTCTGGTATCATTGATAAGGATTTAGAATCCAGCTTAATTAAACAAGACATCACAGCTGCAAGTGAACCCAGCTCACCTCGTCCAACAGATCTCAAGATTGATGTGCCTGCAGGTCAAAATACGGCAGAATTCATTACACTTCCTACACCAGGTATTGCACCTTCTTCTATACTTGCAGTTGATATGGAAGATCAAGAAACAAATCCTACACAGGAAGCAAGCGACAGTGCTGTTGTTGAAAAAGAAGCCAATTCTGAGAGTACAGCGATTGGAAATGATGTCGAGACCACTGCTATTAATGAGACTGTTCAAATCGATGCTAACAATGAAAATGCTACCACTACTAATACTACTAATAAGAATGAAACAGCGAATACCAACGTTAATACCGAAACTACTACTACTACTACTACCACTACTACTACACCAGCAAAAAAACAAGAAAAACCTGTAGATCCTAACTATATTGGTCCATTGAATGTTGATCTAAGTTCCGTAAGAGCAAACTATTTAAATCCTAGAGCACAGGAAAAATATGGTAAAAAAAATTAAAATGAGGCGGCATAAAACTTATTCTTTGTCCAGATACTGAAATGATGAAAGGTGTAGACTTTTTCTTTAACAACAAATTTGCAGAAGCAAAAGCAGTCTTTGAAAAAAAAGCAAAACAGTAATGTATTTGTCCTACAGACACTCGAAACTAACTCCTGGATAAGGGATCCTTTGTATTCTCTTGGGCTTAGCTCCATGGCATTTGTAAAAGGTAAAAAAAAAAAAAAAAAAGAAAAAAGTAAAGCAAATAAGAAAATGGGGTTATTGATCGCTTCTTTAGCTATCACGGTAAGGTATAGATTTGTTGGGACAATCAAATTAACAATCAAACAAGTCTTATAATGCAAAAGATATTGATTCTGCACTAAGTCGATTAACAGAAACATACAATTTTGCTGATGCACAAGTTGGTGTTGCCTTTGCCAAAAAACCAATTGCCGATACAGTCTCTCATTATTTTACAAATTTGATGGGCACCAATACCACTCGTCTTCCTACTAAAACTCGTGCTTTAGACAAGTATGAAATGCAGAAAAAGACATTCAACGCAAATGGCGCCCTTCGTGCGCACGTTGTCCGAGCAGAAAGTGCTTTATTAATGGCTATTCTGTATCTTTCTCTGGAGACAAATGTAGGCTACCTTAAAGCAGGACTTAATCTTCGTCGAGGTAAAGAGACGTTTATAAACAGATGATTCACAATTTATGTAGCTTATAACAGCTACAGTCTTGTATGGCAAGATTACAAGTTAATGGGACAGCATTTCATGAAATACATTGATCAAGATACAGTCTCTGGTATTCAATTTGGGTAAATGCGAGAAAGAAAGTAGACTATAACTAATCAATTCACGATAGTATTGGGTCTGTTAATTTGTTGCTTTCATCGTTGCCTCCCAAGATTTTAAAGATCGTATCAGCATTTGGCTGGACTGCTGATAAGCATCTTGGACTCGCTTTACTAAAACTATGTTTAGAAGGCAAAAGAATACGTTCTCCACTTTCTTCACTCATGTAAGCAGTTTGTATGAAGATAGTTAGGCGTACTCAATCCTGTAGGCTACTCTCTTATTATGTGACTCTGACATCGTATGCCCCTCAAGTACTTTCGGGCGAACTACTTCAGCCTGCTTTGGAATGTCTATTAGACGCACAGCAAAGATATCCCAATTCTGCTTTCTTTTTGTACTTTGCTGGTCGTGTCTCTCGCTTGGCTCGCGACCTGCCAATTTCGACACAATCCTTTGTTTATACATCTGAAGTCAGTCAGGGAACTTGGGCAGAAACAACGATTGGCAACTTGGCCACATTTGAAATTGCGCTGAATGCTGCCATGGCACTTGATTGGACCACTGCTGCTGCTAAGGCCACTGCCTTGTTCCCTGTCTACAACACACCTGCGCTCCTAAAATACTTTTATGGTGTCTGTATGGAGATGGTAGGCAATCGAACAGAAGCCATTTTAGCCTTTGCAGAAGCTCCTCGACTGATAGACACTCGACGTAATTCACAGCCAGAACAATTTGTCGCTCACCGAGTTGCATTTTTTGAAATCAGTGGTTATCAAGATCTGGAATTCACGTTACCTGCATTGGAGATTTTGTTGTTGTGGAATGCTTTTCCTTGTATGACTGCTGAAGCGTTAGATAAGTGTGTTGAGTTAGTAGATCGTACACTTGGTTTGATTTATGAACGCGAAAAATTGGAATACGATATACGTAAGGTTGAATTAGCACCTACAAGTGCAATGCCTGATTATTATGATCAACGCGGTACACTCTTGTTGATCAAGGCATCCGTTTTGAACGCATTGAATCGGTCAAGTGAAGGCATTGTTCATTTGAATTGGATCATTGACAACAAAGACAAATTTAAGCACTCAAATTGGATTGTTCCTTATGCTTATTGGTAAGTGTAAATATGTATAAGCACAGAGCTAATGCATAAAAAAGGGAATCTGGTAATGTACTTTGGATCACCGAGGAATTTAAGAGGGCAAGAGCTCTTTGGGAACATGCATTGACTCTTTCTGGATTTGATTTTGAATTCAGATTAGCTACTGTAAGTAGGAGAAATATATGAAGCATAGTACTCATTTTGTTCAGTGTTTGAACCTTGCTGTTCAACATGCTGTTGAATTAGGTGTTCCTGAAACGATCGTGCTCAAAGATAACAAAGGAAAAACTACGCACGGACGTAAAAGACTATCGGTTATTCCTTCTAAATCCACCGGAAACATACCTTTACCTTGATTTCCCATAAGTTTCATGCATTAACTACTAAAGTGACTGTTACCATGATGACCTCATGTAATATAAGTGCTTGTTTTTTTTTCTGCTTCATCTCTTTTCTTTCTGAATTATGGAGAAATCACTTAACTCGTCAAGCCATATTACTACTTTTTCTTCACTTCGAAATAATTCATTGATAGATGATTATGAGTCTGGTATGGAAGCCTCTGCTTCCTCTATGGCTTCAGAAGAAGAAACGGAAGAAACAGAAGAAACGAGAAAAAAATCAATAGATATCAAAGCATTGAATAAAGTACATCGAAGAAGAATGAGTAGTGGCAATAGCAGTACAGATAGTAATGCGACCAATACAAAATTAAAGACTTCTTTAAGAATGGCACATTCAACACGGTTAACGAGCACGACTAAAAATGATGATCTACCTACGCCATCTTCTGGTTATGACGGAGATACAGAAGGACCTTTAAATGAAGATATTGTACCAGCATGAACAGTCCTGTAGTTAACAATAAAATTGCTTATTGGTACAGATTATCCGAGTTATAAAGTTTATAAACTGCTATTTATAATGTTATATGCGCCTAGGCTCTTCATTCTGTAGTTATCAGGTATCGTCATGGATTAAAATAAATATCATAATGCAGTATAAAATAATCAATCAACCAGCAAAGTCAGTCATGCGTACTATGTATATTTGACATGCTTTTAATCCTTAATGGGTATCTTTTCCGAGCGTCACGCTTATTATAGGACTGTAATTTATAAACTAGCTTGCCTTACAAATCATTTTTTGAATGAGTCTGACAAGCATGATAGCACCAGCGACAGATTGGTAGTCCGCTGCAGGTGCGAGTGTTTCCCTTCTTTTGAGTTTCTTATGTTTGAGCATAGATCGAAGAACATTTTCATGCAAGAAAACAACAAGTTTTGAAAAAGTCAAAAAGCCATTGTTTTGCGCTTATGATACCCTTACGAAATCTTGATTTTTCACTATTTTGCGATTTGTGAAGGATAGAGACATTGTAGACATATCATGTCTTAGTACGAAATGTTTCTTAAGGTCTATAAAACACACTCAAATTGTTAGATTTGCAAAAATACTATGAAAAGTATGCGCTATAGCTCAAAACAGAAAGCATGTCTTTGAATGATTGCTCAATATTTTAGTAGCAAACATATGGCATTCTTTACACTGTTCGATGCGCCACGTCTATATCTATTAACTTTGTTAGTAGACTTTTTTGACGACTCCTCGTTTTTGGGTAGTTTTAGTCCATCGTTTCTCTAAAATTACAATTTTTTTTTGATTTTAGCTTTTATCATGAGCATATTAATTCAAACTCAGTCCTTTTTTTTTTTTTGGAAGGTACACTGCCTACGCCATTCATCTCAAACATAACCATCTTGCTCTTCCATGAAACACATGCTTTCTCCACAAGCGTCAGTTATTTCAATACTGAATTGAATGTGAGAATGGCAGCATTCTGTACAAGGGGGAGTGTATTGGCCAAGAGTTAGAGAACTTTTGGGCAGACGAAGTAATTTATAATGACCATTAAAAAGTTTTCGCTGATAAGCCACAATGATGTATTTTTCATTTTCTTTAAAGCAAATTTACAAAAAATGGCAGTGACATGGTTTTGCCGCCGGTAATGGACACATAGTGTCTACCTTAGGCTCAGGAATATGTCATCCAGAAAGTCTGAAAGCCAAAGCTACTCGCACCGAGATCCCACCGAAATGTTCACTCAAGGATTGAATAGCCTTGGCCCATAGTACAGACAATCACCTGTTCTAGCTTGAGTTAGCCTAAGGATATACGCAGATAATTATGAAATGACCCATCCCTGTCACTACTAATACCATAAGTACTTTTGCAACATACGAGCCACTTCCTACGCCCTGTAGTGGTAACGTTCAATTTTCAGAAAATTGCAAGCTAAAGAAAAAATTTGAGAATGCAAGGGAGAGGCTGTATTTATAGACAAAATGATTTAATGGTCCGAAGGCAGTCCTGTCTAAAGAGCAGTCAAAAAATTTCTCTGCGTTTCTCTGATTCAATTGAGATTTGACAGACCACAATCTGCATTATTTTTGAGCAAGTATAGAACATCTTATGAGAGTTGGTTGTCCCTTAATGCACATGCTTGGACATTGTGATTCTATACAATTCATCTCAATCTTACTTCCAATAATCCTCAAAAGAAGACAAGCAATGTAGCTTAAAGAGATTGATAAAGAATAAAAAAGAGAATATATCAACATGCTTTTACTTATCTAGTAGCTCTTGGTGGATTGTATAATAGTCAAAAACGAGAAACAAGTATTTATTACTGTCATGCTACGAACTGGTATGTGTTCTTTGTGCTTCTTTAACAAACATGTCTTTTGAGCTGCATTTCAATTTGCACGCATAACAAGAACACCGAAATATACGCCAACTTTATACTATAGCCCGGAATAAGAGCTAGCCAAGTTCTTTTGTCATTCGAACTCAACATCAAAGGTATCATGACCCAAGAGCCCTTTAATATGCCAAAATGATACTTGAACGCACTCAGTTCTTTGTGGATGATTTGTCGAGATGCTTATTTTGAGATAACATAAACAGAAAGAAATCAGTACTTGGTGATATCAGTGACAGCTTGGTATTGGTTGGCCATATTGTGTTGCATTTGAGGAATATTCAACTACTTCCTCATATTCATGTAAATATTTTGCATACACTAGTCCATATCTGTATTCTCTGCTATTTCTTAAAATTTAATGTAAGTAATAATATGAATATTATTCATGTATCCCTTACTCTGCTTAATTTCTAGTACTTAATATTTTATTTCAATAAAGTGTATAATTTAGACCATATATCATAGTGATTTTATCATAAACACTACCGGAAATCAATCGTCACGCACTGCAAACAAGAAAAAAAAAGCTCCTTTCCTTCTCATATTTTTTCCCTTTTTCCTTTTTCTTTCTTAGTTTCTCGCGTCAAACTTGATAAGATGGCAGCATCTCAAGATGAAGCTGCTCGCTTAAGACAAAGTAAATAAAACCTCATTTCTTTGCTGCTTTACACTTATTTTTTTTTTGTTTAGCCTTGACCGAAAATGATTTACAAGAAAAAAACCACCAACTTCAAGCTACTATAAAAGAACTCTCTGAAAGAAATATTAGTTTACGTATGTTTATATACCTTGATAAAACAGACAACTCATGCATAATACAGAAAATGAACTGGAGAACACAAGGCTAGAGAAAGAAAAGCTTCAGTCAGCCAAGTTGACCTCTGAAAGTGAAAAAAAGGAAGCTGAACAAAAACTAGTTGGACTTACAGACAGCGAGAAAAGAACGAGAGAGTATATGAATTCTACACTTGAAACATTGAATGCAAAGAGAGGTAACAGCCGATATATAAATGTACGCGTAGACTGACAGTCCTTGCTCTAGATGCTCTCCGTCAAGCACAAGAAGAATTAAATACTCTTCGTCAAAGAGATATCACAAAATCACTTGAGATTGAAAGGGCCACTATTCAAATCAATGAACTCAAGGTAAATTCGTGTAGAAATAACGCGTATACTGAGTTGTTTAGACTGCCAAACAAAGCGCTGAATATCAGTTATCCGTAACAAATGCTCGTATTGACTCATTAAACAATCAAATTCGAGTGCTTCAAAAAGAATGTGATAACCTCAGAGAAGATGCAGTATGTATATATATATATATAGAAGATAGAGAAACTATAGATTGACCTTATTCTATCATAGCGATCTGAACGCAATCGACTGCTTGAAAAAATAGACGATCTAAAAGCAGAAAAAGATAAATATGCTGATACAGTAGACCAATTACGTGCTGAGCTCAACCATGCAAGAGACCGTGTTATTCAAGCAGAAGACAAGTTAAATGAACTCAAAATGACTCATGACCAACTTGAATTAAGCTTGGGCAGTACCAGCCATGCATACAAGGAACTTCAAAGAATTCATGAAGAACATGTTCTTGATACGCATAAAAAGATCTCTGCATTTGAAAGTAAAGTTACTTTGATCGCTGGCGAGAAAGAAAAATTGCAGACAGTTAATAAAGAACTTGAAGAGCAACTGTCTGAAGAAAGGGAACTTCGAAAAGTCCATTTCAACCAGATCACAGGGGTTCATGATGACAAAAACGAAGATAGTCATAAACCACCAAGCGACCTTTTGAAACTAATTCAAGAATATCAACAGATCAGCAAACATCCCGAGGACATCTTTCAAGACTATTTCAACCTTCGTGCTAAATACAAGCAATGCATTGAAAGAAACGCACATGAATCTGACTGTATCGAAAGCCTTACTCGCAAGTTGAATGAGAACACAAAACTGTTTGATAGAGTCTATAAAGAATTGGATGCAGCTAAACGAACCAACCTTGAATTGGAACAACAGATTCAACAAGAAAAAACACAAAGAAAGCAAACAGAAGCCTCCAACAAAGAACTTACATACACCATGGACGACTTGAAAAAGGAAAAGGACAATTTGACAGCCTCTTTAAATGATACCACATACCAACTTCAATATCTTTTAAGTGATATTGAACGACGTAGTCAGCCTATTCCTGCCAATCTCAAGAGCACACATACCTTGCTTGGCGGTGTGGAAATCACACCCAACCTTCCTCATCATCAACTTGTGTACACAAATGTAGCAGAACTTCAAGACCGTAACAAAGAACTGGTGATTCAAGTCAAGGCATTGAATGACCAAGTTCAAAAGTTATCAGATGAAGCCGGTAAATCTGAAATTATTCAAAAGAGCGATATTGGTTTCTATCAAGCTGCTGTTGATGAAGCTAAGGGAGCCTTGATTGAATTGGAACAAAAGAACAAAGAATTACAATCCAAGCTGGAAAAGAAGAACACAGAATGTGACAATTATCAAAAGATTATCAGTCAGTTTGGTGACGGTAGTGAGGATGCTAATGCCAAGTTTGCTCAAATTCAAGAAACCCAAGCTCTTCAACGTCAAGAGATGGATATCACTCTAGAACAGTACCGCAAGGAAACTGTAGCCGAAGTCAACAAGTTAAAACAGGAGCTTGAGACTTGTCGTAACTCAGATAGAGACGCTCGTTTATCGTTATCTGAAGTGTCTTCTCAAAAACGTTATTTGGAGCAAAAGATTGAGCGACTCAACACAGCCACGCAAGAATTAAATGAAGAACTCAAATCAACACGTCGTCAAAACAGCACATTGAATGAACGCATTGCTGCTAGAGACCATGAACTTTCTCAGATTCGACTTGAGCTGGAAGACTACAAGACTCGAATTGAACATCTTCGCCATGAGAACACTATCTTGAACACACGCGTTGAATCAACCACCAGTGCGTATAAAGAAGTCAAGGAAAACATCTCCAAAGAAGCAGCTGAAAAGGCTCAATTGACTTCTTTGCTTGAAGTCATCAAGTCTCGCATGGATCATTTCATGACCTTTGGCCAAGAAAAGGCAGAGCAGTCTGTTGAAACAGTAGAAAAGCTGACGCGTGAGCTACAACACACCCGTGATGCCTTGAGCTTCGCTGAAAAGCAATTAGAAAGCTACAAGACCATGGACCAAACCGAGATTCAAGACAAATACAAAGAAGCGGCTGTTGAAATTCGTTTACTTAAGCAAAAGATTACTGAGCTTGAACAACAAGTATCTGATGTCAATCAAGAAAGAATCATTGCTCAGACCAAGTTGGTGGCTGCTGAAGAGAAACTCAAGACAGTCTCTAGCAACACAGAGGGCACAACTGAGACAGGCAATAGCATGAATGCTCATCTTTTGGTAGAAGCACAAGATCGTATTCGTGCTTTAGAAGCAGATATTGAAAACTACCATGTCATCATTGAGGAACGCAAGACACAGACAGAAGAACTTGAGCAGAAGCACAAAGACTTTGTTTCTCAATGTCAAACCACCATTGATAAATTGCTCAAAGACTTGGAAGATAGAACAGCCACTGTTGCCAACATTCAAAACGAGGCACAAATGGCTATTGCTGAATACAAGGCCTTAAGTGAAAAGAATAAGGCTGCTCAAGAAGAACTAACAAGCCAAAAACAAGCTTTGGAAGAAAAGCTTGGTGCTTTAGAGACCACAACTACAGAGCAACGAGAAAAAATCCAGAGTTTAGAAGCCACAGTAGAAGAAAAGACAACAGCTCATACTCAAATCGAAGCCAAACTTGTTGCTGAAACCAAGATTGCAGAAGAACAGAGACAGACCATTAACGGTTTACGTGCTGATGTCTCTAATCTTACCTTTGAAATTTCTCAATACAAGGCAACCATCGCTGCTGCTTCTAGTACTGAAACATCACTTCGTGCTGAACTTGAGCGTGAAATACATGAACGCAATGTCTCTGAAGAACAATGGAAGAAGAAGTTGACCGATGTTGAAAAGATGCGTGAGCAATTAAGCGAATCTGTATCTGAATTAGTTGCCAAACATGCTCAATGGTCTGCAGCTCATGATAAAGAAAGTGGTTCTGAGCGTGCTGAATTTAACAGAACAGCCAACGATATTATTCAACAATTGCGTGAAGCAAATGCCACTCTTCGTATCGAAAAGGATGCTAGTGAAAACAATTATCAACATGAACGACTCAAGGTCAGACGTGCTGAAAGCGAAATGGAGTCCATCAAGTCTCAAGTCATTATCCTACAAGCGGATCTTGCGCGATTACGGCAAGAAAACAAGACTCTTTCCGAAAAGGAGTTTGGTGCTTCTTCTGCTATTCAGATGGAACGCGATGCTTTCAAGACACAAAATCAACAATTGATGGTAGAGAACAATAGTATTCGGGAATCTAAAGAAGCTGCATTACTTGAAAAATCCAAATTGGAAGCTGAAGTAGGCCCTCTTAAGCGTAAGTAACTTGTTTTATGCATTGGTGATTAACCGTATTATAGTCAAGGTTAGCATTTTGGAATCTCAGCTTGAACAAACAAGACAAAATCTTGAAGTGTTAACTAAGAGTGAAAAAGACTGGAGTGCTCGTTCTGCTAAGCTTTTGGAGAAATATAACAAATCAGATCCTGCAGAAACCGAGAATATCAAGGCAGAGTTAGAAACTACCAAAGCAGAACATCAAAAGACTCGTACAGAATTAGCATCCACCAAGTCTGAGTTAGAGAAACTCACAGTTCAAAAGACTCAACTTGAGTCCACCATTGAAGGCCTACAAGAGACGATCAAGACTAAGGAGACAGAAAGAGCCAGTATTGCTCAAAAGGCTAATGAAAGAGGTCGTATTGCCATGGACTTTAAGCGAAGATACGAAGCTAATGAAAAGTCGATTAATGAACTCAAGGAGAAGCTTGCTGAAGCCGAAAAGAAGGCCGCAGAATCTGATGCTGGCAATAACCAAGACGTTGATGTAGAAAAACTTCAAAAGGAAAAAGAAGCTTTAGAAGAACAAAAGAAGGCAGCTGAAGAAGCCAAGGCTGCATTGGAAGCTGAATTGACCACTGCCAAAGCAGAAAGTGCTAATTTCGAAAAGAAATACACTAGTTTGTTACAAAAGGCACGTCATGTTCAAATCGAAAAGAACAGAGTTACCAAGGAACTCGAAACACTCAAGGCATCTGATAGTTCAGAAACTCCTGTACTTAAGGCAAAGATTACTGAATTAGAAGCAGAATTGGCCACCACACGTAAATCATTGACAGATAGTACTGTTGAAATCAATCGATATAAGGCACAGACTTCCATGGCTCAAAACAAATGCAATCGTCTTCAGAAAGAATTGGATGCTTTGAAGGCTAGCTCTGAAGATAGCAACAAGTCTGCAGCAAGTAAACCAGCTGCTACTCCTGCTGTTGTAGAAAAGCCCACTCCTGCTGTGCCTGATGTTGTTGTAGAGAAGCCTACGCCTGCAGAAAAACCTGTTACACCTGTTATTTCTGCTGAAAAGCCCACAACACCCGCTGCTTCTGCTGAGAAGACTATTTCTCCTGTAGAAAAGACACCTGCTGTAACAGAAAATGTTGCCTCTCCTGTAGCTGAAAAAACCGTGATTGCTTCTCCTGTATCAGAAAAAGCCATTGTTACTACTCCCGTACCAGAGAAATCTGTAGTAGAAAAGGCACAAGACCAAGAAGAAGAAGAAAACAAGGTAGTCACACCTATCCCTGAAGAGCCTGAGTTAGCTGAGCCTGAGGATTTGACCAACAAGAGTGTTGAGGCTGAATTGACCATGGAGGTTGAAAATGAAGTAACTGAAGACGTCGTGGATGAATTAGCTGAAGATACCACTCAAAAAGAAGTCCCTGTTGAAGTTCATGAAGAAGGAGCAGAGGAAGAGATTGAAAAGACTGATACAGTGGATTCACCTGTTGTGTTTGCTGAAGAAGAAGAAGAGGACTTGTCTGATGTCAAGACAGGTGTCAAGCGTGAAAGAAATGAAAACGGAGATGGTGAGATAAAAGAACCTGGATCACCTAGTAAAAAAGCACATATATCATAAATGTTGTTATTATATATATCTAAAGTTACATGTAAATTTAATAAAAAGAGAAATAGCTTAAAAGCCTCAACAAACTCATGCAATTATACTTTAGTTTCTTTTCTCGAGAAAAAATGATTTTCATCTACCAGCTGAATTGCTCTAGCCAGTTGAAAAAAAAAAAGGCAAAAAAAAAACTAAAAACCCTTTAGGACAAAAGATAAAAAAAGTAAAAGTGGAAAGGAAGAGAACAAAATAATCATGGGGAAGTAGAAGGAAGAAATAGCCAGTTGAGCAACAATGAACCAGGATCTTGCGGAGGCGGAGGAACAGTCGAATGGGCTAGGTAATCCATGCCGTGTAGGATTGTACATATGGCTGGCCATCGAATATGCCAACAAGAAGAATGAGACGAGGAGTGAGGTTTCTTAGTTAGGAGCTTGTTTAAAAGGAAGAAAGGGGGGTTTCATAGTTTGTTGCGCATTTGAAAACAGTCGATAGCATGGGTTCTATTAGAGGCTTGATTTGGATGTAAAGGATAGGGAGAGGGGTGGCCATGGGGCAACCAACCAAGGCGCTGAAATAAGTTCAGAACCCGTAGACCTCGACTGATTTATATACATTTGAATAGTTATATTGCTTTCTCCAATTTAAAAACCCATTCAAATTATTACTTTATATTTTTTTTCTTTTCTTTTCCTGTCCTCTCCTTTTTGAATTAACAAGAGTCAGTTAATATAGAAACTACAAAAAAAAAAGTACTAGACTTATACATTATCTTTTTTTGAACTATATAAATTATTATTGAAATCCACAATTCTAAAAGATTTCAGTGCCATCGGATGAGACGACTACGTTCTTGATTGGTCATTGGTAACCATAGGATGAGATCAACCATAAATTTGCTCCGGCTCGAGAAAGAATAACGATAAATGCAACAGAAAAAATGATTCACAAAATGAGAGATTGGATGAGATTCTAACAAAGAGATCTTATATAATTGTTCCTTAATTGCATCGCAATTGGCTGTTTTCCTCTTCTTGCACAAAGATAGATGTTTGAGTTTTGAGTTCTTCAGTTCCGTATTGACTGATTTGATTTTGGGAGAAGTGGGGGATAGGTACTCCGAGGAGACACAGGGTCAGTTCAGATAGACCTATTGCAAAAGATGAGAGAATATCCAGACATTTGGTAGACCGGTCATGCTTTACAGAAACACATTCAGGATTGACACACATCAAGCTATCTTTTGTTGATTTTTTGATAATCTTCCCATTCTTTACTTCCACAAAATAAGGGCGCTCTAGGTGTTTGAAACAAAAGATGCAGGTCTAAGAGGTCTTATATTCATGTTTGACTTTCAGAAGGTCAATGTCAAGTTTTTTGCTGTTCTTTATCCTTTTCAAAATTTTAATAGAGATTTAGTTATGCATTGACTTGCCAAAGGATGCAAATAGGCGGGATCAATGTTATGTCCACACTTGGCTCTTTTTGAAAAGTCTGATTGTGATAATTCCTTATTGAACTTTCGCTTATTCAGACATATAGGTACCGGTGTTTGTTTATCTTCCATAAAGAAGCTTTTTTGTTTTTTCTTCTTTGAGCCACACATTCTATACTTACAGAGTTAATCTTATTCAACGTAGATGTATCTCTTTACGGCATTACCTTTTGCTATAGAAAATCAAGTGAAAAGGCTAAAAAGGCGATAATACTGATGAAAAAGAAAGAAAGAAAATATAGCTGTCAAATGTCATTACGATTTGACTCGGTACTGTAAGATCAAATGATAAAGACTGTCTTGATGACATATCATTATTTCTATATATCATCTTTACACATACACTCTTTACTGAATTAATTTAGATTATTATCATATTTAGTCTATCGTTTAATCAAAGATTACTTTAGATCTGGATTATCACTTCTTAAATATTACAATAGTCAAGCTTAAAATACTTGCAAGTGGACAACAATAGATACCACTAAAGAAGCATTTTGAGTATCAATTGAGTCAGCAACAGTCTTTTGCATGATCGCATAATTACACTGTTTTTGAAATAGACGCAATGCCTGAGCAGGGGGAGGGATTTCATCAGGAAAAAAGCTGTCTGAAAGGCTACAGTTCTCCTTCTCGCTCCATTCGAAGTACTTTAAAGACTTCTTTTATATTCGTTTTCCGAGATCTTCTTTAGTCACAAAGCTTTTCTTGACAAAAGACATTAGGGTAGGAAGGTGTAATGGTATGAACGTACTCGGAAGTAATGAATTGGCTTGCCATTCTGTTACTGAAATATAGAACATATATGGGACAATAAATAGAGTGAAAAGCTTTTTTGACAGTGTTCTGATAGATGCATGATTGTTGATTAGAGCATTTATCATCCATGATGGAGAATAGTACCTGAGTTTTAAAAAGCGTGGCTGCAAAAAAAAAAAAAAAAAAACTTTAGTAAACTTTTTTTTTTTTCAGAAGTTTATCATAATGGAGGTAAACAAGAAGCATACCGTGTACAGGCATGACTTACTCTCTGCATAGCAATTTCTCGCAGGTCTTGATGATCTCTTAACCAAGTTGGCACAAGCTCAAGATTCTGAAACTATCAGAACTGTAAGCATATAAAAAAAATTGAACTGTGTTTGACATTGTCGTAGGCCACTTCTGCTCTCAATACACAATACTATGCTTCTTCTGATTGTGTACCTGCACTTATCGAGATTATTGCTCGTTCACCCCATTTCCAAGTACGCCAATTAGCTGCGGTCGAGTTAAGAAAGCGTATTTCTAAGTGGTGGTCTCAAATCCAAGAAACTGTCAAGGTCAATTTGCGTACTCAGCTCTTGACTATTGCCTTGAACGAACAAAAGTAAAGTACAGAATAACCTGAATGTGTTTGCTGATCTATCTTTACAGCGATCAAGTACGTCATGCTGTGGCTCGTGTGATTTCTTCTGTTGCCAGTATTGATATGCCTGATGAAAAATGGCCTACACTTCTCAACTTCTTGCATGAATCCTGTGCTAGTCCTACAGCTTCTCACCGAGAAATCGGTATTTATTGCTTATATACTTTGTTTGAAGTGATTGCCGATTTCTTCATGAACAATACGGTCTCATTGTTTGAGTTGTTTAACAAGCTGATTGTGGATCCCGAAAGTAAATCAGTCAGGATTACGACTGTCTTGGTTCTTGGTAAACTCTCTGAATTTGTAGATAGTGAAGACAAGTCTACGATTGTAAGTACTGCTTAAGCAGAGCTTTTCTTTATTCATACTTGTTAGAAAATGTTCAGAGCCATGATTCCTCATATGGTCAGTGTCTTGGAACAATGCGTAAAGGATGGTGATGAAGAGAATGCTGCTCAAATCTTTGAAGTTTTCGATACTTTGTTGATGTTGGATGCACCTCTGTTGAACGAGCATTTGGCTCAATTGATTGATTTCTTCTTAACCATTGGTGGCAATGCTGAACTAGACGACACATTGCGTGTATTTGCTCTTTCATTCTTAATGTGGGCTGCTGTCTATAAACAAAACAAGATCAGACATCTAAAGTTGATTGGCCCCATGGTGGAGCGTTTGATGCCTATTGGTACAGAAGAAGATCCTGAAGATGCCGATGAAGACTCTGCTTCTCGACTTGCTTATAAGGTCTTGAATGCCTTGGCCACCAATATCCCACCTCAGCAAGTATTCCCTATTGTGATGCCCTTTGTACTCAACTATATTCAGCATCCTCAAGCCAATTATCGTAAGGCATCCATGATGGCCTTTGCTGTCACTGTTGAGGGTTGTACAGACATTATTGCCAACAAGTTAAATGAGTTGTTGCCCTTGGTCTGTACTGGTCTTCAGGATCCTGAGATTGTGGTACGTCGTGCTGCTTGTATGGCGCTTGGTTGTCTTGCTGAAGAAATGCCTTCTGATATTTCTGAGCACCATCAGGTGCTCTTGCCTCTCGTCTTTAACTTGATGAACGACAACAATTCTAAAGTCACTAAACATGCCTGTAATGCCTTAGATGCCATCCTCGAAGGTCTCGGTGCTGACATTATTCAATACTTGCAAATGTTGATGGAAAAACTCTTGTTCTTGTTGGACCATGCTCATGAAACAGAGACAAAAGCCACTGTGATTGCTGCTATTGGCAGTGCTGCTCATGCTGCTAGAGATGCTTTCCAACCTTATTTTGGCGAAGTCTTGCCTCGTATCGTTCAATTCATGTCACTCAAGGAATCTACTGATGACCAATTGTTGCGCGGTGTGGCTACAGACACGGCTGGCTCCATGGCCGAAGCCGTAGGTGCTGATGTCTTTAGACCTTATGTGCAAAACCTGATGAGCTTGGCTGTCGAACAACTCTACCTGGACTCTCCTCGTTTGCGTGAATGCTCTTATGCTCTGTTTTCTAACTTTGCTCGTGTGTTTGGTGAAGAATTCGCACCTTATTTGCCTACCATTGTACCTGAGATCTTGAACTCTTGCAAGGCAGAAGAAAAGAACGAAAATGTGTTAGACGAAGAAGTGGATTTGACCACAGGTGGCATGGACGATGATTTGGAAGAAGACTTTGAAAACTTCAACTTCAACTCGGCCATTGCTGACGAAAAGGAGTTTGCTGTGGATGCCTTGGGTGAATTGTTTGCCAACACCAAGTCTCATTTCTTGCCGTATGTCGAAGCTGCTCTTTTAGAACTTCAGAAACTCACCAGCCATTTGTACGATGGTGTGCGTAAATCAGCAACTCAAAGCTTGTTTATTTTCCTCAAGACATTCTATACCATGTCTAATCCTGGTCCCTGGACTGTGGGTATCCCTGCTACTTATGCCGTCCATGAAAATGTTCAGCGTTTAATCAATACAGTGATCCCAATGACCTTAGAGCTATGGAAAGAAGAAGATGACCGTTCTACTGTTACACAAACCTGTCAAGAATTTGTCAGTGCACTTCGCTTAATGGGTCCTGTCTTGATTTCAGATGTACTTGAAGACATAGCACAGAACTTGCTGGAAATCTTCCAAAAGAAGTCTGTTTGTCAAATGGCCTTTGATGATGGCGACTATGAAGAAGAAGAAGACGAGATTGAGTCTGAATCTCTCTTGATTACTTCTGCTGGTGATTTAGTGGCTGCTTTATGTGAAGTAGTAGGTCCTAGTTTCCACAAATACTTTGAAGTCTATTTGCCCTTGATCATCAAATACTACAAACCTACCAAGACACAAGCTGAACGTTCCATGGCCATTGGTTGTTTAGGTGAATGCATTGTAGGCATCAAGGAAGCCATCACACCTCATACAGAGCGCTTAACCCAAGTGTTTGTGAAAGCATGCTCTGATGAAGATGAACTGGTCCGTAGTAATGCTGCTTTTGCCTTGGGTTGTTTGACCATGTATACACAAATGGACTTGAGTCCTCATTATCCTGTCCTTTTGACTGCCTTGTCTCCCTTATTTAGTAACCAAACCTTTCCCAACACAGTAGACAATGCAGCTGGTGCTGTGGCTCGATTGATTTTAGCCCATCCTGATGCTGTTCCCTTAGATCAAGTTTTGCCTACATTTACCAATGCTTTACCCTTAAAGGCTGATTTTGAAGAAAATCAACCCGTGTTTGATTGTCTCTTCCAACTCTTCCAGGCTCATAACTCCTTTGTCTTTAGCCATTTATCTCAATTCCTTCATATCTTTACACAAGTGCTTTCTGATCAAGAGCAGCTTAAAGAAGCCACTCGCGCTCATTTGATTGAACTGATTCGACACTTGAATTCTCAATCCCCTGAACTCAACATTGGCTCAAGTGAACTTGCACGCTTTTTATAAGAAATAAATGTTTTTATTACAAAGGAACACGACGTAAAGCATGAATTAACCAGAAATTCGATGTCAAGAGTGAAAGTGCACCTGCTTGATGAGCAGCAGCCAATTCAATAGGAACCATATAGACTAAAGTAGAGATACCTAAGCTGACTTGAACCACAACAGCACCCATCATAGTATTGACTGCCAAACGTACGTTCTTGGGCAAGGGTAAACGTCTTGACCAGAGCCACAAAGCTGTTGTCAAGGTAGCTGTGGTCTCTGCCAAGGTACGGTGGTCAAATTGGACAGTGGTAGGATTTTCGAGTAAGTTGCGCCATTTACCCTTATCGGTGGGTTTGACATAATGATCAGACCAGAGTTCAGCCTTGGGTGGTACAATGCCTTCACCCATCCAGGGGAACTCATTGTAGATCAAGCCTGCATCTAAACCTGCCACTAATCCACCTGACAAGACCGTCACTAACATCAAGGCACCCAAGCTATGAGTGGCGATACGGAATCGCTTCAAGACAGGGTTGTTGAGCATCTTGGCTGTCTCTAAGGGGAAAGTGCCATTGGCCAATTTGTTTTGGCGGATAATGTCAGCAGCCACAAAGATAGTGCTGCCATAAATAGCGATGGCTGTAGCCAAATGAGCTGTGAGACGGTATTGGCTTACGCGAGGTACAGCACCAGGTTCTTTCATCAATGCTTCATTTAAGCCTGATTTTACCATATACCAACCCATGAATCCCTACAAAATAATAATGCATGAGATTCTTATCAAGTCTATCATTTTGTTTTTACCTGGAAGCCAAGTAGACAAGTAATACCCAAGGTTTGTTTCATGACTCGCTTTGACATGTAACCCTTTTTAGCAAAGTATAAACCGGGCAAAATAAAACTCATACCAATGAAACGACCAATCATGCGATGAGACCATTCCCAGTAAAAGATATTCTTGAATTCATCCAATGTCATATGGCGATTCAGTCTTAAGGAAGCATGAGACATGACATATCAGAACTATACAACTTACAGTTTATATTCAGGGAATTGCTTGTATTTCTCAAATTCCTCCTGCCATTCTAGTTCGGAGCGAGGTGGTTTCATGCCTGAAATGACATTCCATTCAGTAATAGAAAGACCACTTTCAGTCAAGCGAGTCAGACCACCCACTACCACAATTGAAAAGACCATACCGGCATTAAAATAAAGCCAATAAGCAACAGCAGGTTTAGTGACAGCCTTTGTTGTTGTTGTACTAGCAAATCGTTGTGTCAAACTTGGTTTATAACTTGACATGCGATGCCAAGATGAATTCAAGGACTTATTGAATGTCATGAAGGATCGTTGCTGACAAGGACGAGTCAAATGTCCTACTCGAAGCAAGGATCTTCCAAGTGCTGTTCTGATCATTGTAAGAAAAACTGAAGAGAAAAAAAAAAAAGGAAGGTGGGTCGATTTATTTTCTTTTTTATAGGTCATACAGGGACCAGGGCTGAAATTTCGCAGTAATGTTTTTATTAGTATTATTCAACTTCTTTATGATCCCCACTGAGTAAACGATGAAATTCAGAATGAGATTGATCCATTTCAAATAAGAGTTGTCTTGCTTGTTCTTCTGTAATCTCATCACTTGCTTTCATTGAATGAAGCGTAATAAGCCATTGTCTGACTTTTTGTTTGCCTTCAAAATCGGGTGTCAATCCAGGTACTTTGTTGAGTGATTGGATTAAATCAGCTAAAATTGGATGTAATTCATCGACTGCATATCGATTTAACCTCAGTGTATCCATCAACGTAATAAAGTGCTATTGCTTATAAGTACATTATATATATTATCTTTTTACTTACCAATACAGTCTCTGCAATATATTTAGCAGATTTGCCTACTTCTTTTTGTTTGTCATCAATAGCATGTTCATAAGTAGCAGGCACACCAATCTTAAATCGATTCACTGCAGCAGGACAAGACAACTAACTGAATAAGTCATTTTGGAATGTTTATGGACTTACTTTATAGTCATTCATGAATGTCTCTAAATTGTCGACAGATTCTGATAAAAAGTTCATGGTTGTCTTGTATTTGGCAATCAAATTAGCACATTGAGGTGTATATCTAAAGAGATAAGCTACTCGCATCATGTATGATGACTTACTCTTCTGCTGTAATAGAGTCTCGAATAAAGGCTTTTTCCAAATGCTCCATCAGTACTATAATCGAATACAAATCAGCCATATTATCATACTTGTCTCTTTCTTTATTATTGGTGAATAATTTGACTTCCTATTCTGTAGTGTGAGTCTTTATGGATGTTTCATCTTTCTCCTACTTCATCTAGGTTTATGCCTACTTATATTTAATAACACGTCATTACATTACTATGTACACATACCTAGTGATCTATTCAAGTAATGAGGAGCGTATTGAGTATTGGTAGGTGATGTCATGAGGAAAAAAAAAAAGAGGAATTCGTTTATGTGTCTGATTTTAATAGCCGCATTATGCTTCATTTTCATTGGTTATCAAAACAAGCAAAAAGTAAAAAAAAAAAAAAAAAAAAAAAGGTAGAGCTCCCCTGGTTTCTTTTTATATATATCTATATACCATGAATAGTCCATTTCGACAAAATCAAGGCATGTCTCTTCAAGAGCAACAAACGATTCAAATGATGCAGGGTGCTTTTGAATCATGTGTTGTAAAGACAGCTATGTCTGGTGTGGCAGGTAAGTTTCCCTTTTTTTTTAAAAAAAAAAATAGAGTCTCATTCGTTGTGTAGGTTTTGGTATGGGTGCAGCATTTGGTTTGTTCATGTCTAGTTTTGAATATGCAGGTCCAATGACCAATGAAGATCTCGTCAAACAAACAACTAAAGAGCAAATGAAACATGCACTTAAAGATATGGGTACTCGATCTTATTCTATGGCCAAGAATTTTGGTCTTGTAGGCATGATCTATTCAGGATCAGAATGTTGTATTGAATCAGTAAGTCATTGAAAGCAACAACTCATAGCTCATTGTGTATAGTATCGTGCCAAAAATGATTTAGCAAACAGTGTGGCAGCAGGTGCATTCACAGGTGGTTTATTGGCTGCTAAAGCAGGCCCTCAAGCCATGGCATTAGGTGCAGGTGGTTTTGCTTTATTTTCATTAGCCATTGATTGGTATATGCGTCGAGATTAATAATAAACACACTGTCTGGAGTGCTTTGGCAACTCGCTTGAAATCATCCAGATCATTGTAGACTTGTGCACTAAGACGAGCGTACCATGTATGATTGTGTTGATAGACAGGAGCCATACAGTGATGATCATACAACAACTTGTCGATAAACAACTGAATCACTTCGTGCTCAGGGAGGTCGGTGGTCAATGGTAATCTGACATTGACCATGGCAAGCCCTGGGCTATAAAAAAGGTCAGTGCCGAGTATGTCAGCCACCAGATGTCCTCCTCGAACAGCCAAGTCATGACAATAAGCCATGATGGCTTCTTCTCCACCTATTGACTCTCTAAATGCAAGTGCTTTCTATTGTTAGAACTGGAAATGTTATCCCCAGTTTCTTACCTGCATTGATACACATGAAATTCGAGAAGTCGGCTGTACCTGGCCATGCAAATTCTAATTGAAATGACTTGTTGTAAGCAGAATTAATAATGGCAGGATGAATAAGCTGTTGATTTCTAAAGGGAACATAGAGAACAGCACATCCTCGAGGAGCATAGAGCCATTTATGACAATTGGTAATAAAGAAATCAGGATCCAAGTCAGAGAGATCAAGGGGGATGTGACCTAGGAAAACCATAAATAAACCATGAAGTGCTTTTCTCATTTATTTACCTATCGCATGAGCACCATCTACCATACTCAAGATATGGTATTGTTTGACAAGCTGAATAGCTTCTTTAAACGGAAACAAGACAGCAGGGACAGAACTGATTGCATCCATAAAGCAAACCTTGATAGGTCCATTCTGCAGGCTATTTTCATACTCAATAGTACGCTTGATCTTATCCAACACGTCTTGATCACACATGGGGTAAGCAAGGTCAATACGGACTAGATGGATCTTCTCAGCATCCTTAATAAACTCGAGTGTACTTTCAACTGAATTATAAGCAGTATTAAACTAGACAAAATGAGTCAAGTAGAATAGGCAATATTGGATAGTTTACATAGAGTATTTTATCACTTGGTTGTAAAGCAAGACTTCTAGCGACTGTATTAATACCCGTCATGGCATTAAACACAAACACAAGCTCTTGAGGGTTGACATGAACCAGATTGGCTATGGAAGCCTTATTGGCATCAAGTTCAGGAAACATGTCTCTTCTTAGCCAACGATCTGGATTCTGTTCTACTTTTTGACGTAATTCAGACAGTGTAGATAAAAGTGGTTTAGGCAATGCACCATAAGAACCATGGTTCAGTGGTGTATAGTCAGGTTCAAATAAGAACTGGTCTCTCACTTGTTTACCCAACATGAAAGAAAAAATGTAATTTATTTACAATCCAAGTACCAGCATGGAAAATCACCAGTGTGTTATGTACACGCCCTTTTTTTTTGAATTTCTTGTTCTGCACGCATAGTGCGCTGCTGAAGCCAAGTAGCGAAATTACCACATTTAAGAAACTGAGCATATAATTCCTTGGTAGGATCTGATGTTGAAGTACGTGTTTTGAATGTTGATTTAAAGGGTAATTGAGGACCATGTTCCTTGAGTGATTTCATGAATTGATCTGTTTGAAAGGGTTTTAGTCGAGTATTACCATGCGATAGATTGACGGGTATGAGCGTACTGAAATAACGATTCAGAGGCACAAGAAATTTCTCTGTTAAATCCACAAAATGTCGTTTAAGCATATTGTTTAATACCCAATCTATTGTGTTGGTTAGTTCAACAGAACGCATCCCTTGCTCTTACCTGGAGGTGAACCTCGAACAGATGCTTCTGTCAGCATCTTGACTAGTTCACGATCTCTGGCAATGACTGATTTTCGTTTTGAAGTGACACCTTGAACAAAATTAAACAACACATTTGATTTATTACCAAGACCAGGCTTTGATCTTGAAGTATGTGGATGTGGAATATGGGTTGGTATTAAGGTACCATCAGGTTTTCTGTTTGATTTAGTCAACTTATTTGTAATCTATGTGTGATTACCTTGGTTGTTGTCTGCCTACACGAACAATATTAGGCCAATGCTGAACAGCTGTATTAAAAAATGGATTGGTAACACCCAAAACAAGGCTTGATAATGGCTATAGAAAATAAGTCATGATGAGTTTATCTGCTTGCCTGCCATGTTTTTTTTTTTTTTTTTTACCTTATTCTTTGTCACAAAACTCTTAAAATCCGAATCTTGAATAGTGAAATAAGGTCTATAATCTCCACAATAATGTATCTAAAAAACAACCTGAGTCTATGGATACGTGAGAGAGAATACTTACAGGATGAATAAGATCGACAAGGGAAAGAACAGCTTCACTACACACACTTGGGTCGGGTGCAATGACCACAATGGGTTCAGCCAACAGCATAAGTTCCCAAAGCAACCAAACCTCTTTTAAAATATCTCTAAAATGATGATACAGCCCTCTGACGGGTAAAGAAGCCATGATCTGAAGATCAGGTTTGAATTTGTTCATATCAAACGGTGATGTCTCTAACAATTGAGGTTCTAAGGGTGTGGGTAAAGCCACTTGCAGTAATCGACCGAGAAAAGGTAGATCAAGCACACGATGCTCAGGAGGCATCCATTGAGCAATGTTCATGCAGGCAGCCTCGAGCATGGGTTGACCTGTATCGAAAAAAGCAGGACCAAGTATGGATACCATGCGTGAAAATAGCCCTACAAATGGATGTTGAGACAACAATACCAACGATTTCTAATAAGATGTCAGTCAGATGACTAATAAGCTTCATTTTACCTGAAAATAGCCACGTCGAATACTGGCATCTTTCTTTTGTCTAAAGAACACATAACCATATAAAAATCCTGCATCTGCAGTAGGCCCTAAACTCCTAAAATCAATCCTCCTATTTTTTTTTTTTTTTTTTTTTTTTATTTTTTACCTGAAGCAGCAAACTTGGAAGATGCTTTCACTCTAATATTAAAGACTTGGTCTCCTACTTCAAACACGTTGGAATCTGGAAATGCTGCAAAACAACTAAGAAATAGAGAGGATAAATACAACAAGATCAAGTACCCCTTTCCTTTGTTTGATTTCTTACATGTTTTTTTGTTCTGTACTAGTTAGATCAATAGGAGGATAAGCATAATCCAAGGCTATCCTGGTTAGTTTTTTGATGCATATACAATCAAAATATGATCTTACCTTGACCAATCTCCAGATCAAAATTGACTACACAGAAACCAACAAGCCATTTTTGAAGATGGCATAGATCCAAAGGTTCCAACATGAACATTTCATCTTTTTCAGTGATATCCAGTCCTGGTGAAATAGTAGGTGGTGAAGGTGTCCTATGGCGCAAGTCTGGATGAGATGCTGAATTACCGAGTCGATGACCAGGTGAATGCAGTATGGATGTAGAAAGTTGTTTTCGAATAGGATAGTCAAACACGTCCGACATATCAGTCTCAGTAGGTGCTTCATCGGATGAAGGTGAACTACTATAGAGCAATGAACTACTACTACGAATACCGTCTGTTTGATCGAGATGGCGTAGAATATTTATTTTTGGTATAGCAATCTCGCCTTCCATCATCAAAGAAATAAAAAGAAGAAAAAAAAAGCCCTAGGAAGAGAGAGAGAGAGAGAAAGCAAAAGAGAGAAAAAGTTGGTTCGTTTTAAAAGAGGGCATAAACTTGAATTTTGCGAGTATTTTAGTAATTTGTTATTGTGTGTGATTTTATAGGCTTTGTGATACATGAAATCAACATTTATAGGCATGGTTTCATGACAGCAGCATAAAATGATGCAACCTTGACAATGATCTTCTTTTTTTTTTTTTGCTTTTTTGTCATGTCAAGTAATTCATTCTCTATTTCATGGCCTATTGTTTTGGCTGCCATTCCTGCCTTAGGTGCATTTGTGGCTGGTAGTGCGGATATCTGGAGCGATTTTATTATGCTTTTATTGATTCTGTATTATGTCCATCAATGGATGACAGGTAAATATAGAATAATGATCTTTATTGACAAACAGTAGTGCCTTGGTCTTATTATGAAAGCGCTAAATCTCGACGTATATTATATCAACCCACGAACAGATCAGAACAAGAAAAACAAGTCAAGCTTCAGAAAGAACTTCGTTGCCATGAACTGATTGGCCTAATATGGGTACTGGTATCACCTGCAATGGCAGGCTATACATTACGCTATAGCCAATATTTACTTTCGAATGTGGATCATTATGTGAGTTCATTCAATATCACTGTGTTTGTCTTGGCTGCTTCAATTCGACCACTCAGTCATATCATAACAATGTTACATGAACGTACTTTATTCTTGCATTCAGAATCCATGGTCAAGGCAAGTCAAGTTGAATTACTAGAGGCCAAAGTAGATCAACTTGAGAAACAAGTGCATTTGTTACATCAACAGACAGTCAAAAGGCAACTGGAAGAGAGTGCAGATCTGGCAAAGGCATTGAAAAGAGCAGAGAGACGACAATCCTCGGTACAAGAACAATTGGCCATGATGGATACAAAAGTACGTGAAGTGGATGGTCGACTAGATCAACAGACCCATCCTACGCTAGTCCAATGGATGCTACTACCGTTTTACATACTCTTATGGGTAACAAGGTATATGACTATGTGGATATCTATACTCGAAAGCAAGAAAAAGAAGCATTTAGTATAGAGAATAAAAAAAGGTAGAAATAGCAGTCACATTTCCTATGGCTGAAATCAGTGGGTTGCCATTCTCGACCCTTGACTATTTTTTTCTTTTTTTTTTTTTTTGTCTTGTTATTATTCGAAAGAATGCTTCGTTCTACTCGATTATTGAATCAATCTACCACTTTATGTGTGAGAGCTCTTTCAACCGCTGTCCAACCACCCAAGACCCCTGTCAATCTTGGTCATCTTTCTGATAATGTGGGGGCTGTTTCTGAGGTAAATGAGACACATGGATGCATCATAGAACTTATGGTATACAGCGTACCCGTGTAGGTCGTGGTCCTGGCTATGGTAAGGGCAAGACTGCTGGTCGTGGTCATAAAGGTCAAAAGGCTCGTTCAGGCAATGGACAACCTGTGCCTTGGTTTGAAGGTGGTCAAACCCCTCTTGTGAGACGTTTACCTAAGCGTGGTTTCTACAACATGTAAATAAGGACTGAATATGTAGTTGTTTACTGACATTTTATAGTCATGGAAAGGATTATCAAGAATTGAATTTAGATCGTCTTGAGCACTGGATCCATACAGATCGTCTTGATGCTTCTCAACCTATTACCATGAAGCATTTGTTGGACAGTCGTTGCATACACAAGATTGAAGATGGTGTCAAATTACTGAGTGTTGTAAGTAACAAGTCTTCCTGTTTTAGGCTAATCATGATAGGGTGCTGAAACATTCTCTACACCCATCACTATTGAAGTCTCAAGAGCATCACAAAAGGCCATTGAAGCCATTGAAAAAGCAGGTGGAAAGATTGTTACTCGTTACTATAATGCTCTTGGTTTAAGATCACTTGTACACCCTGAAAAGTTTGCACAGATGCCCAAGTTGGCTGCACCATTACGAAAAGAAGATATCAAGTATTATTCTGATGCCAACAACAGAGGTTATTTAGCACAATAAATCAATGTACATACTTTATATATATATATTTTTTTTGTTGGAGATACAAGACAAAAACAAAACAAAACAAAAAGATGATAGATGTAGATCTACATCATTTTCTTAAAAAAAAAAATTACATACCTTTTAAAGTGATTTTTTTTGACGCGGTGGATTGACTCGGTGGAAGAAAATTCCCTTTTATAGCGTGTCTGTCCTTAAAAAAAAACAGCTGTATTTAAAGCAATTCTCTTTCTTTTGTTTTGTCTTTGTTTATTTTTCTTTATCATGCTTCGTTCATTCACTAATATCAGAGCTACTTCTTTACGTCTTCTTCGTCCCACATTGACTGTAAGTGCATTGTATAAAGACATGTTTGACTTAGCATAATAGCGTGGTTATGTGTTTCCTGCTGGTCAACAAGAATTCCTCAATCAAAGACTGGAGAAAATGGATCCAGAAATGTTTGATATTATCGAAAGAGAAAAGAAGAGACAACAAGAAAGTATTGATCTTATTCCTTCTGAAGTAAGTCTATGATTTGATGACTGACTTATTCACCATCAACCAAGAACTTTACTTCTCGAGCTGTCATGGATGCACTTGGTAGTGTGATGCAAAACAAGTATTCTGAAGGTTATCCAGGTGCCAGGTAAAATAGACCAAACTAGAAAGATGGGCTAATAGTCACAGATATTATGGTGGTAATGAATTCATTGACATGTCTGAAAACTTGTGTCGTCAAAGAGCTCTGGAAGCCTTTGAACTCGATCATCAAAAATGGGGTGTCAATGTCCAGCCTCTTTCTGGTGCTCCTGCTAACTTGTATGTATATGGTGCTCTCTTAAAACCTCATGAACGTATTATGGGTCTTGATCTTCCTCATGGTGGACAGTAAGTATACACTTTAGCTTAACCTCCCTAAAAAAAAAATCAGTTTGTCCCACGGCTATCAAATCCCAAACAAAAAGATTTCTCAAGTATCTGCTTATTTCGAAACATTGCCTTATCGTTTAGATGAAACTACAGGTCGTATTGATTATGACACTTTAGAAAAAAATGCTATGCTTTATCGTCCTAAAATCATTGTGGCTGGTGCCAGTGCTTATGCTCGTAATATTGACTATGCTAGAATGCGACAGGTAAAGAGACATGGATGGTTTGTGAGTACTGATATACTGTAGATTGCTGATCAATGTGGTGCTTATCTTATGGCAGACATTGCTCATATTTCAGGCTTGATTGCGGCAGGTGTCTTGCCTGGTCCATTTGAATATGCTGATGTTGTCACCACCACCACACACAAATCACTTCGTGGTCCTCGTGGTGCCATGATCTTCTTCCGTAAAGGTCTTCGTAGTGTAGATAAAAAGGGCAGAGGTAATAAACAGTCAAGTCAGGCAGGATTTATTAACACTATTCCCCCCCCCTCCCCTCCAGAAATCCATTATGATCTCGAAAACCCTATCAACCAATCTGTCTTTCCCGGTCACCAAGGAGGTCCTCACAACCACACCATCACTGCTTTATCCGTCGCTTTGAAACAAGTCAAATCTCCTTTATTCAAGGAATATCAAGAACAAGTCCTCAAGAACAATACTGCCTTTGCTGATCGTTTCAATCAACTCAAATACAATCTAGTGAGTGGTGGTACAGACAACCATCTGCTGCTTGTCGATCTCAAGTCAAAGGGTGTGGATGGTGCCCGTGTTGAGCGTGTGCTTGAGCTCGTCAATATTGCTGCTAACAAGAACACAGTACCTGGTGATAAGAGTGCCTTGATTCCTGGTGGTATTCGTATTGGTACACCAGCCATGACCAGTCGTGGCTTTAAGGAACATGATTTTATCAAAATTGCTGATTTTATTGACCGTGCTGTCAAGATCACACAAGAAGAAAAGGCTAAGGTGACTGGTAAGAAACTAGTGGATTTCAAGCACCATATTGGAGATGGTTTAGCTATTGAGTCAATTCAGACATTGAAAAAAGAAATTGCTGATTTTGCCTCTACTTTTCCTACTGTTGGCTTCTGGGAGTCTGAAATGAAATATCAATAAATAAACATGATAGACAAAAAAAGAGTATGTAAACAATGAACAATAACAATGGTTTTGTACTACCTTGTATGATACAAAATAAAGGGGAAGGCTTTTTCTTTCTTTTCTCTCTCTCTCTCTCTCTCTCTCTCTCTCTTTTGTTGTGTGATGAATACATTGAAAAAGGTCAAGAAACTGTTTAGTAAAGATAATCATGATGTGCCTATGATAAATAAAGTATCATTTCGATGTCGACGTATTCCAAACCCATTTCAACCAGTGTATGAAATAGAATGGCAACACCAATGGCTTCCACTGGATTCAACCACAAGCCAATACATTGAGCGTATGCGGCGAAAAGGGTTCTCAAGAGTGGCTATTCGAAATGATACTCGCCTTATACGCCTGATGAACAAAAAGAGTGAATTGGATATTTTATTGGAACTTTCATTGACTCCATTTAAACAAGCATCTTGGTGGACAATGGATCATGTTGGTGAGGCTTATTTGCCTGATTGGATGGAACACTACTCAGAGAAAGAAAAAGAGAGTTTGCAGTATACAATGCCTCCTCATATGTTGGAATAAATAATATACCCTTTTAGAATGCCCTGATAGCATAAACTTATCCAATTGAATGGTCACTTGTCTGACTTTGAATTGTATCATGACGCTGACTAGCATGTCTGTGAGTTCATCCGATCAATAAAAAGTAAGGGTGAGATAGCTGCATTTTGGTTATTGATTTCCTTTTTTTGTTTTTTTTTTTGTTGATGAATAGTAAGACTGACGTCAACATAACGCTTGATCTTAAAGACAGAAAGAAGGATGCTCTATCACTGACCAATTAAAACTCCGTCAAGATGCAATAAAACCATGAGCGTATTTGTTATTCTCTTTCTTTCTTTTTGTTATTTTTTCCTTATTATATTACACTATGGCATTAGGTTTTGGCAGCAAAAAGAAACAAGCCAATGAAGAAGAAACACCCACCACCAGTGATGTGGATCAACTCTCTATGAACAACTTTGATGCTAATGAGAAGGGTCAATTCAAAGAATTCAAAGAGTTTATCAAGACTGTCATTAGCTTTACAGGTGATCTCTCTTCTTTAACTTGCCCTGCTTTCTTTTTAAACGGCCTTTCTCTATTGGAATATGGGTAAGTCCCAATCCATGATGAATTTCAATACTGACGTCTACCACAAGTACTTATTGGGGTGATCATCCTGCTGCTTTTACAGCCATTAGTCAAGCACCTACACCAGAAGGTAAGTAAGATAGAATGGTGTTCATAACTCATGTATTTTAAGAACGATTGTTGGCTATTTCTCGTTGGTTCATGTCAACACTTTATGGTAGTTATGCTTCTCGTTGTACAGATGGAAAATATGAAAAGAAGCCTTACAACCCTATTTTGGGTGAAAAGTTCTTTTGTAAGATGGGTGATGCTACTTGTGTTTGTGAACAAGTGTGTCATCATCCACCCATCTCTGCTTTTTACCTTGAAGATGAAAAAGCAGGTGTTTCCTTGAATGGTCACAGTAAGTATATGGTGTTTGCTCATATGTTTATTATACTAACAATAACATCAACAAAAACAAAAAAAAAAAAAAAAAAGGTGGTCAAAAATCCAAATTTAAGGGTACTTCAATCAAGGTAGAACAAGTAGGCAGAGCTGTGTTGTATCTGAAGCAATTCGATGAACAATACATGATTGATTTTCCTGACTTGATGATTCGAGGTGTATTGACAGGCGGTTGCTTCATTGAACTGAGTGGTACTTGTACCATTGCAGGTTCAAACAACACAAAGGCTGTGATTGAATTTGTTCCTAAACCATGGTTCGGTGGTGAATATAACCATATCAAGGGCTCATTGTATATCGATAACAAACTCGCTTACGTACTCTCGGGCCGTTGGAGTCATCAGTCGTTTTATGCCAAGCCTCATTCGGATCAAAAAGAATTGTTGTTTGATGCAAAGGCTGAACCCATGGCAGAGCGTGTTACTGCGCCTGTAGAACAACAAGATGCGTATGAGACACATCGCGTATGGGGTCCTGTGACAAAGGCATTAGAAGAAAAGAACTTTAAGGCAGCCAATGCTGAAAAGACCAAGATTGAAGATTGGCAACGTAAAGTGCGTAAAGAGCGTGAAGAAAAGAGTGAAGTCTGGAGTCCTTCTTTGTTTGTGTTCCAAAAGGACACAGAGACAGATGATGTGTATCATCAAAAGAATGCTGAAATCAAGAAGCATATGGATTCTAAGCATCACTTGGACAATGGCGCTTGGACTTATAATAAATCACTACATATCAGTTCTTAATCTAATTTATCATCACAGTTACATAGAAACACACTTTTCTTTTTTTTCTTTTTTTAATAAACATTTCTCTTTTTTTTTTTTTCTCAATTATTTTTTTAAGCATCATGTCACTTTTAAAAGATTTGTACAATGATCCTGAATTAGAAGAAGACGAAGATGAAGAAGATGATCAAGACTTTGTACCAGAAGGTAGATTAAATTAAAAAAGAATTTCATTAACACACTGATTAGATGATAGTGAAGAAGATGATCATCACATTGAAGAAGAAAGTGATCATGAATCAACAAAAAGAGAAAACTACCTCAAACCAAGTAAAGTGATACTCATCTAATTGCTTGTCTTATATGTTCTTTATTTCTTATAGGGATGAGTCTGTAAAAAAGACAAGAATTGACGCTATCTGGAAAGAAATGAACGCGGCACCTTCTACAGCAACAAACAAGGAGAAAAAAGAAAAAGAAAAAAAAAGGAATCCAAGCAACAAGAAGAAGAAGAAAAAGTACTAGAGAAACCAAAGAAATCAACGCCCAAAAGACCTAAATCGAATCTATCATCGCTTGTCAGTAAATACAATATCAAAGAACCTAAAATGAATACGCTTGAAAAGAGTAAATTAGACTGGCAAGGCTTTGTAGACAAAGAAGGTATTCGAGATGAACTCAAGTATAAAAACAAGGACGGATACATGGAAAAAGTCGCTTTTCTTCAGCGTGTAGATGATCGCAGATTGGATCAATTGAAACAAGGACAAAAGAAGAAACAATAAAAATAAATGTAATGCTATAGTCAACTTTTCTTCTTATTGGATGCTTAAAAAAAAAAAAAAAAAAAAAAAAAAAAAAAAAGATAAAAGCCATTTGATAACTAGCATTAACATTTTGTAAGATATTTTCAAAATGAGCAAAGGTATTGTGTCTTTCTACTAAAATGAACACCGTTGTTGGTGTCACATAATAAATGTCATTTCCTGTTACAATGATGACAGCTTAAAATAACTTTGGACAAATTTGGTTCCTATTGCTTGCAAGACTGAGTCAAAATTTACTTGGAATTGCCATTTCCTTTTCCCCCTCGTGTTTCTATTGATGACAATGATTGGGACTCAAAAGGAGAGAATGGCTGAATGCCAAGCCATGATACCAAAAAAAAAAAAAAAAAAAAAAAAAAAAAAAGGGAACAATGAAGCTTAATGCATTTAGTTTTGAATTGTTAAAGTCAGACATAAAAAGGGTTTAAAAATAATCAAGAGGCCAAGTATAAATAACTATCGTTTATTTATTTTGCTCATAGACAACAAAAGAGAACTGCATGCATTATTATTATTATTATTTTTTTAAAATAGGTGTTTTTTCCAATGGACATTTAAAAATTACCACATCTAAAATAAACGCAATGGTACAAATAAGGTATTGCTTCGATAAAACTCAGTCTTAAATGAATATAGCCATATTCCCTCTTTTTCTTTTCTTTTTTCTTTTCTTTTTTCTTTTCTTTTATTCAAATGCGTCCCTTTATACTTTCTAGCATTGCTCTTTCTTTAGTTCAATGCGTATTTGCTGTTGAACAACCCACAACAGATGGTTTATCAAACCCACCTGGAGTGACTGGCAATGTTCACTATGCTAATTTATTAAATGTCTCTATGTGGTTTTATGAAGCACAACGAAGTGGTTATTTGCCTGCCAATAACCGTGTGCCATGGTAAATTGAATCTTCAGTTGATGCTCTATACTTATTCTCGTTTTATTAGGCGTTCTAATTCTGGTCTGCAAGATGGAAGCGATAACAATGTTAACTTGACGGGTGGCTATTATGATGCTGGGTAAAGTAGTAGTAATAGTATTTGTTTATCTATTGCACAACTCAGCCCTTTACTCATTGCATGACGTATCTCTTTAGTGACTATCTCAAGTTCTCTTTACCACTGGCTTATTCATTGTCAAGTCTTGCTTGGGGTGCCAGTACTTGGTTTGATGGTTATCAAAAAGCCAATCAAGTAGGCTATTTACGAGACACAATCAAATGGGGTACCGATTGGCTCATTCAGGCACACCCAAACAATGACACCTTCTATGTTCAAGTAGGTGATGGTGATATCGACAACAATTATTGGGGTAAATAGGAAGTGTGTTATGTATGATTCTTATATGTTGTTCTTTAGGACCCGACACTGGCATCCCAACACCTCGTCCTTCTTATCAAGTCAATCGAACTGCCGTAGGAACAGATGCCGTTGCCATTTCTGCTGCAGCACTTGCATCAGCCTCATACTTATTTAGAAACTATATCAACGATACAGACTATGCCAACACGCTCTTGACTTCTGCTACCTCTCTTTTCAACTTGGCCGATACCGCTCAGCCTCGCAACGTCTATACCAATGCTATCCCCGCCATTGCCGAATTTTACAACACCAACAATTATACCAGCCAATTAACGTATGCCGCTCTTTGGATGTATAAAGCCACGAACAACGTGACCTATCGTACCATGGCCTCTGACTATTTTGACGCTTTTAAGCTCGATCATAGTCAAATTACCGTCATGGACTGGTCTGATCAGACCAATGCTGTGTTTGTGCTGGGTGCCGAAGTCGATGCCACCAATCCTAAATACGCTACAGCTGCCAAGAAAGTCTTGGATGCAATCACGACCAGTGGCTCAGGTTCCCCATGCACATTTACCAATGGTGGCTTGTTGTGGTGTGATGGCTACAGTACCGAGAATTCCTTGATTCCTGCTCAAGACATGGCCTTGTTGGCTCTGCTCTACAGTCGACTCGATAGCTCGAAATCCGATAGCTACACTCAATTTGCCTTGAACCAAATCAACTATTTGCTCGGCAACAATTACATGAACACACCTTATGTCTGTGGTATTCACAAGAATTCGCCTCGTAATCCTCACCATGCAGGTGCTTCAGGCGGTACGGATATAGGCAACATCAATGGTTCTCCTGCTGAAGAAACCCATATCTTATATGGCGCCATTATCGGTGGTCCCGATAAGCAAGATAAATTCTATGATATCCGTGATGATTACTCACAAACAGAAGTTGCCTTGGACTACAATGCACCCTTTCAGGGTTTGGTTGCTTATCAAATCAGTACCAACGCTGCTGATCCTCCTTATGTGACCATTACGGCCGATAGACCTAGTGTGTCTCGTTCAAGTGGTATTCCTCACTGGCTTATTGCTGTTATTGTGATTTGTGTGGTGTTTGTGATAGCCCTTGTGAGCTATGTTCTTTATTGGAAGCGTGTTTGGTGCTTTAACCGAGGTTACAACAAGGCCTAAATTTGTAATAATAAATCATGTAGAGAGTTATTTTTATTTTATTGCTATGGTGTAACACAACAAAAAGAAATCTAAAATAAGGTGATAAAGTACAGTCTTTTTATTTTATTTTTTTGTCTTTGTTTAATATGCTTATAAAATGACATATGGACATGATATGTGAGTGTATATATACATTCTAAAGATGCTTGTAGTATGTGTGAATGGAGAAATATGTATGAATGGATGTAAAATGATGAAGTAAAACGAAGAAAAAAACGGGAGGCATAAAGGAAATGGCATAAGAAATTAGCATACTATGTGTTGTCTATATGGTGCTTTTTTTTTTTCTTGTAATTTTTTTTTTTTTTTAAAAAAAATGAGTCTAATGCTTTTGTTGTTGTTGTTGTTTAAAATGACCATGGTTGGTATAATTGTTGTGATTGAGATGGAATAGGATGAGATGGTATATAGTCTAAATAAGTTTGTTGTTGTTGTTGTTGATATTCTATAGAGAAGTCATTGTCAACCCAAGTGGCAGCAGGCATATTAAAATCGAACAAATGAGTCGTCATTTCCTTTTGGTAATTCATAGGAAATTGGTTAAAAGAGGAAATCGGGGTAGAGCCGATTGGTGAGGCAAGTGTGCTGATATCATCCCACGAATAAAATTCGTCTTGAAGAGGCGTAACATTGCCCGATATGGTCTGGTGGTGATGGTCTAGCATATTGTTTGTGTATCCACCATATGCATAGTGCAACGTTTCATCCGATAATTCATCAAAACTACTGGCACTGGTAGGTGACAAGGAAGATAATAACTGCAAACCAGAACCTTGGCTAGGCACACAAGGAACTTCTTCATCAAAGAAAGGTGGTGTATAAACAGGACTGACCATGGTTGAAATCGTAAGAGGATGACTAGGCATCTTGGCATGACTCAAGACTTGAGGTACATTTTCATAAATGGGTGTTTTCCAAGATGATTGTTCTTCTGTCAATTTAGGATAAACTAAGGTAAAAATGTCAGTCTCTATGCATATAAAAGTAAACAAATCTGTATTTACCTGGCTTGTCTTTAATATAAGCTTGACGCTTCTTGTAGGGACCACGCTTAACACCTTTTTTACGTTCTTTACGGTCAGAATCTCTGCAGGTAGCCGTCAAACCAAGTTTAATGCAACGTTTACAAGGTCTACCATCATCACATTTTTTGCAAGCTTTTTGACAGTTGACTTGAATTTAAATTTAGCATGTATTTACACTAAATGTTTTTCTTACCACAAGCATTTTTGACTTGTTTACGTTTCGTCTTTTCAGGTACTGGTTTTGTAGCAGGCACAGCTTTTTTTTGTTCTACTGCAGTATCGAAGTTGGCAGTCCAAGTATTGGGAATAGAAGGGTTAAATTGCATTTGTTAGATAATAAAGAGCTGAAAGAAGAAGAAGAAGAAGAAAAAAAAAGAAATAGATTTGATTTGGTTTTTTATATATATTTAGAAATTTAGATATTTATAATTTATTCTCTCACATGGTGCATAGTTTCAAGGTAAATCACCATGAGCTTATTCTTTCAGAAGAAAAAGCATGACGCAATGACTATTCAAACGAATATTGTGCTTCATGCCACGTTTTTTTATTATTATTTTGTAACAGAACGCACGCACACTTCCACGTTTTTTTCTCTATTTTTTTTTTTTTCTAGCGTGATGTATGTGCGCCCCTAAATCTAATTGTTTCTTTTCTTTACATAAGCATGATTTCAAAAATAGCATGTTATTAATTAAAATAGATTAAATATTGAATCTCAGCTCATTTCCCCTTTTGTGGGGTTCATCAAAGAGATAGACAATAAGGCAAATGGTTCTTGAAGATCATTCGTAATGTCGGATCTAGTCGGATCCATCTTTATTATTCTAATTGTGTTGTTTCTTTGGATTTCTTTTCAGCAACACTCACATGATCCAAGTAAGCATCCGGTTGCATGATCCGAGACAACCGATACTTTACACCCAAATAACTCAGATAGTTATTCTTTGGAAACACACGGACTCGCTTTACATCTGGGAAATGACTGTCTCGAATATCCACAAATGTACCTCCCACTGTCAATGTTTGTTCTAGTCTTGTTTGATTGATGGTATCAAATGGCACCCATTTTTCATTCATAAAGACAAGCCAAGTGAAGTTCCAAGATCGTTTTGGGGATAGTTGTTCAAACTGATGAGTGGGTATACGGTGATGATACATCATAGGGGACATTAACTGTGGACCTGCACTCATTCTATTGGTTATAATAATAATATTTTTTTTTTTTAAAAAAAAAGACAGAAACAGAAAAAGAGAGAAAAAAAAATAATTGTATATGTATATATAGACTCTCTTGATGAATCACGGGAATAAGTTACACATTAAAGTTAAACACTGATTCAAGTGATTCAGCAGATATTATCACAAGGGACCCAAGAGTGGGAAAATGTATATATATATATATATATATATATATATATATATATATATTACAAGTTGTGCAATCGTTTGCCTATTAGATAAGTATCATCTCGAACAGACTGTAACCATAGAGACATCAGTCTTTTGCCTAACCAACCCAATAATAGGCTCATGATGATACCAAACATGATGGGATAAGTATATCTTGTCATCATCAACAGTGAAGGAGTATCTAATAGAATATAAGCTGTTTATGTACTAAGCATCTATGTTATGTCTTACCCAACATGTGTACCATGCCCCAAGACACGATAGCAGGCAGACTAATAGCAAGTAGTGCACACATTGTCACAGGAACAATCACTGAACGTGTGATATTCCACAAGTGAGCCTGCATCATTCCATCCCCCATGAATTCAGTATAATATTGACGAATTCTATTATTGGCGGGAAGCACATGAATCACATGATGTATAATACTCATATAGGCAACACCAAAAGACCAATTCTAAGTAACACAACATTGTTCCCGTGAGTTCAATGTCGAGTAAAGAGCAAAGTAACTTACCTGAGATACATGAATCACTAAACCAGTGTCTGTATTTGAACTACGGATCGGCATAAAAACAAAAAGATCCACAGCAACACCTAAAAGAAAAGGTATCCACATACCCAAAGTGACACTCAAGTAACAAAACTTGGCCAACTTGTATTCATGAGTACATCTTTTATTCTGTTGTTCTACTTACCTTAGTCAACTTGTCTTTGATATACGTCATCATGTTGGGAGTGAGGTAAGCATCATGGATCCAACGAATCAAGATGGCTATACCCACCATGACATAGATACCAAGCCCAAAAGAATACAAATCATTGACAGGGGATCCAGGTGCAAGCCAATAGTAAAATAAGCCACGGCCTACAAGCACTACAATACACGGTTAACTACCAAAGACGATCGAATACTACTTACAAGGCACAACAGTCACTGAACAAGTCAATAAAGAGATAGAGAACCACATATAGAGCAAGAAAACAATCAGCTGTACTCTTGTTAGATCAGGTCAAGATATATTTCACTTACTCTTTGCTTGAACCGAGGAGGAGCATAGACAACTACAGTACTTTGAGATTCATCCATCGTATCAGCAGCAGCAGGATGCAATCGACCTCGCTCTTGTTCATCCAATGCTTCTAAACTCACAGGATCCACAGGCACCAACATGCGACGTTTAGGATCCACAGGTACGCTATCATATTTAGGTACACGCAAAAACATACCATCAGGTTGAAAGATGACATCCCCTTCTTGAATAGCCACATCATCCTCTGGTAACTGAGGCACTTGTCTTGTCAACCAAGCCTTCCATGTTCTATAGACAAATCGGCCTTCTTCATCGGGTTTGCGTTCATTAAACATAAACGATGTCAAACGTAATTGTCGACAGGCCATATGCCACCATAGATCGAGTACCTTTTTAGAGTAATCACGGGGTTTGATCAGTCGCATCAAAGGTGGCATCAAGAACTGGATCATCAACAGATCAATGGCTAATGTAGACAGAGGCGTATTGAAAGGCAATCGAAGTGGAAACACCATGCCTGTATAACCCAAACTGTAGGTTACAGTACCCACGCCAAAAACAAGCATCACAGAATAGATCAAAGCAGACTGACTGATCTTGTGCAACAGATTAGGGAATGGACGTTCGACCATTTCTTGAACAGGATGGAATTGAGGATCATTAGGGTCTCGAATGAACCACATCACACCAGGACGAATGATCTCACGACAGACGGTAATGAAAATCGCAAAATAGAACAAGACGCCTGTTCCCAAAAACCAATGCAAAAAGTAAGAAGAATAAGGACTCTTGAGATGAAATCCATAACGGGATTCAATCGAGCCATTGAACAAGGGCAATGTAGCCAAATCAAGCAAGAAACCACAGACAGTAGGAAACACGATCAGCTCAATCAAGATAAAGAAAAGCACCTTGAGGAAAATACCTTGTTGTCGAATCATATCACTCAATGTCTCTGTGTTGTTTCTCCCACTGCTTCGACGATGACGACGATGACCGTGTAAATACCAAGAACCGAGTGAGATCAGCACAAGGTAGCCTACCAAGATACATATGCTACGGTCTAACCCAGTTTGACCTGTTGCAAATCCATGCCATCGTGTCAAGGCAACTGTGCCCATGGCTTCTAATCTCTCTTGAATGACAGACACACCTTCTTCGGTGGTGCCATTGGTTATCTGAATGGGTGTCTGAATACCTTCTAAAGCAGACTGAATCTGTTGAGGCACCAAGGGTTTGACTTGTGTCCATATAAAAGGCATCACTAAATCCAATACAAAATCAACCAATGGATCTGTTATCAATCGCATCAGATAAATGGGTGTTTCTACAAATGTAATTGGGCGAATCATGATCACCAATCGACCAACCACATAAGGAATCCAGACAGCAACACCAAGACATAAACTGATCATCAAAGACATCAAGACAGAATTCTGTACAAGCATCCAAGGATTACCTCGAAGACCAATGGCTTCAAGGACACCATTCATATCATCCCCTACATCTAAAGGTTCTTCGTCTTCTTCCTGCCTATTGTTGATATTTTCTGCTTGTCTGTTTTGCAGTAGTTCACGTTCAAAAGCAGCCAGAATATCATTGTTGTTGTTATTCTGAAGTAATCGTTGAATAGCAGCTTCATTTAGTCTTTGTTGATCTATTAAAGGAGGCATCTGTTCTTCCTCTTCTTCTTCCTCCTCCTCCTCATCATCATCATCATCTGTAGGCCATCGATCCTCTTCTAATTCATCTCTTAAATGATCTAATGGATTTCCAATACGTTCTACGCCTTGTTCTCGAGCTGCTTGAGGTGGATTCATGACCTGCATTGCATTCAACAAAGTATCAATGGCCATTTGTTCCTGAAGTAATTGTTGATTATTCACATCCCGTATATCTTGAACAGGTTGCTGTTGTTGTTGTTGTTGTTGTTGTTGTTGTTGTTGCTGTTGTTCTACTGCAGGTAAGTTTTGCATCACCCATTCTCGAAACAGATAAGCAGCAACAAATATCACAATCACAAAGGCTGTGATCATCTGTCCTTCTAAACAATCAGACAAAAAGGTTCTAATAATGATTGTTATGAATACATCTCATTCTAAAGACAAAGACTTACTTTGTTGTAGTTGTCCAGAATGATGATGTATCTGATTCTGTGGCTGGTTTGGCCTGTACTCTAAATCCAATGTTTTCACCACTCCAGAAATAAAAACGCCAAGTCCAGAGTGTGAAACTAGGCAATACCACTAACCAGACAAGTGCCACAGCTAATCCTCGACAACATGTCTTGATCAATGAAGCCAATCGACGTATTAAACCAGACAAGATGACATGCAAAGGTACTCTTTCTGGCATATCATCACGGTAAATAGGTGAAAAAGTAAAAGGGTGTTCACATAATTCACAATACCTACACAAATAAAAGTGTGAGTTGCACTTTCTCCTCCTGTTTATAGGAGAGAAAATACTCTCTCCCCCTCCATGATGTTGATATTTACTTTTTTCTACTGTGAGATAACCACTCTATTAAACTTAAAAAAAGACAATAAGTTTGATGAAAGTGCATTGGAGCTTATTTACCAATCTTCATGTACAAATCGAATACTACCAGAGCATTTACAAGGGTGATAAAGTGGATGATCAGGTGTTGATTCACTCCTACATACCCTACAAATCTCTATCAAGCAAGTTCAGATATCATAGATAAAGATAGAGATTACCTTGATCTTCATCCATCGTGTATCAAACCAAGATAAAAATAAAAATATATATAATCTCGAAAAAAGAAAAAAAAATAAAATAAATACACGATTTTGATTGGATGAGATTGAATCCACTAAAAAAAAAAAAAAAAATGAATTCAAGTTTACAAGTTGAACAATGAAGGAGAGACTTGTACTACTTTTATTATTTATTTTACAAGGGGGATTTAGTCTGATTGATATGTTCATCTGCTCGAACATATTCTGCTGCTTTGGCTAATAAATCAATAGCATTGGGTTTTCGATAAGGATGATAAGGTGGCATGGGTGCAATCGAATAAGAAGAGTTCCTTTTATTGGCTGTATTCTTTGTCCTATTGACTTTGGCCCTACGATTTTGAAACCAGACCTGTCATGGTGAATAAAACGCATGATTTCATCTTTCGTTACCTGTACTTCTCTCTTTGTCATGTCTAGTTCCACAGCCAAGTTTTCTCTAATTTCAGAAGATGGGGTATCAGTTTGATCAAAGACTTGCATTAATCGTTCATATTGAGCAGTGGATATTCTTTTTCTTTTTGCTTTTGAAGGTGGTTGACTGGACAGAACAGGTGAAGTAGATTGACTCTTATCAGATGGTTCATCATTTAATAAAGCAGAAATGGCTAATGAGCCTCTTCGGTTTTCTTCATTTGATGCCATTGTATGATAATGAAAAAAAAAAAAAAAAAAAAAAAAAAAAAGAGAAAGAGGAAAAAAAAAAAAGAAAATGTGTGTATATATGTTTTATCTCTCTTTCTCTCTCTCTCTCTCTCTCTCTCTCTCTCTTTTTTGAGACTGTTTCACTCTCATAACGCAATGACTTTAATTATTGATATTTTATTGGCATTGTGTTATCACGTCTAGTTTATGCAAAAATGAAAGAAGCTTCAATTCAAACTCAGTATATAAACTACACAGACACTATTAATTTTTTTTTTTCTTTTTTCTTTCTCTTTATCAATGGAACATGAATCAATAAGGATACAAACAAGACCTTCGCATAGGCGATTTCTCTTGTTTGGTTTATTAGTCATGATATCAATGACCTGTGTCTTTGCTAGTTATTTAGTCTCTTCTGCATCCAAACCAACATGTTCAGATAGAATAGTTTGGGTACCAGACTGCAACAGAGAAGAATACAGTGTCTCCTAAACTGTTTCAATCTCAAAAAGGACATGCTTGTTTTCCCAGGACAAACCCTGAAGACAACTCGTAACACAAAATACCCTTCTTCTTGATAAACTCAGTCAAGGATCCGCTTCATTTTCATTTGTTCAATCTAGTTCATAAGCTGTCAAGTAAAAAAATAAATACAAATTTGTACTACAGAAAAAGTTTTTTTTTTTTCTCTCTTTCTTTCAAAAAAAAAAATGAGTTGGATTGATAAACTAAATGATACAGTGGCTCGTTCAAGGTTTGGAAGGTATTTTCAACTAGAACATTCGGGCCATAGAAGAGAAAGAAAAGGAACCAAGTTCTCAACTGAACTTCGTGCTGGTCTGACTATCTTTTTTGCTATGGTAAGTTGTAAGATAGAAATTCAGCTGAATGACACTTTTAGGCTTATATTATCTCGGTAAATGCTTCTGTGATCTCTGAAAGTGGTGGTACGTGTGTCTGTGCTGGTACAACAACAGACCCTACCTGTGACAATGATACTGCTTATATGGACTGTGTCTATCAAGTCAAATTGGACATGATCATGGCTACTTCTATTATTGCCATGATTTCGAGCATTTTGATTGGTGTGTTTGCTAATTTGCCTCTGGGTATGGCACCCGGTATGGGTTTAAATGCCTATTTTACTTATACCGTGGTGGGCTATCATGGCTCAGGCAATGCTTCTTATCAAACTGCCGTTGCTGCTGTCTTTCTTGAAGGTATCATCTTTTTTGTCTTGAGTATCTTTGGTATTCGTCAATGGTTGGCTCGTGTGATTCCGATGAGTATCAAGGTAGCTATGGGTTGCGGTATTGGTCTCTACCTTTGTTTTATTGGTCTCCAGTCTTCTGCTGGTATCGGTCTGGTCCGACTGGATTACTCAACCTTGGTTACCTTGGGGGTTGTCCTACCGATGCTCTGGATGAACATGGTGTCTGTCAATATGGTCACATGACATCCCCTACCTTGTATATGGGTCTTTTGGGACTGATGATCATGGCCATCCTCCTCATGTACCGTGTTCGTGGTGCTATTTTGATTGCTATCATTGCTATTGCCATCACATCCTGGCCTCGTAATAGTCCGATTACTTATTTCCCTTACACGGCCCAAGGCGATAGTATGTTCAACTACTTTAAGAAAGTTGTGACAGTCCACAACTTGCAACATGTGTTGGGTGAATTCGACTTTAGTTTCAACAACCGACAGATTTGGATTGCCTTGGTTACGTTCTTGTATGTCGATATCTTGGATACTACAGGCACCATGTATTCCATGGCTCGCTATGGTGGATTCACAGACAAGACAGGTGATTTTGAACATTCGACCAAGGCCTTTTTAGCTGATGCTTGTTGTATCACGATCGGCTCATGCTTCGGTAGTTCCAGCTGTACTGCCTTTGTTGAATCAGGTGCAGGTATTGCTGAAGGTGGCCGTACGGGTATCACAGCCATCACTGTTGCTTTTGGTTTCTTTATCTCCATCTTCTTTTCGCCTATCTTTGCCAGTTTCCCTCCATGGTCTACAGGTCCTGCCTTGATCATTGTGGGTTCAATGATGACTTCTAGTGTGCGTAATATCAACTGGGACTATCCTGGTGATGCCATTCCTTCCTTTATTACCATGGCTGTCATGCCATTCACCTACTCCATTGCTTATGGTGTGATTGGTGGTATTCTGTCTTATATCATCATCAATGGGGTTGTCTTCTTGGTCGATCGTATCTCAAGAGGTCGTGTTCATCCTGACTATTCCTCAAGAGAGAATTGGTGGACAGCTGTCATGAGCCGTTCATTTGTGCCTATCTGGATACGTTATCTGATAGCCAAGATGCGTGGACAACCCTTTGATTGGCACCAAGATGATGAATATGAATTTGAACAAAACCATCATGAAGCCACTGAACCCAACAGTCCCACTGTAGTCATGAGTGATCCTATGCATGAAATGCCTTCCAGCACAGATCTATCACATGAAAAACGATAATCTCTTTTTTTTTTTTTGTTATTATTATTATTATTATTATCATCATCAAGTAGAATAAAAATCATAAAGCTTTTCATCCACATATTGTAAAAATAATAGAGGATCATGAATACCGTATTTTGTTTGAATGAGACGTATTAAAAGATGATAGCCTAGAAACAACCATGGTAAGATAGACATGATAAACAAGAAAGAAGAAAAAGAGCGATTGTCATTGGATAAAGCATCTTGAATAAGCATAATCAGTTGATGTTGATGATCAAATTTACTTGATAATAATTGAGCCTTGTCTTGAACATCATTGAGTTCTTGTTGTACTATAGATATCTGGATTTAATAACAATAATAATATATATATGTATGTATGTACTTGCCTTGGACTAACTCTTCCAGTGTATGTTGATGTGCTTGTTGGTATTGATCTCTTTCTTCAGTCAGAGTATTGATTCTGTCTGTCCATGCCTGTTGGTCTATATCGACATAAGCATGACTTCTGGCTTCATCTAAATCAAATTTTTGTTTATCAATCAATTCAATCAATTTAGCATTCTCTTGTTGTAGTTCTTCTCTTTCTGCTTGTGCATTGGATTCAAGTGTGACAAGTTGTTCTTTTAGCTGTTGATTCTCCATGGTCTGTCGTGCAATCTTTTCTAGCCTTTCTTTCTCCCTGTTTTTATAGTCGGTCACAATGGCTCTTTGTTGATCTGCTTCTATCTTCATGGCTTCTAATCTGGATTCTAACAGAGACATACGTTCTGAAGTATCCTTTGTAAAATGAGTTAATCTGGCTTCATATTCATGAAGTTGATGTTTGGCTTTGTCTCTTTCTTGAATCAATTTCTTGATCTATAATGAATGAGTATGACTTATTAAGCATTTATCTTGTTTACCTCATATTCATTATGCTGTATTTTTAGTTTTCTTTGTTGTGGATTGGTCTAATCAAGATATCAACACAAGTCGAGCATCCTGAACACTTACATCAGTATTGGGATGATTGGTGCTTTCATGATCTTGATAGAATGAACTAGTGACAAGCGATAAAGATTCTGTCCCATCTCTCAGTACATAAACAAGGCGAATAATCTCTTCAGGTGTCATTTCCAAGTCTGGATTCATATCACCATAACATTTGAATTCATCCATTTCTTTCTGAGTCAGAATATAATAGTTTTGTTGTTCATTGAACTTGGTTAAAAGTGAATACCAGTCAAGAAGAGGTGCTGTAGCACGCTTTGATGCCGGTGATCGCTCAAACAAGAGTGTAATGTATTTTTCAACAGCTTCATCACTCATAGGTAACTTGTTCAGCTAGTAAGTTATGGACTGAATAAATCAAACACTTACCATTTGTCTTGTAGTGGCGTGTTTCAACATGGTATATATATATATAAGAAATAAAGAAAAATGAAACCATTCACTTGCTTTTGCTTTATATAGGTGTCTGTCTATCCATTTAAAGCACCGCAAGACATTTCTTTTTTTTTTTTCTCTGTTTACATTGACCATGATGGACCATGAATTAGTTCCTTCTTCTTCTGGTAATGAGGATCAAAGACCTGTTAAGAGAAGAGCACGTATGGCGCTTTCTTGTCAAAGGTAAGCCAATTTCTATTCAATAGAGAGTAACAAGTATAGATGTCGCAAACATCGTTCCAAGTGTTCTCGTTCTAGACCTGCTTGTGAACAGTGTACAATAGCAGGTGTCGCTTGCACTTATCTTGAAGTACCTGGTGATTTAGAGAGCACTGCCTTACGTGATCGTTTTGCAGGTCTAGAGAATCAAATCCATTCACTGATGGATGAATTCAGTCATATTGAACAACTGGTTCGAACCACAGCACCCTCATCCCCAACAACAACAACAACAACAACAACAACAACAGAAGACAACACCATACAGACCCATTCACTTAAACATTGGAAAATACATCAATTAGGAACAGCAGGACTCTCCATTGATACACACATGTTTCATGTCACTGATATTTATTCTACCTTGATCCAGTTTGCCAAGGACAACACCACCGCATTGACTCTATACCCTCAACCTGATGAACAAAAGAAACCTGTCTGGCTGGTTCGAAATCATACCATTTTCCCTAACGTACGTCTTAGTCATTTCACCAGTTTACGACCTAATATGCATGATGGTGAAGATTCAGACAGTGAAGATCCTACCTTGTATATCAAAAACCCAACCATTGAAGACACAGAAGATGAACAAGTGTTGATGCCTGAACCATTATCACCTATTTTGGTCGAGAAACTATTGGGGCTCTATAAAGACTGTTTATTGTATGGTGCAGTACAACCTTTTGATACACTGTTTAAAGAGGCCTTGATGGATCAACAGGCATGGACACCTGCATTCCAACTCTTGTATGCCTCTATTATGTGCCATATGCTGCCCCATGCTTATTATTGGCATCCAGAGATCTTTGAGAGTATGGATGAAGCAACCTGTGTTCAATTGTCGGTTCAATACTACAAATGGGCTAAACGATTACTGTCTTCTATCTATTTTGATGTGCCCAGTTTGACCACTTGCCATGCCATTTGTAACTTGGTTCTGTATCATATTGAGAATGGAAGTACGTCTGTGATCTATATTTACTCGGGCATGGCTGTTCGTATGGCCTTGTCACTTCAACTGTACCGAGAAGATGCACTGGATGCCATTGCTCAACATGAAGCCACTATGTTTCCAGAAGCCTATCGACCCACTCAAGCCACCATGAAACAATATGCACGATCCTTACTCTGGTTCATGTATTTCCTAGACACAGCCTCATCCCACTACCACAATAAGCCCTATGAGATCCATCTAGATGACCATGTCAGTACAACCACATTCTTTAAGCCAACAGACGAAACAACTGATGAGCAATCGTTTTTCCAGTTCTTGGAGTTCCATACCTGTCAAATCACCCGAGACATTCGACGTACGATCTTTACTCACCCTGAAGAACCTCAGACATCCTATGAAGCCATTGAGCGTATCGAGACGCGTTTATTAGCATTTCAGAAACAGCTGCCTACGTTAGACACCGACATGAGTCTATGGCATCGTCGGTGTCTGTTTAAACAATGGATTCGACATCATGGTCATTGGATCTTGATCCATCAGAGTTATTTGCCTACACCCATGTCTGTTCAACGATGTACAACAGCTGCCTTTGCACTTGTGGAGCTGTTTGATCTTTGGATGGTCAACATGGATTGTTATTTCAGGCCTTGTGTGCATGAACTTAAACAAGCGTGTGAAATTCTGTTATATCATGTTGATCAACATACGCCAATTCAACAACAAGCATTGGAAGGATTAATGCGACTGATTACTGTGTTACTCAAGACACCTGTAGGTGAAATTGCAAGAACTCGACCTTTTGTTCAACGTGTTTTGAAAGCTATTCAGAAATAAAATATATATGTATATATATATAAAAAAGGCTTTTTTTTTATTATTATTTAGGGTGAAGGGGATCGTTTTTCGGTATAAGTGGGAATAGGTGTATGCAAAGTGGGAATAGGTGAACGAGACCTTGAATGATAGTAACGAGGAGGGGATCTGCCTCGAGGTGGAGACATGGATCTTTTTCTAGATCGACTTGTACTGCGACGATGATATGGACTATAACGATAAGAAGGATATCGATAATGTAATGGTGGTGGTGGTGGTGGTAATGATGGTCGTGGCGCAGGTTGTGATGGTCCACCTAATCGCCAAGTAGCACTAGGTGCATTCCGAGCCCACTAAATAAAGTTAGTCAGACTTCCATTATATTATGTCTACTTACTTGAACACTAATGGTATATCCATCAATACGTCTTCCGTGCATTTCATTAAATGCATCCTCGGCATCATGAGGATCTTCAAACTCGACAAAGGCATATCTATCTTGATATCAATCATCTATAGGTCTATCATGCACTAGCTTACACTTTGGCTGTATAAGATTTGGGTGCTGGAATATCACAACGCACTAGTCTACCATATCTAACTTATAAGTGACATGTCAAGGTGCAATAGATAGATACCTTTCAAATTCATAAGCAAGATCTCTGGCGCGTGTTCTTGAACCAAATCCTGCTACAAACAATGTTGTTCTCATAAAGTCTTGGAAAGAGAAGAAAACAGAAAAATAAAAAAATAAAAAGAAGCTAAAAAAAAAAAAAATTTAAAGCTGACATCACATTTTTCATGCACGTCTACTTTAAGTCATGTCGACCAAGTTTGTAACTTTTATTGAGTGAATTTCTAAAATAGTTAACAAAAGTGCATTTGTCGAGAGCGCGTTAAAACTTGAAGTATATTTTAAATTCCAATTCCAAAAATCATTAATCAAATGGTATTTGATGTTCTGTTAATAATTTTTCCAAGGGACTAAACAAGGGTTTTCGTTGCCTGAGTTCATTTAAAGTAACCCATTCCCATTCACCTTCTAGCTTATGAGGTTCCATGACTTTGACTTGATCTAGGCTGGATTCATCAATGTTGGACCACATAAAAATGGTTACATAATGCTTCTTTTCTGGCAACATGATGTTGTTGGTTGCAGTCACCATGCTGATACTCGATCGATCGAGATGGAGGTTAGTTTCTTCCAAGATCTCTCGTTGTGCACATGTCTCGAAATCCTCAAACATCTCTAAATGACCACCAGGTAATTGCCAAGTACCTGCACCATGCGAACCCGCTCTTTTACCAATCAAGATACGTCTTTTGCTATCCTTGCTTGAGATATAAGTAACAAAGCAACCTACGCCTACCCGTACTTCTTTTTGTTCAGGCATCACTATAAGAGAAAAAAAAAGAAGAAAAACGGAATACAAAGACCGACACTAACATTCCTTTCTCTAGTATGAGTCATCAAGATAGATTTGTTTCTTGTACCTGATATTGCATAGCAAAACAGCGAATTGCTTGATCTACCTCCCAATTTCGCTGTGTTTAAAAATCATTCAGGGTCCCTATGGGTAACATTTAGTCAACCCTTCATGTAGCCTTTTTAAAGATATTATTTTAAAATACAAACCATTTCAACTATTCATGTTCATGTCTAGTAAATGTGAGCATACTTGATGTTTCTAATTTATATATGATACAGCAATATTAGGAGGTAGGCTAAAGTAAGCTTTCTTTAAATACAGTAAAATTGAGAGGTAGATTTAAGTAGTTTAGGTCTGAGTTTAAATGACCAACCAAAGAACATTCCGTTTGTTTCTTTGTCTTTTTTTTTTTTATGACAAAACAAGATTTGACAAGAGAATTAGACGATTACATAAAGACAACACAACCTGATCAAGATTGGACACTGGATGAAGAGAAAGGTGTCTATGTGATGCATTCAAAACGACTTGTCATGTACCAACATCAAGATCAATGGATCTGTGGTGACTATGATACAGTGTATGCATCCCGTTATGTGTTTGACGCCACTATACAAGCCTGGTTAGACACTGTCACGAACGAATATTCAGTCTATGACGAATCTACACAATCGTATATACCACTCACGGATGCTTATTGGTCAGGTCAACCACATAGCAACCATTCTCTACGCCTGGTCATCGAATCCTCACCGTTTTTTAAATCAGGCCAAGTTGCTTTGTTAGATGAGAACGGACTCAGTATAGGGCGTGATCGTGCATGGGACAATCGACTTCGACTACCCGAGATGATGGTCAGTAAATACCACGCCAAGATCTTTTATGAAAAAGATACATTCTACATTATTGATCATGGATCCCAACATGGCACTTTTTTGAATGACGATCGTTTATCAGAACCCAAACAGAGCAGTTTACCTCATGAATTAAGGCACTTGGACAAGGTGCGTATTGGATCGACTGTATTGCAAGCACATGCACACACAACAGGCTGGCCCTGTCAAACATGTATTGCCACAACATTGATTGATACAACACATGGTAAAAAGAAAAAGCCTAATACATCTTTAAAATCAGAAGATTTAGAAACAAGTCGAAAAGAATGGATTAAGCAAGCAAAAAAGATGTATTTAGACCCACTTCCTACAACAAACTATATTGACCGTGCACACATACGAAGAAAGACAACACTACCAGAAAAGTTTATGGCTGATAAACCTGAATATACCCCCTCTCGTACTCATATGACGACGACGACGACGACGACTACTACTGTCCATACACCTGTAAGTGGTATTGGCAACAAAATGTTGCAAAAACTAGGCTGGCAAAAAGGTACTCGCCTTGGTAAAAACCAAGATGGTATTATGGAACCTATTTTAGCTATTGGCCAATCTACAACTCGCTTAGGTTTAGGCCACACACAAAAAAGAAAATAAAACAACTTTTTTTTTTTATTCGTTTTGAACCTTAAAGTTCTTGGACTCGAATACACAAGTCTTGTTAGCTTTCTTGGAAGTAGCATAGACCTTGTAATGGTAATCAGCGGTGGTATCAACATTAGGCAAGATCAAATGATCCTTCAAAGCAAATGATTTCTGAATAGCTTCAGCACCCCTCCAGGCAGTAGCAATCAACTGTTGGCCCTTGTACAATTGAATCATGGTCACCTCATCTGTCTGGGAAGAATCGTCACGGTTGGCTTGGATATGGACGTGGTCATTGGGCTTGAAGACACTACCTTCAGCAGGATAGTCGACACTGAGACCGAAACAACCATCATAATGTTCAGGGGAATAGATGGCATTGTCATGAAGTGATTCAGCATATTCAATTTCACCAACAGCATTTGTATGAGATCCAGTAGTGACCTTGAATGTATGAGAGGTTTCAATACAATCAGGGCCATGTTGACCATTCACCAAATTGGTAACCCAAACACTATTTTTAAATATATATTTAATTTAAAATTTTCTAAATATATACATGACTTACCGGTAGTAGTAAAGACCGGCCTTCAAATTAGAGGGAAGAGCGTTTTGAATACTAGCAGATGTCTTGAGAGCGTAGTTACCCTTCCAGACATTTTGAACATAAGTAGCTTTACCAGCACTAGAGACAGAGTATAACTATTTGAAAAAGAATAAATAAGCTATTTATATTTAGTTATGTACGACATTACATCCAAGCCAGTAATGGTTTTTGTACGTTGATCAGCTTTTCTAGCTTTAAAAATATATAGTTTAGTCAAAGTTGTGATATATAAATGTTTACTTACTGACTGTAATCTTTGCCTTTTGACCAGCAACAGCAACAGTAGAAGAGGAAGGAGCAGTGACATCGAGACCTATTAAAAATCAATACAACATGTTGTTATTTGTATTGAGTACCTTGACACCATGATTTGATAGCGTCAGAGTATGAATCAGCAGCAGTGAAAGAAACTGCAGAAGATAAAAGGAGTGCAGAAAGAGCAGCAATAGAAAGCTTCATTGTATTAAAGTGAACGGAAAGAGAGAAAAAGAAAAATAAAGAAAAAAAAGGAGAGAGAAAAGGAAAGCAGATACTACAAAAAAAAAAGTAATAATAATGAAAACAATGGTTACACACTATTCAACTCAGACTCTTGATTGCTGTTTTTAACTTCATAAAGTAAAACAAGACAAACAAATAGATGGCGAAGAGACTAATAAAAAAGCATCTGATTGGAACAAAAAGCAAATGCCAAACATAAAGGTTCACTATTTTCTGAACGAAATAGGAAGTCATTTGTTGTGACAAACCTACCTAAATCATGTTCAACGGCTCAGCTAAAAACATTTACTCCGAAGAGACAGTAGAGAGTATATATAGTGATCGACTAAACAGGGCAAATATGAGTGTGAAAGTCTATTCATTCTAGCCTTGACCAGTACACAAAAGATTCTAGAACAGAGGTATATTTGGTAAAAGCAATAAATTAATGTGAGTCACATAAGCCCATATTCTTGTTCATACACTGTTGTTGCAGTTAGTCCTGATATCCCTGGTCAATCTAAGATAACGTTTGACATAGAGCTAACCAGACTTAGATTATATCATGAAACTCACGTATGACTACTCCGTCTCCCTATTGATACGTCATCTATAGTGTTTAGAAAATAGCTCAAACAAAAACAAAGAGAAAATCAAGGCAACGTTGCATATAATTAAAATGAGTTGCCATATTAAACTGAATAACAATAACTAGTTGTTACATATGGCGATTGTAGTGAGAATAACAAGTAATTGAAGCAATGCCAACTCTGTGTCAAGTTAGGTAGTACAGTGCTTCACTTGCTGCAGATCTTAAGAAAATAGACATGCGAAAACAATCACGCTTTTGTGAAACTAATCTTGGCAAAGACTCTGAAGCTTTGAGTAGAGAAATATATTTAGTGTGTTTTATCTGTAAAGAAATATTACAGATATTCCCTGCTTTATACATCAAGTAATTTTTAGAAGTCAATGGTCTGAAGGAAACGTCTTGGTATCTATAGAAGCAAGTTAAACTTGCTCCTTTGGCTAATGTTTGTCAGTTTTTTAGGAACAACCTATTTAAATTCTTCAATGAATAGCTTGAAAGAAATTGTCTGCCTTACATTGAAATAAAGTCTAGAAGAGTTTTATAAAAGAAAAAGAAGGCTGTTTTATATATAAATATCTTTATAGTTCATCATCTGCTTTTTCTAAAGCATGAGGATAGACATCGTGTAAACCCAGTTTGTTGGCTATGTCTTGCCCATCACTCAAGACATTCACAATACGAACTTTTTCAGTTTCAGTAGTCTGTGTATCTAACACGCAGCACCATGCAAAATCCATGGCATCAAAATATGTCTTGTAAGAACTTGTGTCTTCGTGAAATCCTTGACAAAATTCATGAAAATCACTCGTGTAAGTCAACAGCCGCTGAACTGGTGATTTCAAGTGAATGGTTTGAAGAATAATAGGAGCTAAATCTTGCCATAGTTCTGACATATGTTCATAACCGCCAATCTGTTCTACTCTAATGATATTGTCAATGAAATCATATGTGTATTTATGCTTACCTTTTACGAAATTTGCGCATCACTTGTATATATGCTTCATCGAGCTTTTCAGCATGTCGTGATTCCTTTTGCTCTTGTTTTAAAAGAGTAGCCATGTCATGATCAGGCTCATACAAATAACCTCCTCCAGAATCCATATTGCGAAGAAAAAAAAATCCGTAGTAATAAATAGAAAAAAAAAAAAGACTCGGTGCATGAATTATAGTACTTTTGTGTGTGCAAAAATCTTATTCTATGCAGAACCAATACTCTATTTTGTTTTATGGATCGTCTCATAAATAATGTCTGCCTCTCCAAAATCGTGCTTCCTCTTTGTTATTCCTCTAGATGACTGTGAATTGTTTAAGACATTCCAAGTGCTGAATAAATAAGTTTTCCTAGTGATTTAGGGCTACTCTTAATTACTGTTGATATTGCTTTATCCATGCTTAGTTCCTGATACAACTCAAGTATAATGTTCATTAAGACTAGATGATAGGCATTTGAAATCAGGTAACAATCGTCTTGTATTGCTTGTAGTAAGGGTCATTTTAATCCTGTGCAAAGGCGAAATCCAATGTTGGGCCATTACATAAAGTCACGTGTAATACATATGATTGGCTTATCAAATTATTAAATGGTATATATTTTTTTGTAAAATAAAATTTTCAAGAAACGCGTTCTTAGTTTAATGGTAGAATTTCACCCTTCCAAGGTGAAGGCCGGGGTTCGATTCCCCGAGGACGCATTACTTTTTTCATTTTTCCGATAATCGGAGTTTATATTGCTTTTGTTTTATTTCTTTGATCTTTTGTTCCTGCAGGTATCTAATGCTATATCGTTAAGATTTTTTGTTTATTCTTTTCCTACAGCTGAAAACACATTGGATTAAAAAACATGAATTTCTATGATGTCCTGTTTTTTTTTCTTATGTCTTGAGCATATTTACTAACAGTCATATGTTAGTAACGATTGGTCTCTTCCCAAAACATTATTATACCATTTTCTACTCATTCATACGTTACAGTCACTTAATAAAGCAATATTGTACATCTTGACTCTTTAGAAATCAGCTACATCTGATAAACAATTCTGTTTCGTGTGAGACAGTTTCCCTTTAGGTTCTAAAGGTAACAAGTAAAAAACCTCAGAGAGTCTTAGAAGGCAAATGATGATACGTTAAACCAAAAAAAAAAAAAAAAAAAAAAAAAAAAAAAGTGTAAGTCTTCAACTATCATTTCAAAGATCTAATTTGACTAGATTAGTTGTACAAATGCGTGTACAGCATATGCTAAATAAACTTCTAGAACTTCTTGCGCAGATATATGCGAGAACAATATATGTCAAAGACAAAATTGCTCATTCTATTGTTTTTGAGAAAGAAAAAGGGGTAGCAAATCATATTACTATGCATTCAAGTAATACTGTAGATTGATAGATACTGAACCACCACTGTTTGATTACGCTGTGAATGGCATCAGTTCTATACATAAATTAAACGAGCTTGTATTACAAACGCTGGTTTTGATCAGATCAAAGTTTATTACCATGTCGATTTTATCTACTTGAAAAGAGAAGTTTTCAAAGATAATTGTGCAGTATATTTGTGTACTTTTGATAGATCAACTTTACTTAATTACTTGTGTAAACTCTTAAAACATAAATGCTTAGCACTAAAATTAATGATTCCATTTGCGTACACAAAAGTGATTTTCGTTTGTTACACCTCAAATCATCTTTTTTGTCAAATTTTCGTGTGAATGTTACATGTTCAAGAAGAGTATAAATATAGGCCATTCCGCAGTTGAATAACCAATATAACTCTTCAACATGAAGCTTATTTGTCTTGCGATTGCTTTGGCTGCCTTCTCTTCTGTAAACTGCACGACTGTCAAATTGTACACCAGCAAGAACTACAAGAATAAGTGTGGTGAAGTCTCTGGTGGCTGGGTCTCTGGCCATGAATACCATAACGTACCCGCTGCTTGCGTCAACAAGGTCCAAAGTTTCCAAATTTCTGTTAGCGCTATTGATAGCGGTGTTCGTCTTTGGTCCAAGAAGAAAGCTTCTGGTGAGCCTAATTGTGGTGGTTCTGAAGCTGGTTATACTACTGAAGACTGGTCAAGACCTAGTATTTCTGACACATGGAACAAGAAAATCAACTGTATTGAATTTATTGGTTAAAGCAATGCTAATAATAAAGTTGGTTATGATGGTGTTCATTGTTTGATGACCATTTAAGCCATTTATTAAGCCAAGATGGTTCTTCTGCCAAGTTGCTCGGTCCTGGGGTTTGTTTTTCACTGTTATGAGGTTGAAAATAGAGCTGATCTATACTTTTCGTGTTTTCCATCATGACATGGTCTGGTGGTTGGATATAGTAAATAAAATAGACCACAACAAAGCACACAATAATGAAGGCCCAACCGCCAATAATAATATATATAACAGCAAAAGGACCTAGACTTTGAGCAGCATCAGTATCACTCAAGACAGCCACGAGTGCTGATGTCCATAATATACAAGTAAATGAAGCTGTTCTAAAGAAATTGATCTTGCCTACATAACATGGCTGTGTCTTTATGTTGTAACAAATCATCGTTAGCAATATAGTGATTGACAATATAGCACGCATGCGGTTGATATTTGTTGTCGACTCGACTAGTAAAAACACAATAGCCAATAAAAGACCCATGTTTTTGATGAATGCAACACTGATGGACTTGAATGCAATTTCGTTTTTGTTGGGTACCCGTTCATAACTTGTAAGGAAGACTGTCAGTAGGAAATAAGCAACAATGTAGCCAAAAAGAGAGAGCCAGAAGTAAAGAGGTCGAGAAATGTTGGATGAATTACAGCGAAGTGTTGAGCTAAAATCGTTGGATGGTATATTTAGTGACTGACAAGCTGCTGAACTCACAAAGTTTGTCTACAAAAAGTTTTCAGCTCTTATAATTCATCATAATTTATATTACCAATATGGGTATATAGAGTAAAGTCTACTCTTCCATAGAAAAAAAAGAGAAGGAGATAAGAATGTGTTCATTTTCAATGTACGAAAACTTACAGCAACAGGAATGCACCATCTCACCCATCGAGTAGAGATCTTGTATGGGTATCTATAGTTGATAGCATGAACAGTGACACCTAGAACTAGACTAAACATGATTGTTGCAAAAGTCGTCCATAGTGAATATGTGTACCAAGTAGGCGTGCGCATATCAGGCATAAGGCCACCTACATTTAGTATAAAAGAGGCCAATTGAGACGACTGGGCTTGATCTTGACTTGCATGTGTCACCGTAATCAGATCTCTTAAAGGAAATGTCATTAACTGAAAAAACTCTATCACTAGAATTGTGATTTGAATCCAGTTGGACCACATAGATTTGTCCCAATCCGAAAATCTGGTTTCATAGACAGCATTGATATGTTCATCTGTCTCACCAAATAACTTTCTTCGTTCCATATAGTAACATCGTTGCCTTGCAATCAGGTAAAGATTTATGGAGAGCACAAACACAAACAATGCTGCTTGGATCAACATAGGCGAGCTCGTGACTGTTGCACTACTGACTGCACCTACCAAAATAGCAAGTGAAATGACAAAACTGATAATGAACAAAAGTGAGCATATATGATAAAAGCTTGCACTATAAACACGCTGATGTTCATATGAGACAAGGGGTTGTACTATGTCTGTATCTGATTGTACGGGTGGTTGATCTTTTAGCATGGAAGTATCTTTATGTATAATTCTTTTCCACAAGACAATGGATAATGCAACGACGGGTATCTTGAATATTGTTTTTACTTGTGCCAGAATATTATCCACTAACAAGTAAATTTCTTGTTGTTGCCCAACTGCTTGGTTGCCTCGTTGATTAATGGGAATTTTATGTCGTTCCGTATACCAGAAATATATCACAAATGACAAGACGAGTATGGCAATGATGGAAAAGAACAAAACAATGGATACAGTGTTATTATGTGTTGAGGAAAGTGATTGCTGTTGATAAGATGCATAGCCAATGCTTGTAATATTGGTATTCATACTAAAAGAAATGCGCCGTAAAGAAAAAGTAAAAAAGTAAGCCAAAGAGGTGCTTATTTAAATCAAGAAATCACCCAGAAAGGAAATATGTTATTTTTCAAATGCCTATTGAGTATAGTCAACTGGAAAATAATATTCTAGAAGAAAATGCACTAACTTTTTCAGAAAATAAACTGATCACTTTATCGAGCATGCATTATCTACCCTCACAAGAACGTTAATAGTGATGTACTTCATAGAGAAGAAATAACAAGTGTCATCCAGAAAAAGTCATTATTCCAATCGAGCTTCTCGATTGAACTTAAGAACTCCGCCTAAAACAACCAAGTTCACAAAAGCATCATCGCTTAACTGAAGGTGTTGATGTGAGAAAGAATAAAAAAAATATCGATGCTGAGCCTGAGGATCTTCTGCACAAGACACTATGATCTTACAGAGCCTGTAAGATACATGAATTATATTTACTTGAATCGAAGGCAAATAATTTTGTTAAAGACCGGTACAACCAATTAAAGAAAACATGTTTGTAAAGAAATAGACGTATTGCTAGATTAGTATACATCCTAATGAGTAACATTGAGCTTGATTACTAACCATACGACGCTCAATATCGGTAGAATGGGACTAAAAGAAAGCCCTAGTTGGATGCTGAAAACATCAATGAAGCTGTGTTGTCAATGATAATACAAGATGTGCAAGAGGGACCAGATGGTAGCAATATTTTTAACTTCAGCTCATTTAATTATGGTGATCTAGAAAACAGATACTCTGCAATGAGACAGTGGCTCAATATCAAAAATTCATCAATTGTATTATAAAATGTATACAAGATAGAATTAGTTCCGCTAATAGTTTTAAGCGACGATGCACTGGATAAGAGTCTATTACAGTAACTCCTATGGAAACCGCTAAGAGTAAAGACCTCCTCTTTGTGGAAGAGTTTCTTGGAAAAAAAACAAAGACAAAACAAAATGGACGACATGCTACGAGGGAGGTACGAAAAAGGACCTGTTTGATATATAATGGAAATGATTTTTTACTGTCATAATCATTAAGGATAACAAAATCCAATATGTTTCATTAAACTTAAATCCTAAAACGAGAACCCACAAATTTTGTATTGCTTACTCTTCGTTACTCAGTAAGCATATGACAACCTAAACATGCGTCAACAAGGTATTTTTTCAAGTTTCGCACATTTTTAAAGTGATGTCACTTGTCAAACCTTCAAGTAATTTACTGACAGGTAAATATCGAAAGGAGTCGTCTGTCATAGTTCTTTCCGGGGATTATTTGGTAAGAAACAAATCATTCTCCTTTTTCATATCAGCATATAACAATGACATATTGCATGCTTTCAGACCTTTAAATACCTCAACGATATACAAACAACGTATAACTCATTAGTGCTTATTCAAATGCTAAAAAAAGTAATCAGCTATTTCTTGCTCAGATTACTAAAAGAAATTACCTCAGCCTTTACTTTAATCTTATACAATGAGTCTCTATCAATTCTATAAGACAAGAAATAAAGCGATTGAAATGTCGCAAGTACAACAGCCCTTTTTTTAAAGACAGAAGGCTATAGATATTGATAATCTTTGATAAATGTTTTGGGTATACAAATTCGATTTTGGTCAGTTTTCATGCAAGATTAATTTAGGGAATTTATTGCATTACAATGTCTTTACATAGGAATAAGGTCACGAGGAGTATATTTCTCTTCAAGGTATTCGACATCTTCTTTAGACAATTTGACTTCAAAAGCGCCGATAAGATCATACAAGTGTTCTTCTTTACCAATTCCAACAATAGGTGAAGCAATTTCAGGTTTTGTCAACATCCAAGCCAGAGCAACCTATCAAAAAATCAGGCACTTGAAACCAAAACTAAATACTCTACCTGTGAAGGAGTATGACCGAGTTTCTCAGCAATTTCTACTACACGATCAACAATCATGTCATTGACTTCTTGTTCCTTGGCAAAGAGTCTGTTGATGTTAGGATCACTTTCAGTACGAGTAGTTCTACGGTTCTTGCCAGTCAGAACGCCTCTAGCCAAAGGAGACCAAGGAATAATAGCAATACCTGCATCCTTACAGTAAGGAATCATTTCACGTTCTTCTTCACGATAAATAAGGTTATAGCAGTTCTGCATGGAAACAAACTTAGCCCAGCCTCGCTTCTCAGCAATGTTGTTCATCTTTTGGAACTAATTGCATGGTCAGTTGTCAATCAAGACAAAAAATTCAACATACCTCCCATGTATAACATGAGCTGCAACCAATGTACCTGACTTTGCCTGAACGGACCAGGTCATTCAATGCTTCCATAGTTTCTTCAAAAGGAGTGTTCTTTGTGAAATAATGAGCTTTTGTACTTTTGATTCAAATGTACTTACACGATCAGCACGATGGATCTGGTACAAATCAATATAGTCCAAACCCAATCTTTCTAAAGAAGCCTCAACAGAATCAAAGATATGCTTACGAGACAACCCGCCATTGTTGACTTGCTCTTCTCCTGGTTGATTAGTCAGAATATTCAGAGGGAAAAACACTTTAGTAGCCACCACAATACGAGAACGAGGCATGTTAAATTTCTTGATAGCTTTACCAAGGATACGTTCACTTTCACCATTTGAGTAGACATTGGCAGTATCAAAAAAGTTAATTCCAGCATCATACGCTTTTTTGATTAGTTCAAGAGATTCTTCTTCACCCTTAATCCAGCTTTGCCAAGTAGGCGAACCATAAGACATGCAGCCCAATGTTAAGCGGGAGACCTGTCAAAATACAAATTAGAAAATTGGACTTTCTCTTAAAAAACACTTACATGCATACCAGTGTTACCAAAGCGAATATACTGCATTTTGTTGGACATAATTAAGTCAAGAAAGATAATGACTGAAAACAAGAAAAGAAATCGCTGTTCTTTTATAACATTTATTTCACGCAAGAAAAATTTTCTAAATTAGTATTTAAGGTTTAAAAATGTCAGTATGTTTCGTAAGCTTGGCCCATATATGGAAAAAATACCTTTCTCATAAATAAAAGTATGGCTGATAACAAAGAAAATGAAGTATAATCACCCCAGTAAGCTTTGAAGTATGTCAATTTTTTCCACTTCAGTTTACAACAGTTTTTTAGTGATTATCATAAATTAAGGTTCTTATTTGTATAGAAATTAGCAATGAGAGACCTGTTCATAAGACAATTATACACTGACCAGAAATAAGAGTTTGCCAAGTTTTCTTTTTGTCCTTTGAACTCAACAACAAAGATATCATGATCCAAGAGCCCTTCCATATGCCAAGATGATACTTAAACGCGCTCAGTTCTTTGTGGATGATTTGTCGAGATGTTTGTTTTAAGATAATATAAACAGAAAGAAGTCAGCGCTTGGTGGTACAGCCTTTGGTATCAACCACAGCTTGGTATTGGTTGGTCATATTGTGTAATAGTATGAATGTAATGGGAGGATAGTAGAGGAGGTATTCCACTACCTCCTCGTATCTGTGTAAATATTTTGCATATGCCGGTTCATACCTATTACTGATTTACTTCTCTTTTATCTCCCTTGTATTCTCTGCTCTTTCTTATAATCTAATGTAAGTAACAATATAAATATTATTCATGCATCCCATACTATGCTTAATTTTTAGAATTTGATTTTTCAGCGCGATTCTTTTTTTCAATAAAGTGTAGTAGCAACTGTTTTCTGTGATGAGCGTTAAAGCGGACATAATGGCTGTTAAAATAAAGTATTAAACAAAGAGAAGAGAAGAAGCCCATAGCAGTTTTAGCTGATCTGATGCAGCAATCGCTTCTTGTGGCATTTTATTATGTACAGTATATTTATGAGTTCTTTTCATTTGCTTTTAGCAACATGTTCTTGAGGAATTGTTGGATTACTTGTCTCAAGTGTTGAGGCGTCATTTTAGGAGAGTGCTTGCGTACACGATACTCCAGGCATCGCATTACAATATGTTGATTTAGCCCACCAATGATTCCTAGCTTCTCTTCCACTGTAGTTGTAGAAGGTAGCATCACAGATGTCGCTGGCCGACTATAGTAAAACGAAGGCGACATCCAATCAACATGTGCATTTTTCTGTGTAGAAGCAGAATAAAATGTAGGCGACATCGTCGTACTAGGCAAAATAGGATTAGAGTAAGTAGGTTGGTATACAATTGATGATTTTAAAGCGGATGTGATGCTACTCAAAGAAGGTAAATTGTCTTCTTCATCCATATGCATCTTAACGTAGCGATATCCAGTACGAATAGCAAATTCAGGAGGTATAATATCAAGTAACACTTGATTGTTAGTGTGTAGATGTTGAAATGCCTGTAGAATTCCTGGCTCTGTTGTTTCATATAAGTAAAGCAGTGTATGTATGTAAATGTTACCATAAACGTATTCAAGAAAAGAACGGTTACGGAATACTTTTTTTCTTTTATACGTGTGATAATCTTGTGCCAATAATCTGTTTTTGTACTCCAATAGTGCCAGCCATACTGCATCAGCACAATCATTTGCCCTGCTTTTCGATCCCATTTCAATGCCCTATCTATTGACGCCATACCAGTGCTCTTTGTGTTTGCGGCATTATCAAGGCCTACAATCAAGTGCTTTATGCAGCGAGCAACTAAACCCTCTTGCGTTACACGCATCAATCCAAATTCATGGTCTTGAAACACAGCAGCCACCGTCTTACAATCGATTTGGTCAGCCAAAAAGTCACTGCTATTCAGATGTTGAGGTATTGGAAAAACAGACAAAATGATTGCAATTTCCAGTATAGATTGCTAATACGTATTTAAAAAAGGGATCAAATATTGACACCGTACTTACAGGCAGGCTACCAACAAGCAAATAGATCACGCCGATGTTATAGAGTACACGGAATGCAAACAGAAAAGGAATGTCAGATTCTGTTGCATCTTGCTTATGATTTTGTCGATAGATTTCAATTCTATCACAAATAGACTGGGAAAGCTCAAGTGCTTTTGATAAATTTCCTGAAACAGATGGCTATAAAGAACAGTTACAATTTGATTTATTAGCAGTTTGCTTACCAAAGACAGCGCTAGATCACTTCTTGTCAATAATACCGCATTTGCCAAATCAAAAGAGAGTTCATACGATTGAATCGTTTGAACAAGTTCTAGTAGAGATCAAGTTAGACACTACTTGTATAAAATAGAAGATGATACCTTCTTCCCAGCCATCATAAACATCTTCTAGAATCCCCACTGGTGTAGTCTGGCAAGCCCAGTCCCATAAATCGACTAGATGCCGCATACAATCAGCAGCCTTACTGAGTATTTGCAAAGCATGATCTACTCCATTCATACAAAAAGCATTTAATCCTTCCCCTCGATTGTCTTTTGTTAACTTGGGTCTTTTTTCAGAAACCAACGTTGACTCTTTTCTTGTGCGTTTTTTGTGACATTCATGATCTTCATTATAACTTTCTAAGGACGATGTTGTTAATGTTGATGAGGACGAGTCCAAAAAGTTATCCTCAGCTAGCAGCATATTTGGCTTGATAGCACAAATAGGTATTAGACATGATTTTTCTTCCTTGCTATCCAACATACACACAGCTCTATAGTATTGATACGAAAAGCACACAAACTGAGCTGCGACTGCCTTATACTCGGACATAAACACAACATCTAAACTTTGTTGTTCAACCCGTTTTTGTTGTATATACTGAAATTTTTGTATGTGTGTTACAAACTCTGTTTGACTTAATTTAGTGTACCCTGAGCAATCCAGCATGGTATTGGTGAATTGAATCAAGTCCTCCCAAGCATGATTCTCTAGATAATATCGCTGTCCAAGCAGAATGTACTGATCAAACAAGGTGTAGGGGATTGAAATGTGCTGTTTGCCATCGGCTGTCTTGACAGAGGGCTGCGTATCTTGTCCAGTGAGCACAATACGTTGCTTACATAAGCGAGGAAAAAGGTCAGTCACAAGCGTCTTGGTATATTTGCTGCTTTCTAGCTGGTCCATACTTTGGATAGCTAGCGTTAATAGATAAATAATACGCACCTAGTCAAAGTCAATCAATCTTTTCTTGAAACTAGTGACTTACGAGATATTTGTATGTGTGACGGGAATTGTACTGAATGTAATCAAAAAGTATCTGATAAGCTTTCAATGTCTCTTTTTCTTCAAGTAAGGCTATAAATAGAACGTTACATTTGTGTGTGCATGGATTATATAATACGTTACTGGCAATTTTTTCAAGAATAGTTGATTGGATTAACGCAGGCAGAGATGCAAAAAAAGCTATTGTATAAATGTAAGAAAATGAAAACAAAAAACGCAGTTTTGCCTAATAACCGTACAACTTGTTTTTGTATTTTTTGAGGGATCAATATGATCTAAAAAGCCAATGATATAGGCTTCAAACTCTTCATGATCAGCACTGTTGGTTTGCCTATTGTTTCTTAATGAGTATATTCTTTGAGGAACCATATACTACAATAATACAAAGCTTTGTAATGCTTCTTCCATATTGCTCGTTTCAACAGCCTTCAAATGACGCTCAAACTAGAACATGAAATGAATATCAAAACTTTCTGCTTTTTTTTTTTTTTTTTTTTTTTTTTTACCTGCAATTCAAACGAATAGTCCAAATCATTAGTGTCTTGTGTAATTTCAAGCATGATGTATTAAAAAACAGGAGGGGCGAAAGAAAAAAAAGAATGTTTCTTTTTTGTTACAAGCGCATAGAATAAAAGAAAGAAGAAAGGTAAGCTATTGTCATACACCATCATCTTATTCCGAGGTCTGATTACATTTTAGGTTCCGTCGTTTTCCCATCCAGAATCAATTGATTATGTAAAAGAAGGTTAATTGTTGTAACACAATTAGATCATTTACACTATCGAGATCGACTAACTCTATTGTTACAAAGGAAATTTACAATCTCGGGAATTACTAAGCTACAAGCTTAACAAATACATGCTAAAGGATAATCGTAAAGACTTCATGTCATCAAAGAAAATCTATAGTCATTCTAATTTCAACGCTCAGTAATTTACCGAGAGATTGAAATAAATGACATCTTTTGATATTCTTTTTTCTTTACTTTGCTTTAACATGGAAGACATACTTTCACCGACACATGCATTTTTTGATTTTGACTTTTCAGAGTTCATTGACAAGAATTTTGATATGTCAAACGATATTATTCCGAATTGTACTTCACCTTCTCTTATATCAACTATATCGTCCAGTTCTCGTCAATCAGTAAATCCTCCAAGTCCTCAGCTAGATAACTCACTTTTATGGTCAAGCATCGAGGAGCTTGCTTTTAAGACAACAAAAAACGACACAAACACATTTTCTTGTCTTGATATATTTATTAAAGAGCCTGATAGTGATCTCGTAGAATTGGTTCAAAACAGTGAAACAGATTATGCTTTGTTCCAAAGCCTAATCACAAGTACTTTGAATCAAAATTGCGAAACACAAATCGCACAAAAGCAAACACCACAGCACTTTACGCCTTATCCGCAATCGCAACAAGGAAGAAGGAGAAAGACGGATGACCATAATTACTTTACACAGCCTATAAAGAAATCATCACTTAGCAGATTTTATGATGACTCAATGAATGCACATTTACTAAGAGAATTACTTCGCCAAACAAGCAATAAACAACAAGAAATGATACTACATAAAGATGCAGCACCATATTATCACTTACCCACTCACATTTATCCATCCAGCACATCTTATTATACATCAAATCCTTCAATTTCTAAGCCATCATCATCATCTAGTTATTATAAAAAATCATATACGCCATCTAAAAAAAACTACCATCCTTATTATTATCGATCTAATCATAGTAGTAATCGAATGGCACAATATAAGCCCATCATGTACTCTTCGGAGCTGACACAGGCACAATTATTAGAAATTCAAGCCATTTCAAGGGCTCAACAAGACTTTATTCGAGCTAGAGAGCAACAAGAGGCAGAAAAAGAGATGATGATGAAGCATCAACATAAGAAATGATTCAATGATTTCTACTATTATCTAAAACTATATAATAAAATATAAGGGAACAGAATTTGTTTCCTAGTATTGTAACCGTGTTACAAGAAATAGGTTACCAAATTACTTTTTATTATGTGTATGTATATATATATGTGTGTGTGTGTGTGTGTGCATTGAAGTATATTTAAGCAGTTGTCTTTCCCTTGACATATGTAGCAACAACTTTTCCAAAGTTTTCTCCTTGAGTACGAGCAATTTCAAGCTCTTTTTGAGTAGGTTGTCTACTACCATCACCATTGGCTACTGTACCTGCACCATAGGCTGAGCCACCAACAACTTCAGAATTATCAAATAAATGTGCACTAGCAAACCCAAGAGGGACATAAATCATACCATGATGAGCAAAGTAAGTCACTGTCGTTAAGGCGGTTGTTTCTTGGCCACCGTGTTGAGATGCAGTACAAAAGAAAGTACCAGCAAATTTACCAGCAAGAGCACCTGTTGCCCATAATTTGCCAGTGGCATCTAAGAGCGCCTTCATTTGAGCAGGCATAGTACCGAATCTTGTAGGGATACCAAAAATAAGACCATCTGCTTCTGTTAATTGATCAACCGTGATGATGGGCAAGTCAGGTTTAGCTGGTGCATGCATCTTTTGAAGAATTTCATCAGACAAAGTTTCCTGTACTATAAAAAATAATAAACATCAACGTTCGTTTCTTTTTTCTTTTCTTTTTTTTTTACCTTGAAAGATCTTGGCATTGACACCGGATGCTTCAAGGCCTTGCTGAATTTCAACAGCTAGCTTGTAAATATGATGATAAAGTGTATAAATGACAATATAGACAGTAGCAGGCATATTGTATGTTTAAGAAAAAAAAAAAGCAGGAATCATGTCATGTCAATTATATTTCTATTTTATTTGCTTTGTCTTGTAATACGAAAAAATATCCACCTCGCTCAGTTTTTATTTTACTTCCAATGTTTGTTAGTATCATGGAAAATTAGACACAGCATTCAAATTTTATATCTAGAGATATTTGTCCTTTTCCTTTCTTTTTATCGACTCAGTTTGCCTTATGAATAAGCCTGTAGTTTACATAGTTATTTATTCATTGTACCAACATGTGTACAAGCTTGCCTTATCTGTAAAGCATGGTAAGGGCAATCAAAGCCAGATCAACTCCAACTTTGCATTTTTTTTTAAATAGGATTAGAAGAGCAAGGCGTCAATGCCCAAATATTTCAAGTAGCTGAGACATTAACAGATGAAGTACTTGCTAAAATGGAAGCGCCACCCAAACCTGATATCCCCATTATGACTGTCGAAAAACTTTCAGAACCTGACGGTATTCTCTTTGGTCTCCCCACACGCTTTGGTACCATGCCGGCTCAAATGAAGACGTTGTTGGACGCCAGTGGTGCTCTTTGGGCCAAAGGTGCTCTTGCTGGTAAATTTGCTGGTACTTTCTTTTGTACTGCATCTCAACACGGTGGCCAAGAAACAACTGCCTTGACAGCTGTTACTTACTTTGCTCATCACGGTATGCTTTTTGTACCTTTTGGTTACGCTCATCCTTCCATTATCGATAAAAATGATGATCAGGTTGTAGGAGGTAGTGCATATGGTGCAGGCACAGTGTCAGATGGTGATGGATCAAGACAACCTAGCTTGGTTGAATTGGATATTGCAAAGCAGCAAGGTGCGAATTTTGGAACTGTGGTGGGCTGTTTTGTTAGAGGACGATATAAAAGTGATAATGTCAATCAAAAGGTTGCCGCTGTTGGTGAGACAAGCAGCAATGATGCTACTGGTAATACTCCTACTACAGAGGCTAGTGGAACTAGTACTAGTGATGCTGGTGCTACAAACGCACCCGCCGAACAAGGTGAAAGGATATCAGGTGCCACTAGAGTTGGAGACTCAAACGCTGGAAAAGTTGCAGGTGCTGGCGTTGCAGGTGCTGGAGTAGGTGCTGCAAGTGCATTGGCTGCTTCTAGGTCAAAAAGTGATACGAGTGCTGATAAAACTACTGATATTGACAGAACTACTGGCGTTACAAATACACATAATACTAATGTCCCTAACGCTCCTGCCAATACTAGTATGATAAAATCTACAAGTGATAAAAATGCTATTGATGGTCCCAATACGTCCTCTGCCTCTGTTCCTCCTAATACTACTACTGTCAACACAGATACGGATCTTGCCACTCCTGAAACCGCAAACAAAACAAACACCCCAACCACTACAGGAGCAAGCACTCATGTGGGCAATAATCAGAAGAGTACTTCAGGTTTAGGCTTAACTGCTACAGGTCCTACTGATTCTTCTGGTATCGCCAATCAGGACAAGACTAAGCAATCATCAGCAGACTCAGTAGTAAAAGCAGCAGCAGCAGCTAGTGATGGAAAAGATCCTACCAAAGTAGGTGCTGAAGCTGGTGCAAATGCAGCTAGCTCTGCAAACGCTCTACCCAATACTAAAAAGCCAAAGCAAAGCAAGCTAAAGAAGTACTTTTGTTGTGGATTTTAAAAACAAGTTGATATGGTTTTAATGAATAATAATATACATTTTAGTGAAATATATACAAAGGAATAAATAAGATTATATATAATGTGTACTAGTTTTTTTTCTTTTACTTTTCAGTAAGTAACGGAGGCGGTGAAGAAGGCGTTCCACTAACGGCTTTTACCATAAAATCAAGAAAACGTTTACCATAAGTCAAAGGATGTACAGAGGAGATGGTTTCTTTATCTTGCGTGATGCTTTTCCATATAGTTTCTGCACGTTTTGCGATATTGTAAGGTGTCAGAATATCAATGACACCCACATAATAGAGTTTATCTAATGGCCTGTTTTCTTCATCACTCGACCTAAATCCGCCATCATCTGCGTAAAAGATACACCATCGACGCCTAAACATATGCTTAGTAAAAGCTAACTACGGTTTGTCCACTTACTCTTCAGAAGGGCTGATAGGTAAATCAGAAGGGTGAATATGAACAGGATTAGCTCGTTTTAATGCTTTTCGCATAATCTCTGCCTTGCTCTGCCTTCTCAAGAGTCCATCTGCCAACATTTTTTCCGTTCTTGGTGTGACCATCTGTAGACTTTGATCTCGAATGCACTCTGTGTTGCCCCTTCTAATATCATGAATACCAATCAACAAGCTATAATCCATAATATTCAATCGTTTCAAAATGTCAACATCTCGTTGCAATTGCTTCAAAAACAATTCTCGTTTCACGCCACCCAGTTGCAGTTGTTGATTTGTCTTAACCCAGTTTTGATCTTTCATTACAGCATGTGGATTTTTTTCGATTTCTTGATCTGATGTGAGTCGTCCAAATAAGGAGCCCTTAAGATCAAATGTCTGGTGAATGTCTTTATTGGACGGCAGCACGTTCCCCATAACAACAAAGTGGATCTTTCGACCCCGAGGTAGTTTAATGCGATGAAGGCCATAGAATCGACACAAAAGGGTATTTGGGTTCTTGGCTACATGCTTATTTTGTATGAGTCTCTATAGTTATTTGCCTCTTTTTCTACTTACCTCATAATAATCTTTAAGAATTTTTCTCATAAATTTATGTTCACTGTGATGGATCGTTTTGATAATAAATCGATAGTCTCTAGAGTAGTAAAAAAAACTACCGCTTTTCCCTGGAGATCCAATTTCACTCAGGATATACTTGTTAGTCAAAGACATCATATAGTCAGCAGCATCCACATGAAACTTTTCTCGCAAATAGCGAAACACCCAAGGTGCATAATCTTTGAATTTAAAATCATACTTGACACCAGGTGTTAATTCATTTCCAGTTCTAAGAAAATAATAAGCCAAATGATATCATCACGCCTTCACTTACACATCAAACACAAGTTTATGGGCAGCAGTAAAATCTTCCTCTGTCAATAGTCTTGGGAGTTTAGCAGACACACGGCCTACTGCAATTCGAATGCCTGTCAACATATCATACATGAGCTGATAGTTTCGATGCCCCTTTGCCACTCGAGTGCCTATAGCAACACGACTACTGTTGTCATCATCATCGTCTTCTTCATCATACGTATGTCGTTGTCGTCGCATATGTCGTCTCATTTTAATGTCTTGCTCAAGTGCTTGTTCCTCATCATTATTCAAGTGTCCTAGATCCATACGTGCAGAAGCAGGCGATATGAGCTTCATGGTGTTGATTAAAGGGGTGCTTTTGGTATCAATGAATAAAGGGGGTGGCTTTCGTATAACTTTATTGTCCGAGAGTATGGGTGAAGTCAATAGCTTTGAATCCAATACTGAATCAGAATTAGAGCGATCTTTATGGCTCATAAAGACAGGATTTGCTATCGTTGTTGACATTGGATAGTTAAGAAAATGATATAAAAAGAAAAAGAGAAAAAAAGAGGGAGAAGGAGAGAAATAGAAAAGGAAAACGAAAGAAATTCTAAAGTAGTTATGCGCGGAGATTGCTGTAGTACTAAACAAAAAACCTAAATTGGAGAACAATGATATCCCATCATGACGTCTTTTTTCTTAGTGTATTTTCATGATACAACAATAGACAATTATTCATTAAAAAAAAGGAAAGAAAAAGAAACCCTTTTTATATGTATAATTGCATGTCCTGGTTCAAAGAATAAATTTCCCCGAATTACTGCTATTCTTCCGGTTTACATTTCAAAAAAAGAGGAAAAGAGCATTCTTGTAGTATATCGTTTCCCCCCCTTTTTTTTATTCCCGGTAATTTCTGTACCTGTAATGACGGAGCATTTATCACAGTAATGATTACTTAAATCAGACACTACTTGTGTTACTAGTGTAACAAGCACAAAAATGATGATGTCTCTATTGGCTTTATTGTTTTGGTTAATTGTAATTCAAAGTTTCTACTTTTTTCTTCAATAAAGTATAACCAGAACAACGCGAATTTTTTAGGATCAATAAAGGCTGTGTTTCCAAAAAAAAAAAAAAAATTGTGTTGTGACTGTGCAGACTATCACTTTTATCCATTATGTCTTTGTCATTTTTATGGTTAAAGATTCAATTTACTGCCTCATGCTATAGATATATACTTGCTACATTCATATAAGCTCTACTTAGTCATAGAACTATGCTCAGTCTTTTTGAGATCTTTTTGTATGTATGATTTGAAGAAATTCATGCGAGTTAAAAAAAAAAAGCTCTTCCTCACCTTCAACACTATGCATAACGCAGTGACTGCTCTAAAAAAAGTTGTAGCACTCTAGAGATCATGAAGAACAAATTTTCCTCTTTTTTTTCTTTTCTTTTCAACACTATGAGTCCAACTGCCCACGATAACCCTATGCAAGTACAACACACCACATCAATCCCATTTTTTGTTTTCAAAACTAACTTCGATTATTAGCCTTCATAGTGGAAAGAGAAAAGCTATTGACACACACCATATACCTTTCCTTATTGACGGTCTTGAACCTATCGAACCTCAGTCACGCCTTAACATAGTCAAGAACAAGGCACAATCAAAACCATCCATATACGATGATACAACACCCAAAAGGATGGTGGTGGAACTGATTGACTTGTATTATCCGCCATTGATTTGTCCCGATTGCATTCATGTAAGCAGAGCCAAATTAGAGGCAGAAGATCATTTAAAGACCAAGCATCAGGGCATGAAATTATTTCAATGCCTTGCACCTCAATGTCAACATAACTATAAATCAAAAGGTGGGCTCAAATATCATTTGGAGCATGCTCATCAAGTCAGTAGTCGTCACTCTCCAATCAAAAGGTAGGCAGTACATATTCATCTTAATATATCTTATCCCCCTCTTTAGTGACATACCAGTACAAGAACAGAAAGAAAAACCTCAAAAGCGACTAAAACGACTTGAACTATCACCACGACTTACACAGCTATTAAATGATGCATATTCTCCTACTACATGCCCAGCCTGTCATGTCGAATTCAAGAAAAAGACACATGTGATACATCACTTGGTGGAAGCTCATCAAGGCCAAGAACCTTATCAATGTATTGTTAAAGAATGCAAACGTACAAAAGCATATGCTACTCGTGAAGGTCTAATTTATCATTTGATGAACTATCATGATCAATAAAAATAACAAAAGAAGAGTATGGGTATTCTAGTTTATAAGTTCGTCTTCATCCATTAATAATTGATTAAATCCAAACTGAGACACTTTTCTACTGGCTAGTTCACAAGCAAACGTTAATGTGGACCATAATGAATAACCTCTTCCTAATCCATGAATGACAGCTGCAATAAATGTGTCACCAGCACCTATACAATCAACCACTTGACATGGTACTGCGGGTGCATGAAGAATATCGCCTATTTTACTAGAACATGTAGCGCCTTGTGCGCCCCAAGTACAAAATAAAATGGCACTAAGACAAGGTTTAGTTTTACGAAGAAAGAAAGCTTAAATTTACCCAGGCTTACATCTCATTTGAGCATATCGTATAAAATCTTCAGAGTTTGTGTAGCCTCGTTTCTCTGCATACAATTTAGAGAAAAACACAACATCACCCTAAAGAGAGTATGAGTGCACTATTAGGGTTTACATATCTTAATTACCTTGTCTACCAAATCATCTATTAGGGGTCTATCAGGATGTTCAATTTCAACTGAGATAGTGATCTTGTCTCGCCAGCCTTCTCTTTTTGCTTTAGTTTCAATCCAGTCTATCTGCAACAAGGTATCACTGACATTTCTGCCCTCAAAATGAGCCCAATGAAATGTCGGTTGCCGAGGATCAAAATCAAGGCTCATGGTTTTTGAAATCTTGTTCATTTCTAAACGCCGAGCAAACTCATCTTTGGTAATGCCCTGGATACTACAAAAATAGGTGAGTTGATGTTTAATTAGTTTTGTTATTTACGTGTTACAGGAAATGATAGTCCGAGATCCCGTTTGTTGTGTCGAAATAATGTAACACGAAGGTGTGGGTTGCTTACGATGATAACAAGTGGATGTCTTGATGCCTTTGGATTCAAGTTGTGTAAGCAGCATGGCTGTAGTTTCTTTAGGCCCTACAGCTGACATAACATACGGACATGTTCTGGAAAACTGAACCAAGACTTCAGCAGTATTAACACAGTTTCCGCCACATCGCATTTGTTGCACTGATTGTGATTTACTGTCTTCTTGCGGATAAGCATCAACCTTTAATATTGTATCTTGATAGATTTGGCCAACAAGTAATACCTTGAATGGTTTTTCATCCAAGAATGAACTTGATCGGGATAGAGTCCGACTGGAAGCAATGGAATAAGAAGAAGATTGAACTGATTCACAGCGTTTTTTCTTTGAGAAAAATACCATAAGGAAAAGAAAAAGAAAGAAATAGAAAAAAACAGACACACGATTAATTTAGTGGCTTCCATGGGCGAAAATGTCAATAATTTCAATAGAATTATTCAACACATGTAGCGCTTGATTTACACTGTAATATTTATTGTCCAACATTACACTATGTTTCGAACAAAAAAATTGTCTAGTACAGTTTGTAAACAAAATTGATTGTCCTAGAAGAATTTCAAGTGTTTATTTATTTTTAAGGGAAAAAGAAGTTGTTTAGGCTGTGGTTAATTATATATAAAAAAAAGGGACAAAGTAGATTCCTTTTTCAACTATACAAAACCATAAAAGTGTCTGATCTTAAAACAGTTGCATATCTGAAACTACGGGTTACACTGAATGTTTATTGTCTATTTTTGAATTGCTTTGTCATTCTTATAAATGCATTTAAACAAGCTTCCCTTTTATTCATCAGTTTGTTTGCATATCTACTCATTCGATTCATAATGAATAAAGGAACATATTGATATGGGCTCAAGTAGGTAAAGAAATAAAGAAAGAATGGACATGTATAAATTCCTTGTTGTTTCTTTCATATCTTTTTCTCATTTCTTTTACCTTAACTTTATGCCATATCATTCATTACTTATTTATGCTTCGGCATTAGTGATTTCCACTATAGTCCTAGAAACAGTCCCACCTAGACCTGATTTTCGTAGCACCAAGAACATAACATTTTCTTCAGCAGGAGGAGGTAGCAGTCATCATGTATGGGTTCTTGAGATCTTGAAAGAAATGCATCATCGTGGACATCAAGCCGCTCTTTATTCCAGAGTAAAATACCTTGCATCGACTGATGATATGTACTCATTTTTTTAATACGGAGATCAACTTCGATTTGCTGATGCATATCCTATAATAAGAACAAAGCAGGTGGACGGAGCATTTGATTTTATCAAGCATTCAAATATTGACATTTTGATCAATTCTCACCCGGATCAAATTGAATTGGGCATGTTTGCAGTACAAGCAAGCATGATAAATCATACATTAAGTGACTTGGTCTTGTATACAACATACATATTCATGTTTAAGTATAGATTTCTATGAATATCAGGTCTTGTTTGAACAAAAACAGATTGGCTTGGTTATTTGTGATTCGTTTGCCATTAATTGTATTGGTGCTGCCGCTGTTTCTGAATTACCTGTAATGATTACTTCTACCATGAGCTTGTATGCAGGTATAAACGTACATGCATAGACTTTTAACTTATCATAAGTATAAAATTTTCTCCTTTGTCTATGCGGCAGTTGAGCCCACAATTGAAACAGACAGTCTATGATTCCGTATATACCGTGGCTATTACAAACTGCTTAAAGAGATCCGCAAGTTATCTAAGAAAGCAAAGCCTGCATTTGACTTACAGCGCAAATTGGATTTGTCGTATGTCTATGATACCTCTTCATCTCGTTACAATGCTGTTCCCAAACTAGCCAGTAGTCTGTATGGGGCCAAACTTGCGTGTTCCCTTAGTCCTTTATTTCATATGGAGGAACCTGTTATGCAAAGCACCTATCCTGCACTGAATCAAGCGACAGCTGCTTTCTAGACAGCTATCAGCATGTTGCCTATATTGCATTTGGATAATATGTCACCAGTACAGCACAAAATACTCAGATCATGATGCCTAGTCTACTTTAGCTCAAGCAAGAAAAAATCATTGATGGTATCTTATAGGGTTGATTAGAATCTCAAACTATTATTGATGAAGTCAATAGTACGTATAAACTTCGTGAAAGTGTATTGCAAGATAAAGAGATCTATCTGGCTTCATGGTCACCTCAGTTTACTCTTCTACAGCATCCTACTATACTCTTCTTTGTGACATATGGCGGGATTGGATCTATAAAGTTATGCGTTTGTTTGTATATCTCTTTTTTGGTGACTAGCCTATCAATGCACGCTCCATTGCTCGTACAGGACTAGGCCCTTACTTTAACACCTTCAACTTGAATTTTGACAAGCATGACTATCATCAGTTCTATAATCAACTCTCTCAGTTGGCTACAGATCCAAACAACGCAATACAGACCAATGTAGACCGATACAAATGTTATGTTCAAGTCCGTTCCAACATGCTATAATACGAGGATCTGATTTGATGGAAGAAACTCTGTTTGCCAATAACAAAGACGGCTTAATTGCCTATCGTAAAAGTGTAGCTTATACACTAACCAGAAATAAGAGTTTGCCAAGTTTTCTTTTTGTCCTTTGAACTCAACAACAAAGATATCATGATCCAAGAGCCCTTCCATATGCCAAGATGATACTTAAACGCGCTCAGTTCTTTGTGGATGATTTGTCGAGATGTTTGTTTTAAGATAATATAAACAGAAAGAAGTCAGTGCTTGGTGGTACAGCCTTTGGTATCAACCACAGCTTGGTATTGGTTGGTCATATTGTGTAATAGTATGAATGTAATGGGAGGATAGTAGAGGAGGTATTCCACTACCTCCTCGTATCTGTGTAAATATTTTGCATATGTCGGTTCATACCTATTACTGATTTACTTCTCTTTTATCTCCCTTGTATTCTCTGCTCTTTCTTATAATCTAATGTAAGTAACAATATAAATATTATTCATGCATCCCATACTATGCTTAATTTTTAGAATTTGATTTTTCAGCGCGATTCTTTTTTTCAATAAAGTGTAGTATACCATGGATCAAACGATATAATATCGATATTTACGCTGTATTTACCATGGTTGCTATGCACATAATTCAACCAGCGCAAAAGCACAAAATGAAATTGACTTGAACAATAAAGACGTCATTCTAAAATAAGCTTTCAATTACTATTTTTCCCTCTTTTTTTTATTTATTTATCTCGATAATGACTCAACCTAACGATGGTATCAAAGTAGTAGATGCTGAACCAGCAGCACCTACTCAAGCTTCATCTATGAATGCCAATGCTTTGTTGAACAACACATTAGATGGTTTTGCTAATTTGAGTTCTCGTATTAATCCTTTTGCTCAAAAGTTAAACAAAGGTCTTGGCCAAGTGAGACAGGTAAGTCCTATTTATGAGAAAAAAAAAAAGCAAGTAATGCTAATATATATATATATACATACATACATACATATATAGTATGCTCAAGAAAAGCTGGGTACTGCTGAAAATGTTACTGAGCTTCCTCAAGAATACAAGGACTTAGAAAAGGTAAGACGTGATTGTCTGAACAATAAACCTGATTCATCATTAGCGTTTGGATGCTCTTCGTAATGTACAAGCCAACATGCTCAAAGTATCTCGTACTTACAACAACTCATCATATGATTATCCTGTTCAAATCCAACAATCCTTGATTGGAATGACCAACACCATGACGCGAGAAATCCAACATTTGACTAACTCTGCTGCTGACCGTTCAGCCACTGTTGAAGCAGAAGAACCTAAGACGTTGCTTCATGGCCTTTCTCGTATTGCAGCTCAAGGATCGGAAGCTATTGGTGTCCAAGAACCCTTAGGTACTGCTCTCTTCAAATACGCTACTATCACTGAAAAAGTCGCTGATGCACGTGTCAAGATGGACAAGACCATTGTTGACAAATTCAACAAGCCTGTCCAGACAACACTGAACTCATCGATTGAACAAGCCCTTAAAGCACGTCGTAATGTTCAATCTATTCGTCTTAGTTTAGACGCCTGTAAAGCAAGATATCGATCTGCTCGTCCCGAAAAATCAGAAGCTGCTCGATTAGAAGTCGAACAAGCCGAAGATCAGTTTGTTGCTGCTGTTGAAGAAGCCACCAATCTCATGAAGGCTGCTCTTGAGAACGTAAGTGAAAAGAGTGAATGTTGGTTGTTGCTAATCTATCTTTTAGCCAGAGCCCTTTAGAAATTTGGCTGACTTGGTTCAGGCTCAATTACAATACTTTAAAGAAGCACAAGAACTTTTATCTGATCTTGCACCTGAATTGGATGAAATTCAAGTCACTCAAGAATCTTTGTACAGAAATAGCCGCGTTTAATAAAGTCATGGTTGTTACACATACTAAACAATCACATGAGAATTTCTTTTTTCTTTTTCTTCTACTTTCTTATGACAAATCCATCTTCTTGGCTATACCCATTCACTTATTCTTTACAGACCACTTCAGGAGACAATAAAGAACAAGATAATACAAACAGTGTTTGGTCATGGCTAGGTTATTCTAATACAGCTGAACCAGATAAGCAAACACCGAAAGAGACAATAGAAGAAATACCAGAAGATACACTGGAAGAGACACCAGAAGATATATCAGTGAAGAAACCATTTTATTGGAACTACTTATTTAGTAATTCAACAAGCAAGAATGAACCTGACTCTATAGAAGAAAAATCAAAGATGAAACAGAACGTCGTCTTGCCTACATTTGAACAACAAGAAGAACAACAGCCACCTTCCTTTTTATCCAAAGCAGTTCAAGCTATTCATTCATTCTTATCCACTACGCCTGATGCACTACTACACAAAAAGAACAAAAATATAGTGATTATAGGTGTTCATGGCTGGTTTCCTATGAAACTTGTTCGTAGCATGATTGGTGAGCCCACAGGCACATCTACTAAGTTTTGTGAACAAATGACAGCTGCCCTTGAAAAATATTTTGATATGCATAATATTATAGATGCCCATATCACTAGTATACCTTTAGTATGGGAAGGCAAAGTACTAGAGCGTGTAGAGAAATTGTTTAGCCAAGTATTAGAATGGAGAGAGACCATTCAATCAGCTGATTTAATATTATGGGCCACTCATTCTCAAGGTACGCCTGTGTCTACTATCTTGCTTCAGAGAATGATCCAGGACAGACTAGTGACTCAACCTGTCTGTATGTTGGCTATGGCAGGTATTTCTCATGGTCCATTTCCTTCATTAAAAGGTAGTTTACTTGTTAAAGTAAGTTAGGATACATAACAACATGCTTGACAATGACTAGTATTTTGAAGCAGATGCTGCCCGTGAATTATTTGAATTTATGCATTCAGATTCACCCATCTCAGTCACTTATCGAGAAGCCATGGCTTACAATCTACAGCACCATGTTAAGGTAGTGTTGGTGGGGTCTATGCAAGATCAAGTAGTGCCCTTGTATTCTGCTATCATGTCTGGCATGTCCCATCCGAATATCTTGCGTGCTGTCTATATCGATTCCCATCTTGAAGATGACTTCTTGGTCAGATTGATTGTGTTTTGTATTCGACTGTTGAATATGGGATTATCTGACCATGGTTTTCTGATTTATATCAGTGAAGTATTGGCAGGGAATGTGTATGCATTAGAAGGAGGTCATTCTACTATCTATGAAGCATTAGATGTGTTCTTGTTGCCATTACATTATGTGTTTGAAACAAAGCAAGTCCATGTCAAAGCCAGGACAGAGACACAAAAGCAACGGGCCATTCACCAAGTCGAGGCCAGTATGGATCCATTTCATGCGACTACTCGACTTAACCCATATCATTTACCTTGGGCCATGCGAGGTATTTGGGATGATCCTCGTATCATTCAACATGCGATACTGAGTAAAGAACTAGAGCAACTCCAATACTTGTTTGAACATTGGTATCCCACCACAGCTAAACTAAAGGAAATCAAATTTCGGTTAGAGCCTTTAAAAGCACGACTCTAATAAAGATCAATTCTTTAAGGAATGGATTCTCCTTTATGTGTGTTCAAGGAGATTCAGTGGCTGATAAACTTTGTATGTTTCCCTCCTCTTTTTCTTCTTTCTTCTTTCTTTTATGTCAAATACATTAATAAAAGCAAAAGAATCTTGTATAGTGCATACTAGACGGTAAAAATAAACTACTTTTGAATTTATATTAAAATAAACTAGATTCTTTAGCATGACACATATTCATCAACAGGAAACCATCATGACTCCTCCACCTTCACCCAATACTGTCAAAATGGTTCATGAAAAAGAACATACAAAGAATGATTCTTATTGGCTTGGATGGTAAGTCCTCCTTTTTTCTTTTTTAATGACACGCATAGACTGATAGCAAATTAAAGTGTGGTAGCATGTTTATTATGTTGTGCTGTAAAAAATGAGAAATAAATTAAAGCAATTGATGCAGTCGATTCAGAGTAGCTTGATGATCATGTTGATACAGTGCTTTTTCTTTTTCAAATACTCTTGTGGCTGTTTCGTATCTTTTGCGGTGATAATCACAGATATCATTGTCATCAGGAGGTGTAGGCAATTGTCGACAGATTTGATTGTAGGGTATATGAGGTGTGTCCCAGACAAGTTGACGTGTTTGATCCATGATATGGTCTAGTTTATTCTTCCAAGTAGTGGCTTCTTCTTTGAGTTCAAGTGATAGCTGCATCATCTTATTCTATGGTTATGTGAGTAGAATGCATCAATAGAGTGTTGTACCTCAGTATCCTGAAGTTGAGTTATATCTTGATTGCATAGATCAGTTTGAACTTGTTGATCTGTATAGACTAATTGTTCAATATCACAACGAGACTGACTGATATCTTGTTCTGCCTTTTCTAATTGTGCTTCTAAATCCTATCATGCAGTATAAACAAGTTGTCTGATGTAGTCATGTACCTTGATTTTTTGTTCAAATGCTTGCTTCATTTGATTACATTGTTGATCCATCTTTTGAAACTCATCTTCTTGTTCTTCATAGTATAATTGGGGTATATAAGGTGTAGACTGGTTATGTCTTGCTAGTTCTTGTTCTGTCAACAAAGTCTTGTTGGGTTCTGAGCATACGGATCGATAGACTTTCTCATTATGTCTTGGTACATCTATGCCTTTATGAATATGATAGATACTATTCATAACTTACTCTCTGACTGAGTAGAATGAACAGGAGAATAAACAGAAGATAATGAGATGGAATCTCTGCTTATACTTGGGTGATTGACACTTATTTTATCCACATAATCATAATATTTATAATCTAAAGACATAATGAAAATAAAAGAAACACGTACGTCACTGTATTTTCTTTTTATTTTTTTTAATTTTTTAAAATATGCATAGTATGTATGATGATGAACCACAGTCTATATTTGTCTTTAAGAACCCCTTGCGTTTCTTGTCAAGAAAAGGAAGACAAATAGGTGCCTATACTTCTGGAGGATTGGTAATGAAGTATACCAAAAAAAAAAAGGAGAATTAACAAAAGATTAGCTTGCTGTGGGATGGTGGATATTTATTGATGCAGTCATCAACTCTGCCAAGTATAATGGAGCGACATCTATGGGTTTTGAAGACTGGTTCTCTGGTATTCTGACCACATTTGGTATGGTGGTGTATGTATAACGGCCAGTACCATATACAATGAACTCACAAGAGTGGATAGTATTAATTTGATTGACAAGAATCGTTTACAAGGTGAATCTGCCATGTATGCAGGTTCAGGGCTAGTATGGAAAGCAAGATTGTTTTTATTTCTTGGATTTGCTTTGATTGCAGGAGGATTTGCTGGTGCCTGTGTAAGTACATGTCTTCAAGTTGTATTTTACTTATAGAAATGTAGTGTGTATTGATTATCAAATACATTGTTCATTTGGATTCTGCTCAACCTTATATCAATTATGGCATTGCAGGAGTAGCACAAAATGGGTTAATTATGTTAAGGTAAGTTTCTCTTTATGATTCCCTTTGTTAATAGAACAACAATAGTACCATTGTATTGTGGGTAGCTCAAAACACAAGAGAGGTAAGTGTATCTGCAAAAACAAACATAACTGATCTTTGTCCTATAGGAATATGAATACAATGTCCGTATTTAGGCTCTTTAAAACAAGTTTTTGTGTAATATTCCTGTGTAACTGATTTAAATATATATATATATAAAAATGCACACACACACACACACACACACATATATATCTACATTTTGCCCCTTTCCTTTCCTTTTATTGTTGTTATTGTTCTTATTATTATGACAGATAGAAGAAGTGGTATGGTGCAATCCTTTGGCTATCCACAAAACAGTACTATTGTCAGTAGAGCAGTAGCTGCTGCTGCTGCTAATAATCATCATTCGAGTCGTAACAGAGGCAGAGGATCAAAGCGATATTCTGTCTCTGTGTTTTATTCGATGGCAGCAGAACAAGACATTGAAGTAGAAGATGAGCTTGCTAAAGGTAGATTAAACCTTGGTACTCTTTTTACTGATCTTGATTAGCTCAAAAAAGATTACGAGAATTAAAAACAAAGATTTCCACTCAATCCAAAAAGAACTTTATGCGTGAACGCGATGTGCGTTTCTTGGATGCTCGGATTGGATTGTTAATTCAGAACCGAATGGCCTTGGATGAAGTAACGTATCTATAGAATGATATAGACATATTCATATCTATGTGTAGCAACATGAAGTCGCTTCTCGTCTAGAGGACCATGATGATGATGATGAAGACCATTACCCAGATGAGCGACGTATGCAGCAATACGGCAACTTGTTCTATTTACTCCAAAGTGAGCCACGCCATATTGCTATCTTGTGTCGCCTCGTCAGCTTAGCTGAGATCGATACCTTACTTCAAACTGTCATGTTTACCTTGTACGGTAACCAATATGAAAGCCGCGAAGAGCATTTATTACTGACCATGTTTCAGGTAGGTTGATGACAAATAAGGCAACTGATGGTTTACACGACATTAGAATGTATTGGCAGCTCAATTCGAAACAACGACTGAATTCACTTCTTTGTTGCGTGCAAATACACCTGTCTCACGTATGATGACCACCTACACTCGTCGTGGTCCCGGTCAATCTTATCTCAAGTCTGTCTTGTCTGATAAGATCAATCATTTGTTGGAGCATCAAGACCTGAATCTTCAGATCAATCCACTCAAGGTATATGATGAACTAGTCCAAATCACAGAACAAGACAATGGAGGTGTATTACCTGAAGGATTTCCTCGTAGTGTCACGGCTGAAATGGCTTCTTCTAACCCTACTGTTCAGAACATGATTCGCCCTCGCTTAGCTAAACTGATGGAGATTGCTAATTCTTTTTTATCTACCATTATTAGTTCTTTAGATCAAGTGCCTTATGGTATTCGCTGGATCTGTAAACAAATTCGATCTTTGACCAAGCGTAAATATCCTGATGCATCTGATAATGCCATCTCTTCTTTGATTGGTGGGTTTTTCTTTTTACGATTTGTGAATCCCGCTATTGTGACTCCTCAAGCTTATATGTTGGTGGATGGTATTCCTGGCCCACATGCCCGTACCACGCTCACTTTGGTAAGCAACCATTTATTTATCTATCTACTTAAACGAATGTATAAAAACCCAGTTGGCAAAGATGTTGCAGAATTTAGCAAACAAACCTTCTTATGCTAAAGAAGCCTACATGATTCCTACCAATCCCTTTGTCGAACTCAACAAACAACGCACAAATCAATTCCTGACAGACCTTTGTGAAGTAGTTGACTTTTATGAACAACTAGAAATGGACCAGTACATGGCTTTGTCTAAAAAGGATATCATGATCAACATTACACCCAATGAAATCTACAATACGCTCTCTCTTTTACAACAACATATGGACATTTTGGCACCGAAAGAAACAGACCATTTAAGGATCTTGTTGAATGAAGTAGGGCAAGCGCCCTCTCAAGTACCTCGTAAAGAGAACAAAGCAATTGAACTGCCCTTATTCAGTCGATGGGAAATGCCAATTCAAGACTTGACCATGTCACTCATGTCTGAGAACAATATTACACAAAACGATATTTTGTACATGGAAGCCAAATCAATTTTTGTACAAATCATTCGTTCTTTGCCTTATCTGTCTCGTCCCCCATTGAAACTACACTTGATTGCAGAAACAGCAGGCACAGCCAAAGATGCTCAGTTAGTCCATAAAGGCATTAAAGTCAAAGAAATGTTGCGTGAATTAGAAGAAGCAGGTGTGATTGATCGACAGAATCACCAGCTATTAGTGGAAGAAATCACTCATGAATTGGCTCATTTGGGTGATTTGAAAGTCAAGGTGATGCAAGAACTACAATCGTTGGAAAGTGTCTACAAGACCATCATTGACCACAATAATTATCTCAAGAGTCAATTGGAAAGCTACAAGGCTTATCTACAGAATGTGCGTATGCAAAGTACGAATAGCAAAGGCTTGTTGGAAGATCCTAAATCGAAGAAACCCAAGCAAGTTGTCCATAAGTTCACACATCAACAGTTGGAAAAGGAAGGGATCATTAGCGAGACAGAAGTGCCTGATCACCGAAGAAATCAGATTTACTTGACTATTTCGAGTCCAGTGCCTGGCACGTTCATTATATCATTGCACTATAAAGGCAGAGATAAGCCTGTATTAGAAATTGATCTTAAACTGGATGATTTACTTGAGAAGGTAAGTTTTTTTTTTTTTTTTTTTTTTTTTTTTTTTGTCTATGCTCACATCCTACAGCAACAAGACAATGTACAGACATTGGATTTGGAATATATCAAGCTCAATGTTGCTAAAACACTACAGCTATTAACCAAAACCTTCATGGCAAGAAATAGGTAATATATATATATATAAATGGGTTATGTGTAGTGTCTAATCCGCTTTGATAGAACTGGCTTCTTTTCTTAAATTTTTATTATTCTTATTCTTATTTAATTAAAATGATTATTATTACTGTTATAGTTTGGCCAATACAGCATCTGCTCCTGAACTAGTTACACCAGGCTGCTTTTCAACACCAATATATTTGACGACTAAATTATCAACCACAATAGCAAATCGCTTAGAGCGAATGCCCATGCCCATCTTGGTCAAGTCTTGAGTTAAACCTAATGCTGAAGAGAAAAAAGCACTTCCATCTCCAGCCATAATGACATCACTCGTATGGAATGTCTTTGCAAATGCATTCATGACAAATCCATCGGTGACTGAAATGCAAATGATCTTATCAACTCCCTTTGACTTTAGAGCAGCATGGGCATTTAAGAATCCAGGTACATGGGTTTCTGAACAAGCAGGAGTAAAAGGACCGGGAATAGCAAAGATGATTGCTTTTTTATCCTTAAGTTCGTCATGGATTTTAAAGGGAATAGGGTTAATTTATAAGTAACGAGATAGCCCCTTTTTTTAGACTGTTCTTACTGAGGACATGCTTTAAGATCTTGTTGAGGATCATAAGGAACATATTGAAGTGTTGCGTCTGGAATCTAATCCATCAGGTAAATACATATGCATATCGTATTGAACACATACAATATCACCTATTTGAATGCTCTATTGAAAATGTCAGTTTGGAATAGACAAGTATATGTTGACTACTTTACCATAGTTTTATCTTGGAGAACAAAAAAAAAAGAAAGGAAAAAAAAATATACCCTTTTTCAGTTTTATAAAGAAATATACCACCTATGGATAAGGAAATTTTGATTGGTCAATAAACACTCTACATAGAGTTATTTAGCTATTTTTTTTTTTTTTTTTATAATGTATTCAAGACCTTGTTTTCAACTTAAACGCTTTTTACACAGTCATCATCGACCTGGCTTCTTTACTTCATTTGTGCGTTATGAAAAAAATATCGAGAATCTTAAAGCACTACCTCAAAAGACCTATAAACAGACACAATCATGCATAACACCGCCTACAGATATCAAGATGCTCGTACGCGACTTTATTGATGATTCACTTTATAACCCTCATTATGGATTCTATACCTCGAATGATCCTATTCGCTCATCTCGATACTCGAATACCGAATTATTTAAGGTATGTCTTATGATTATTGTATACAACTGATTGACTCTCTTGTTAAAGCCTTGGTATGCAAGTGCTATTGCTAAATATATGGTCTCTGAATACAAATTGAAGCTATATCCTCATAAAGATTTGATTATATATGAAATTGGAGGTCGACATGGTCGATTGATGACGCATATTCTGGACTATATTGAACGTTATGAACCCTCTGTGTATCAACGTACACAGTATAGAATGATTGAACTATCAGACAGACAGGTGTCACCCTCTTTTCTTCAACAGAAACAACATCATGGCATTGTACAAGTCTTGGATCAGAACATCTTTGACTGGAATACACTTGTAACAGACCAGTGTTTCTTTTTAGGCGTCAAAGTGATTGTGAGTAGCATCCATAGGTCTATGTTTATTGATCTATTTTGTTGATAGAATCACTTTGCTCATGATGTGATACGTTATGATGAAAATCAAGTACCATATCAAGGTTTAGTCTGTATGGACAACAAACACTCCTTGACAGAGATATTCGAACCCGCTCAAGATGCTACTATTGAACGCTATTTATCATTACAAAAGAAACTTGGTAGTAAATACAATAAGCAAAATTGGTATAGCCGATGGTTTAGGCAGTGCCATTCAATCGAGTTTATACCCACACGCCTGCTGGAATTGATGGATATCCTGAATACATGGTTTCCAGGTCATCGCTTGATTTTGACAGATTATGCTTCTTTATCCAATACTATTGGAGGCATGAATGCACCACTTGTTCAGACAGATTATCATGGCAGCATATTACCTTCCAATACGTACTTGTTGAGTCCAGGCTGGTATCCTATCTTCCCTACTAATTTTGAACAGCTACGAGACATGTATCTCTTGATCTGTCGCGGAACTAAACCAGGCAATCAGAAAGGCGTTAAGTCCATGCAATATAGTGATTTCTTGGAACGTTATGGTGAACCAGAGAACCAAAGACTCTATCAACCTAATGTCAAGGTTTTGTTGACATAAAAAATAGCTTTGTGAGAAAAAAATAAATAAATAAAGCTGGGTTTCCTATTTGTAAGCAGATTCATATGAATTTTATAAATTAAATGAATCCCCCCCCCTCTTCTTTCTCTTTTTTCTTCTTCTTGAACATGACTGATTTCCCTTTGGTCCTTCCTAACAAAGAATCCCATTGGATGACTCTCTCAAGAGAAGGTCCTCTTTTCATTCTTCATTTGCATGAAAAAGATAATCGGTTTACTACTGAGTTTTGTCAAGCTATTCTGAAAGCACTCCAGGTTGTTGAAGATCAATTCATGGCCAGTGAAGGACCTGTTGACATGGCCCTTGTAACACTGGGCAATGATAAGATTTATAGTAATGGGTTAGATTTAATGCATGCAGTGACTTATTTGCCTTTTATGGATGTCTATCTCAGCATGTTGAAACGCCTTGTTACATTCTGTGTACCTACTGTAGCTGCTATCAATGGGTAAATAAGAAAGGCGTTGAATCGTTTCATGACTCACTCTTGTATAGTCATGCTTTTGCTGGTGGTTGTATGCTTGCCCTTGCTCATGGTATGCTCCCTTGATTAACATGATTATGTAGACTGAGTGTCTCTCTAGATTACCGTGTCATGCGTTCTGATCGTGGATTTATGTGCATGAATGAAGTCGATCTTCCTTCTCCTCTTGCACCTGGTATGGCTGGTCTTTTACGTGGCAAAATGGGTCCCAAGACATTCCGTGACATGGTATTACAAGGACATCGATTTACTGCCAAGGAAGCCTTAGAAAATGAGTTAGTCGACATGATTGTACCTCAAGACCAGGTATTAGACAAAGCCAAAGCACTTGCTCTCACATGGGCACCTAAAGCTAGATCTGGTATTGTTTATAAGCAATTAAAAGATGAGGTAAATTTACTATTGAAAATGGATATATATATATATATATTCATACCTATTTAAAAGATGTATAGAGATATTGTCAACCTCTTGAGTGTACCTTTCCATCGTTTGGCTCCCAAATTATAAGAGGGAGATATCAAAGTTTAATCAAAGTGTTCCCTTCTTCTTTTTCTTCCTCCTTTTTTTTTATTCTAAATAAAATGATATGCAATTATACCACCTTGCTCTTGTTCTTGCTTATACACATCTTGATATGGATACACCTTGTAATGACACTTTTAGTTCAAAACAATGGATCACCTTGCAAAATGCATTAGAGAAGAAAATTCAAGCATTAGAAACTCAGCTTGCACTTTACGTTCAACGTGAGTCAGAGCTAGAAAGCCAATTGTTTATTCTTCAACAGTCTAAAAAAAAAGAATCCAAAAACGCACTAGACCGTATAAACAAACACATTCACCAATTCGTATTTCAGTCAAAACAAACTGACTTTGTTAAGAAAGACTCATACAACATCCTATTTGATGAATCAAATCAAGACAGTGGAGGCCTGAATGACATTTTTACACTCGATCAACTGGAAGACGACTGTTCAGTCCTGATGACAGACAATGAGCCTAAGGCGTTCTTTCTACCTCGACTCATATCCATGGTACAAGACTTTGTACAATCCAATGATAAGCCAATCCATGAGTTTTGCATGGATCTGAACAGTGCTTTAGAGTCATGCCAGACATATTATGACACATGCCTATCCCAGCATCAACAAGGAAGACTGAAAGACAAAGAAAGTATCACACGGCTTGTGAAAGCACTTTCTTCTAGTCTTGCCAGGAACAGAATGTTAGATAAACATACAAAGGTACTCATGAAACAATACAAAGCAACTACCGCCAAGTTATCGAACGCATCCCATAACAAGCAAAATATCCTCACCATCATAAATAAACTTCAACTGCGTTCGAGCCAGCTTGAGAAACAATGGGCCGACTGTCAGGAAGAAAAAGTAGAGTATGAGACAACACTTGACATGATGCGAAGGGAAATGGAAACCATTCTAGATGAACTGGAGGACACAAAACAACAGAGGCTGCGCTACAAGACTCAAGTAACTCGAATGCGTGAAGCGCTTCAAAAGAGAACTAGTTTTGAAGAAGATGAAGAAAAAGAAGCTATGCGATTGCTTTATAATGAGGCAGAAAGACAATCGGCAGATCTGGATCGAGAATGCAAGCGACAATCACTCGCACTTTCTAGTTTACGCAACGAAATCAAAAGCGTTGAAGCAAAGTATCAAACTCTTAAGCTAGAAAAAAACAAACAATTGATTCAACTCGAACATCATATTGGACAATTAGCATTAAAGAACAAAGAGCCATGCGATGGAGTGCAAATGGCGTTAAGAGCATCCAAAGCAGATGCTTCATTGTTGCGAACACGAATTTATCAACTCGAAAAGCAAGTTTCAGTAACTAGCCATCTTTTCTATGATATCAATCAGTTACAGTTTGTGCTGCAAAGCAAGTCGAATCAAGCAAATGATTATCAGATGAAAGCTAATCAAATCGAAATGGAACAAAGGCTATGGAAACAAGAACAGTGTAAATTGTTACGAAAGCAGCATGATATTGATCTTTTGAATATGCATCGTGATATGAGGAATTTAGCCTCTTATCTCTGTGAACTTGAGGATGAGATTGAGCAACTCAAACTTACTCACAAGCATGAATTAGCCTTTTTTCAATTTCAGACAACGATAGATTATGAAAGAAAAGTACAACGCCTATATCTAGCGCAGCAACTGAAGGAGCGAGAATTAGAACATCAAATGGATGTTCTATTCCAGAAGAATCAGACTTTAAGAGATGAATCACTCGTATTGTACGGCCGAAATCTTTTGCTTGTTGATCAGTTAGGAAAAATAATTTCATAGGAGAATTACTAGACCTTTATCTTTCTTTCTCATGCTACCCACACTAATAAAACAAGAACCATTGTTGTTAGACGCAGCTTCGTCTCCCACACCATCTTCTGATCTTTCGCCTCATTTACTAGAGCATTTCAATGAAAATACGCCTTCAGAGCAATCGTACCACGCAGTTCAAATGGCATCTAAAAACTACTGCTTTGCTCACAATACATACTATGTAGTAAGCTGGTGTCCAAGATGTGCATTTAAGATATAAATGTAGACTACAGAATTAAATGGAAATAAACACTTAAAATAGGCGCAATTGAACTTACCAAGTTTACAATAATCCCCAATTAATACAAATGTTTCGTATTGAATTGATGATAGCTTGTGTGACAGTAGAATTGAAGAGAAAAAGATATATCGTAGGAGAAAATTAACAGTTAATAAGATATAATGTTCGCAATCAAGCAAGTCAAGTTAAGTCTAAAACCAGCTTAATTCAGACTCGACTTGTATGTGGTTGAGCCTAAGGAATCCCTTACAAACGCGAACTTCTAACAAAATATCAAGAAATAGCAATTACTTGTAATTGTCGTGAACATATATGAGTTTGTATGCATAGATCAATAAATGATAATCCTGACAAAAGACCAGATCACATCTATGGCAATTGCAATGGATCTATAGTCACTGACATTCACTCATTCCACTAGAAGTACTACATCGTCTTCATAGTCAGAGATTATGAACCTAGTGACTCTGTTAGTATCAATGGCCCTCATAAAGTGACAGTTAGAGCTGACAAACACATTAGCATTGGCATTTGACAAATATGTAATAGTTTATTCAAGTTCAGGTCAGATCATGCACTATTGGCTGAGCTGACAACTTCATCTAAAGGCATTTCTCATGATTGCTCCTGACCTAACAAATCAATACGTAGTCAAGAAGCTAACCCCAAAACAATATTTTGACCGAGAAGAAAAAGTATAAATATCTCGACATTTTATAGCAATTGAAAATGATCATATTTCTTTTGGGGGAAATAAAAGCCTATACAAGTTCTAACGGACTTTCTCTGTGTTCTAACCTTTTCTCCTATTTTATATCTATTCTGTCTTCATCTCACAACAATCTTTGCCCTCAGAATGTTTCTTGATAAACCTTCGCTTGAAGCTGGGTATATAATAAAATGAGTAACCAGACCATTCTCAAAACGACCTACAAAGCGCAGAGAGGAGTTGTCAGAGAGTTTTTTGCTAAAGCAAGCAAATGTGTTGTTTTGAAGCACAGGGTGATTACACTCGTTGTTTTCTAGGAATTCCCTTGTTCCACCAAAAAGATTGTGATAAAAGTCGCTAGCGTTCTCTTCGGCAACAATAAAACGTCGGGTCCGGTTTTCACTCGTCTATTGCTGCCATCCATCCAAAAACCACCGTCCACAATATTTCGCATTACTGTTTGTTTGCCAAACTTGATTGCAATTTGTTTCGACATATGGTTTTTGTTGGTGTGAAAGATGTGTTCACGGATATGTTTGTTAAACTGTTCCCTTTTTTTGCTTCAAAGTTTAATGCAGCTCCAAAATGTTGAATATCTTCAACAATATGAGAAAGAAAATGAACCTTGGGTTTTTCAATATATCGTTTGTGATCTTTAATGGTATAGGTCAAATCGTACTGGTAAAAGGACAAGAGCAACTCTTTTACTGCATTATAAACTTGTCGTAAATAGTCATCGAATTGATTGTTGTGTACTAAATTGGGGTTAAATTCAGTAATATATATAAAGCACAGGTAAAAGAGTCGATTTAAAGGGCTGTTTTAATATCAAAACTATATCTCAAAACTGAGTTATCATTTTCTAACTATCAGACTTACGTCTATTCAAGGTCGAAATAAATTTCTCTCAAGAGTGTATTGAGACCTTCGAACATAGAACAGTAAACATAAATTGCTGTGATCTTCTTAGTTTTATTCGATAAATATGTATAATTAAAATATAGAGGTCAAATTAAAATTAAGTATAAATATGTGAAAGTGATATTATTTGCTCTTTGATCTTCTTTTTATCGCTCGCTTTTCATAGTAAATTCCGAAACATCATTAATCATATTCAAATGGCAGTACCAAACAGTGAAATTTTAACAGCCTTACAACAGCAAATGGCTGCACAACAAGCAATCATTGAGCAAATCATGCAAAATCAAGAACTCCAGAATCAACAACAGCAACAATAAAATCAACAGGAACAAGACATGGAAGCTGAAGACCCATTTTTCAACACCCAACAACAAGTACATTCTTTTGAGACACGACCTCATTATGATTGGAATCCTTTTCAAAAATTATCGCAACTATTGATATTGGAATGTAATTTATTTTCAGGTCCAGGAATGTCGGACAATCAACGTAAACAATTGATTGAAAGATATCCTGCCATCCAAGGAGTCAATTATCAACCACCCGCTACCATGCCGGAAGCATATACCAGAATGAGTTATGATCAAAAAAGGGAAGACAAAATGCTCAAGCACCATCAATATGTTATTTCAGTAATATTCAGGCCTTTGGATATCTCGGCACATGAGATCAGCTCTGAAATTGACAATCCAAACGTTCACAGATATCTGCAAATCATCAATGATATTAGACATTTAGTTTTGCATGCTAATTACGATTTGACAGACTCTAGAAAAAAACATTGCACTCAAGGCAATCAATCCAAACTTTAGATTATCTGCTGCAAACAATACAGACTATATTATGGCACAAGACGAGTTTCATAACTTGATAAACAATCAATTTAGTACAGCAAAGGCCTTGCAAGCAGCTCAAAAGTTCAACAAGAAGTTTTTTTCTGGCAACCGTGTCGAAACACAGTCGTTGGTTTGGCGTTCCCAACTTCAGCCCAGCCAAACGGCCTCTGTTCAACACAAGCCCAATTACAGCAACTACAACAACCACAATTCAACAAAATCAACAGCACCTCAGAAATCATTCAACAAACAACAGTACAGCAACAGCCGCTCTCACAACAAGAACAACAACAACAACCAGTAGGGGCAGGCTAAGCCAGTACTATTTAGAGTGGACCCAGCTTTCAAACAGTTTCTAGCTCAACAGCATAATAAAAAACGGGTACAAAATACTATTCCACACACCTCCTCCACTCACTACAATTCCAAAATCAACAAAACCGTCAACACCTCAGCAAGAACAACTCCTAGATCAGACAATTCAAGAACTTCAACAGAAAGCAGTAATAGAACTAGTGAACCCAGCAACACCAGGCTACTACAGCTCAATCTTTGTAATACCCAAGAAGGACAAAAGCCTGAGGCCAGTCTTCAACCTCAAAGCCTTAAATCAATATGTCTCACCACCGCACTTCAAAATGGAGACATTGAAGGAGGTATCTCTTTTGATCAAACCAAACGATTATATGACCTCTATAGATCTTGCGGATGCCTTTCTACACATACCGGTACATCCAGCATTCAGAAAATACCTCAGATTCCAGTACAAAGGATAGGTATTTCAATACTGCACAACACCTTTTGGATTGGCAATGGTCCCTTGGTTATTCACAAAATTTTGCAGACCAATCTTAAACTGGGCCAGACAGCAAGGGATCAGAATCAGCGCATACATAGACGATTGGATTATCATAGCCAACAACAAACAACAAGCCATTCACCACACCAACTTGATAGTCAACAAATTACAGCAATTGGGATGGATAATCAACTTCAACAAATCGACTATTCAGCCAACTCAGCAGATAGAACACCTAGGCTTTACACTGAACACCAACTCCATGACAGCTTCTCTATCCAACAAGAAGATAAAATCAATTCGACAGATTATCAGAGCAGCACTTCAACAACCTCAGCAAACACCAAGATCAATACACAGCCTCACAATGAAAATAAGAGCAGCAACCTTTGCTATCACACCAATCCGCTTATACACCAATCAACTGATGCGGTTCAAGAATCAAGCAATGAGAAACAAGCAAGACTGGGACAGGAAGAGGACATTGCCAAAGGAGTGTGTTCAAGAACTCAAATGGTGGTTGAAGAACCTCAGCAAATGGAACGGCAAGTCATTCATCGGCCACGAACCAACCGAGACAGTTCACGTAGATGCAAGCAATACAGGTTGGGGTTGCCATTATGGCGACCTAACTGCATATGGGCACTGGACAAGCGACGAAGCTGACCAGTCAATAAATTGGCGAGAACTCATGGCAGCGTATCTCACTCTCAAGACCTTTCCTTAGTTACACAACAAAAAGATTTTGATACGCACGGACAACACAACATCAGTGGCGTATATCAACAAGCAAGGGGAAACAAAATCGCTATCGTTGATGAAGCTTGCAACTCAGCTTTGGAAGTGGTGTCTGAAACGCAACATCATGGTGGAAGCCAAGCACATTCCGGGTCAACAGAATCAAGTAGCGGATCAACAATCAAGAAGACAGTACAGCAAGAACAATTGGATGATACGACGACCAGTGCACAACCAGGTTCAAAAACAATGGGGAAGAAACGACATCGACCTCTTTGCGGACAGAACGACAGCCCTCGTAAAAAAGTTTGTATCATGGTCACCAGATCCCGAAGTCTGTACAACAGACGCATTCAGCCTAGCATGGAATCAATTTCGCCATCCTTGGATCAACCCGCCATGGAACTTAATCAGCAAGTGCTTACAGAAAATAGTCAAGGAAAAGGTGCAATTAGCAACGTTGGTAGTCCCACATTGGGCGAGTGCATTATGGTTTCCGGTGCTTCAAACACTGGCAGTGCAAGCACCAATTTTTCTGTACACGGAGCACCTGACTTGCCCCAGCAGGAACACACCTTAGCCGTTGAAACCGACTTGGAGACTATCCGTTTGGCTCTTATCCGCACCACTAACTGAACTAACTAAGGGTACAGGACCCAAGCGTAGGAGTATTACTTGGTCCAGCAAGTGTCAGGTTGCATTCGAGAATCTGAAGGCTATGTTGACCAATGCCCCGGTATTGCAGGCCCCTGATATGACCAAACCTTTTGTTATCGAGACGGATAGTTTGGACTTCGGGTGTGGTGGTGTGCTACTGCAAAAGGATGAACAGGGCGTGTTGCATCCTCTGGATTTTGAATCCAAGAAGTTCTCGGCAGCGGAAAGAAGTTACCCGGCGCAAGAGCGGGAGTTACTAGGTGTTCTTCATTGTCTTAGGACTTGGCGTTGCTTCGTTGATGGTACGGATTATGTAGTATTTACGGACCACAACCCCTTGCAGTACTTAAGATCACAAACCAAACCTACTCCCAGGTTAGTTGGATGGCTTTCGGAAATTGAGGCATATGATCCAAAAATGCTATATAAGCCTGGTCGTGAGAACGTGGCCCCTGATCTGTTAAGTCGTCTTGGTGGTCCTGCTAGCGGTATTTCCTCAACAGAGATGGAACCAAAGTTCTTGTATGTTTCTCAGGTGCAAGTCCACGAATCGGATTGGCCTTCATTCTATGCCAAAGCTCCTAGCGATATCCCCGATACAATGAAAGCGGTATTGGATCGAAATCGTGACAAGTTCGTGGTGAAGGACGGTAAGGTGTACCGACGAGTGAAGATCAATGGTGTAGTCTCGGAGGTACGGTTCTGCAGCTTTGTATAGAGGGCTGACTTAGTCAATCGATTCCACGAGGGCTATGGTTACGCTGGTCAAGCTACAGTACTTAGCTTACTTAGGAAGCGATGGTGGTGGCCAGGTATGACTCAGGATGTTTCTAATTGGCTGTCCAGGTGTAAGGAATGCCAACTAGCGTCTGGCAACAACAAGTCTAAGCATCGTGCTCCAATGGTTCCTTTAGATGTTCCTCCAGCTTTTGGTAGATGGCACTTGGATTTTGTTGGTGAACTACCCCTTACGGTGAAAGGCAACAGGTGGCTGTTGACGGCGGTTGACTATGCAACAAACTGGCCTATTGCTCGTGCGGTTCCTGAAGCTACAGCGGAAGCGGTTGCTGACTTCATCTATGAGGAGATAGTTATGCGTTTTGGTTGTCCGGCTGAAATCTTAACGGATCGTGGTGCTAACTTCATGTCTCAAGTAGTCAAACTATACATGAACAGAATCAAGACCAACCATAAGTTCACTTCGGCATTTCATCCTAGAACTAACGGCAAGTGTGAAAGACTTAATGGTATTCTCAAGGCTATGATACGCAAGTATGTTAACGGTGCTATCCACGTTTGGGATCAGTTTGTCGACACACTTTGTTTGCAGCAAGAATCCGCCATCATAGGTCTACTGGTTACTCTCCCTTTTTCTTGGTATATGGTCGTGAACCTCGTATTCCAGGTGATTGTCTTCGTCCCTTTTTCGGTAAAGCAGTCTCTCAAGATCCTAGAACTGTAGCGGAACACACTGCTCGGGAGTCGGAAGATCTTGGTCAAGTACGAGCTGCGGCGGAACAACGCATGAATGTGGTGCAAGCACAAGACAAGCTTAAATGGGATTCGTCGATTGAGAAGTCAGACTTCGAAATAGGTGATCATGTCTTGGTGAGAAACGAACAGAAGTACGGCTTGGAATACAACTGGTTAGGTCCCTTCATCATCGTGGGCAAGAATCAAGATAGCAACGTTTACAAGTTGGTCTCTGTTGGTGGTGAACCTTATCCTTCTTGGGTACATGTTGACAGGTTGAAAGAAGTCAAGGCTGAGTCCATTGATACTCCTTGGTATAATCCTACGGTTTCTCGTGCTGAATGGCGTGCTACTATGGGTTTAGGCTCTAAGAATAAACCGGTTTCTTCTCTTATTCCAGATCAAGCGGAATTTTTTTCTGAAGTTGGTCAAAGGCGACCAACAGTCTCGGGGGGAGTGATGTCGTAACAAAAAGAAGATTCAAGCCAACTCCAAAACCAATGCGGTCACGTGACATCTCGAAGGTACAAGAAGGTTCTGGGAAGTAAAATGCTAGAAGGTTCTAGACAGCAAGTCACTTGATTACTAATCGGACATTAGTAATCATGGTTCCGGAACCTTCCACAACTTTCTTATTTTCTTTATAGAATTATCCATAGTACTTAGTAGAAAAGTATAAATATAAGTTATCATCGTTATTCAATAAAGGAATCAATTAATTATCTCTTTACTCTTAATTAGTATTACTCAAATACTATTAAGTTGTTATAATATCAAGACGACAACAAGAATGTCAAAGTTATATCCTTCTAGTATGTTTAACTTTGAGAAATGTGTCAAACTTAATAAAAATATAATTTAATTTTCTTTTATCACTAATTGAGACAGTATTTAACATATTTAACTTGAAAATAAATATGTAATTAAGAGTAAAATTGAAATTAGCAGCCTTTATAAAAATGATATAAGTTAAGAGTTATAAAAAATCTTTAAAAACAAAATTATAATATTATATAACATTATTGATATAAATACAGATACTTGTTTAAAAACCTATGTTTGACGTATGGCTAATAATTTATTAATTATTAAAAAAAGACAAAATAGCATGATTTGTATAATATAATAATAGTGTAGTTAATCAGTAGTTTTATTGTTATAGCAACATGTCTCTTTGATATAAAATAGAACTGTTGTGAGATGAAGAGAGAGTAGATATTCAATAAGAGAAAAGGTAAGAACACAGAGAAAGTCCGTTAGAACTTGTATAGGTTTTTATTTCTCCAAGAAAAATGTTATCGTTCAATTGCTATAAAATGTCAAGGTATTTATACTTTTTCTTCTCGGTCAAAATATTGTTTTGGGTTAGCTTCTTGACTACGGATTGATTTGTTAGATCAGGAGCAATTAAGAGAAATGCCTTTAGAGGAAGTTGTCATCTCAGCCAATAGTACATGATCTGACCTGAACTTGAATAAACTATTACATATTTGTTAAATGCCAATGCTAATGTATTTGTCAGCTCTAACTGTCACTTTATAAGGGCCATTAATAATAACAGAGTCAATAGGTTTATAGTCTCTGTCTATGAGGATGATGTAGTACTTCTAGTAGAATGAGTGAATGTCAGTGACTAT